ACTAGCAAACACTTATTTTCCTTTGGGTCAACAAGTATTCACATAAATAATATCGCATAGTCATCATAGTATTTTGAAATAAACACTTTTAACAATAGAGGTTGATATATCAATATATTGATTACTAAAGTCCATTTAAAATAAAATACTTGACAGATACATATATTTGAATTGCCATGTATACATTTAATTTGGCCAAATATCTATTTTTCTTTTGGCCAATAAATATTCGCATGAATTTAATATATATGATTTTATGACATATGAATCAATAGAATGTCATATTTTATCTTAATAATGGACTATCATGGCACAATTTAATTGAATTAAAATGTTGAGAATTGCTAAAAAAATTCAAGAAAGATATTAAATGAATTGACAATAAAGTGAATTAATAAATTAAATTGCCAAAATAGTAATGAGAGAATATCAAAAAGGGCAAAAATGCCCTTTAAAACCCATGTTGAGCTGGACTTGGTAGGACGGCCTTGTGGGCCGCGCTTGGTGCAGCGGACCTAGTGGGCTGCACCTGGCCCAGTGCCCCTAGTGGGCCATGCCAAAAGCAGGGACCAGCTCGCACACAGGCCGAGCAGGCTAGTTGGCCACTACCAGGCTTGAGTCCATATCGTTGGGCAGACCTAGTGGGCCGTGCTAGTGAGCACCTAGGACTGAGGTCCAATAGATGCTAGGAGGCGCTGCGGCGATGCCCGAGCGCAATCCAGCAGTCATCAGAAATGTCGGCAAGTGCCGCAACACCCTAATGTGATGCCATGATGGCGCATGACCTCCAAATGCCGCAAGGCTGCATCGCAAGTTGTGCGGCCTCCGGCGATGCCGTGAGGCCTCCCTGTGCCATTGCGCAGCCATTTCCGGCAACATAAGGACGCCGAAGATGACAAAAAAATGCATTAAATTCAAGCGTCGAAAAGCACAATGAAATAGAAAAAAAAATCATCAGCAACCATGAGCTCTGATTGATAGAAATGAAGTTGTGGAAGTGTACTATCGGAATCTATGATACGGGATGGTCTTCTACTTCAATCACTAGAGAATTACTCCTCTAGCAGATGAAAATCTTGAGGATTCTAATGATGGTGAAGTAGGGATTAAATTCTTGGATTTATAACCTCGAAAGAAACTCAACGATTTCAATCCTTTATGACGTGACTTAGTCGTTGTATAGTAAATCATATAAATTTAAAATTTATAAAACTAGAAAATACTAATTTTTGAAAATTTAGAAGTATTTCTAAAAAAATATGTTGATCATAGAGATATAATATAATATAAGATAATTTTTTAGAATTTTTCTCAAAGAATAGTAGTTTTTATAAATTTTATACTAAAAAATAAATAAAAAACATATTTAAAATTTATGAAAAAGAAAAATAAGGGTGCGAAGGTCAAAATGACATCAACACCTAATGAACACGAATCAGACGAAAACAGAGTTTCGCTCGATGATTCTTACATAAGTGATTACATATAATTTAATTGATCAAACTAAGATTTATAAAAGCTAGAAGAATCGTAATTAAATGAAGTATAGCTTGGTAAATTTAAATCACACAAATTATCACTAAATAAAACAAAAATTAAGTTGACAATATGAAGATAAAGTTATGACATTGTGTTAGTGATGTACTATAATTTTAAGCATTCAAGAGGATTGTCATATCATGTCCACAATCCCAAAGACACTCGTTAGATAAGGATGACGTAGACAATTTCTAAATCTTCTTGTGAATTCTAAAGATTAATAAAATGAGTCGATGAATCATCTCTGACAATTGTCACCTAGTGGAGTAAAAAAATAATGACTTTGTGACTCTCTGACAATTGTTACCCAATAAAGAGAAGTTGAATGGAGGAGGGGTATGTGTCAAGAAGCTTCATCCTCAATTCTACATAACAAGATGAGGGTTTTCATCGCATCTGGTACACTCTCAAAAGGTGACGACTCGTCTCCTGATAAATCGTCCTCTTTCCAACAACAACTTGTTCATTAATCAATCAAAGATCATTTACTTGATAGATTCGTAATCTTTTTATCACAAATTATTCAGCAATTTTAGTGACAATATTTCACAAATCACGTTGATGAGATTTTCATCGATGATCTTTCTAGCAGCTTAATCTTTCACTAATAATTTTTAGAAAAGTCACAATAATCAAATAAAAATACAAGTTTTAGCTTTGAGAGGATTTGAACCAACGTCAATTGTTTGCTTGTATGAGAGAGATTAAAATAAATACGTTAATATCTTTATCAAGTGACGTCATCATAGTATATGTCTATTAGAACTAAGGGATAGTTTAAGTATTAAAATCTTTGAAGTCTTTTGGGGGAAGATGTGGTGCACGTTTAGTCTCACATTGCTTGTGTAATGAAGTTTTAGGTAAATATATAGTAATATCACATTTACAAGTAATGTGTCCCTTTCTCTTGTGTACGACCACTTCTTGCTTCACAGCCAACTGGTCACCAATGATGTGGAAAGAGAGTGTCACACACGTGTCCTCATTGGTTCTTAGCTGCTCGAGCCCTTACTCACAGCTCCTCTTGATATGCTTTTGTCCCACTTGTGGGTCTGGTTGGCTAGTGGGTCCCCCCATTTTACTATATTTTTATTTTTATTTTTTTCTTTATTTATTTTAAAAATAAGATTATAAAAATTATAGAAATTCATAAAAAAATTATATAATTAGCCAAAAATTAATGTTAATCAATTGAAGACCACTTTTTATAATTTAATATAAAGATAAGTCCATTTATCATGAGTTAAAACTAAAAGTACATTATTTACTAATTATTAACTCATGATAATAAAAACTTATCACCTTCCATCAAAGAATTAAAACCGTCGACCGATTTCTACATGATCTTTCTTCATACCTTATTCCATAAGGTCTCAAAAGTGGTTGTTGCAATAACTGACATGCATAACAATGATATGTACAGTCTACTCAATGTAAATATCCGACATTATCTTCATGAGTAGGCAAACTATTTGATGTGTTGATTGCCCCCCAACTTGTGGGCCCAATATGTTCTCTTAGATCTATTTTTGAGATGATGAGCATCTACAAAATGTGCCTATCGGCTTGGTACAAGGTATCCTCTTTCTCTCCCTCTCTCTCTCTCTCTAATAATCAGTTGTTTGATTGTATGTGAAGTCAAAGGGGTGTGTGTGTGTGTGTGTGTGAGAGAGAGAGAGAGAGAGAGAGAGAGAGATCTGGTGAACAAAGAGCGGAGTGCAGTGCATGTCTGTTCGGCAGATGTATCGAGATTATAATTTCATCTTTCTACCCACCTGAAACAGCCACCATGTTCTTCCTCCGAAAGAGCTCATCACCACTGGGACCGCTGAGAGTAAGAGAGGGATGACTACTTTTCACGATGAGTTGAATTGAGACCTATTACTCAATGTTTTGACTGACCGGAGGCAGTTGTCAGACGGGGAATCTAACGGTATGAGAGAGCAGGGGGAGAGGCGAGTCCTGACCGCTCCACTAGTCGGCAGGCTCTCCTCTCCCTTAACTGACGGTCTCTTCCCGTTGCTGTTTGAGGAAACTGAACATGTCGCGTGCAGGAACTGGGTTTGCCATTGGCGTGCGACGGAAGGAGGCAGGTCAACGGAGCCACTCCAAGCATTGAAAGAACGGAGAAGAGAAACACGTGGAGCTCCAAGCCCGAGGTCAACATTATTTATCATCAACTTCGTTCAATTGAAAGAAGTTTGATTTAATTATTCAATAATTTCGGAAAATTACACGTGGAACCATTTTTTAACCCCAGTATACTAATAAACAGAATCACTAGTCTCTTGAGCCCATTTTTTTACCTCTCTCTCTCTCTCTCTCTCTCTCTTGCTTGCAAAATAAATATATAAATATAAGTACATAGAATGCAGATCAATGCTTACTAAGATCTCAATAAATTAATTGATGAGGGTTGTTGGGGCTCAGATTAAATGACTCAAAATCAGTAGCTTACGACCCCCCCTTTTGTCTTTTTATGAATATCCCTTTTGATTTTCTCGCTTCAAAATTCTTTTATACTGATATTCATTATTAATTCATCACTCATTTATGGAAAACCATTTCCATTTTAAATTACTTTTGCTGTGACATGTTTAAACAGGAAATATTTATATATCGATATTCATCACTGATTCGTCACTATTTTATTTTAAATCATTTACACTCCGATTAATTTCATAAATGAAGCATTCGAGTTGGCGTCATCTTAAGGAGAAAGAGAAGTCTTGAATTGACTTATTTATATTTTTCTTCCGAGTGTGCTAGACCCACCGGCGTGGTCGAACATTAATCCGAACTAGTCAAGCCATCCCAATTGGCTTTGGCCCGAACCACCACCCAGAAAAGTCAACTTTCGGACATCAGACCAAAAGTCAAAGTGATCTAAGATCCCGATCAAGGGTAGAAGTGCAATTCACCTCATTGGAGAGGGCTGCGTACGCTATTTTCCTAAAATGACCGATTAATCAGTCAATAAGGAAGGGATTGACTATTGATGTGGCCCAGAATTCCGACCAAGTACAACAAAGAGCCTCCGATTATCTTAGAAAGACCCCTCTACGACTTTTCTATTGCTATAACCACTACGAGTCGTGTTAATTGAAAAAACCATAATGATAGATTCAATGAGTGCAGGCGTTTCAATGGTATGACGTCATATTTTACATCTTCTGAGACAGTTTGGATTTCACTTTTAGTAAACTGTGCCCCGGGACAACGCAACGGGGCTTCGGGTATTTTATTCGAGCTGGGTGGTCGTGGGTTTCAGCTGATTTTGAACTCCCGGGTGGTGTCGGAGGGAGAGGAAGAAGGTGAAAAGGGGAGCCCTTCCTCTGCTCCCCACGCAGGCCCCTCCCTCCCTCCTCGCCGGCGTAGTTTCTCCGTCCTCCGTCGCCGTCTCCGGCGCCGGCGGTCGCAGATTTCCCGAACGGGATTTCCGTTGGTTTTCGCCGCCGGCGATGGCGTCGGAGCTGACGTATAGGGGTCACGATGGGTCCCCGAGCAGGGAAGAGGGCGGCACGTACACGGCGAAGGCCCAGAAGGGTTGGCTGCTCTCCGCCAGCTACACCCGTCGAGTAGGGTTACTGCTCCAGGACCAGCGCTTCCTCTGCGTGCTCCTCGGCATTGCCCTCGCCTCCACTGTCTTCCTGGCGGCGCCGCTGTTCTCGCCGTCGTCCACTTCCACCGTCGGGACGGTCCACCTCCCGCGCCGGCCGGCGTACGGGAGGTGGGATCCGCTGGTCGACGGCGGTGGCGGCGCGCTGGACGGCCGACTAGCCGGAGGACTTGTGGCGGGGGCGACCGGGGGGAAGATTCCGCTGGGGCTGAGGAGGAAGACGATGAGGATCCTGGTGACGGGAGGCGCCGGATTCGTGGGGTCTCACCTGGTTGACCAGCTGATCGGGAGTGGGCACAGCGTGATCGTCGTGGACAACTTCTTCACCGGGAGGAAGGAGAACCTGGCGCAGCACTTCGGGAATCCCCGGTTCGAGCTGATCCGCCACGACGTGGTGGAGCCGCTACTCCTGGAGGTCGACCAGATCTACCATCTGGCCTGCCCCGCCTCTCCCGTTCACTACAAATTCAACCCAATCAAGACCATCATATCCTTTCAATCTCCATGAGGATTCTTCTTCCTCTCCCGCTTTTTGTTTCTATGATCTTGACCCGGGCAGGAAGTAAGGAGAGGGTGTTTTCTTTCTGGGTTTTTCATCGGCGGCGTCCTTCCTTGACCTCTACTCCGGCGACGGCGGCGGTGGCGGCGCACAAGACCAACGTCGTGGGGACTCTCAACATGCTGGGTCTGGCCAAGCGGGTGGGGGCGCGCTTCCTGTTGACCAGCACCAGCGAGGTCTACGGCGACCCCCTGCAGCACCCGCAGGTGGAGACGTACTGGGGCAACGTCAACCCCATCGGTGAAACCCTAAATCACTCTGCTTCCTCCTCTGTCCTCTCCCGCCGTCAGTTACGCACTCACTCCCTCCTCGTCGTCTTCCTCCCCGTCTTCCGAACCAGGGGTGAGGAGCTGTTACGACGAGGGCAAGCGCACGGCGGAGACGTTGACCATGGATTACCACCGCGCGGCTGCGTTGGAGGTCAGTGCTATGAAAAGAAACCTAGCCCAGTCTTCCTTTCTTCCGGTCGCCACCGGGATCGATCTGATCTTCCTCTGAGCAGGTGAGGATCGCCCGCATTTTCAACACCTACGGCCCTCGGATGTGCATCGACGACGGCCGAGTCGTCAGTAATTTCGTCGCTCAGGTCTCTCCCTCTTTCTCCCTCTCGCTAGCTAGATACATACATATATGTTGGACTTGGTTTCTCATCCTTTTGTTGGGACAGGCGCTGAGGAAGGAGCCCCTCACCGTCTACGGCGACGGGAAACAGACCAGAAGCTTTCAATACGTCTCTGACCTGGTAAACCAGACCCTTCAAATGGGAAACTTTTATCACCCGTTTCCCCTCTTCTGGTGCCATCTGACGGGAAGAAGGCGCTCAGGTGCAAGGGCTGATCAAGCTGATGGAAGGAGAGCACGTGGGGCCATTCAACCTGGGCAACCCCGGCGAATTCACCATGTTAGAGCTCGCCCAGGTGAGCGGCGCCCGCGCCCCTCCCCCCCGCCCCCCCCAATAGATCCCCGCCGCCGCCGATCGCCGGCCTCACTTGTCTGGTTCGGCGCAGGTGGTGCAGGAGACGATAGACCCCAACGCGAAGATAGAGTTCCGGCGGAACACCGAGGACGACCCGCACAAGAGGAAGCCCGACATCGCCAAGGCGAAGGAGCTGCTGGGATGGGAGCCCACCGTCACTCTCCGCCGCGGCCTACCCCTCATGGTCTCCGACTTCCGCCGCCGCATCTTCGGCGACCACGCCGGCGACGGAACGACGGCGTAGAGGCCCGGCGGAGACAGATTCAGAGACGTGATGTTGACCGGGGCATTGAAGGGACACCAGGGCAGAGGCGGGCAGACTGGGCTGCATGGCGAAGGCTGCTGCTGACTCCACGTGCCGAGGGGGGAACTATGAGCAGGAAGATGCTGTTGACAGCGATGCCTTACTCCATGACCGGCTCCTTTATCTTACTTTATTTGAGTCCATCTAACTCCCATCTCCTTCTTCCTCTGATACGTCTCCGCTTTCCCCTTCGTTGACTTCTAAACCAAAACATTGAAGATCATTGAAGTTAGCAGGCAATACTCACTGAGATACGTCAAGAAAATATATAAATATATATATATATATATCTCGTACCTTGTTAGGATTTTTTTAATGAATATTTATTTAAAAAATTGAGTCATTACCATACATTATCCATCAAATTAGGTTATACAATAAAGAGAGGAAGAGGCATGTGGGGTACATGTGCTCCTCTGGGCGTGGGACTTTGAAAACACACGGATTGGGCCAGGCCAGTCTTTACAAGGCCCAGGCCCAGGCCATTGATGGTTCTGATACACTCGATACAAGAAAACCACCAGCAAGATAATTGAGGGAGTTCGTGCCCACATTCGGCCCAAACTATGTTATTTAACTAGTATATGTTCATAATCTTAAAAGCCCGGCTGCGAAGAACATCAAGACTACCATAAATACCATGGAAAAATACCATGTGAAAGACTACGAAGCAATCTTACCATAAATAGGTTTCTAAAATCGAGCTCCAACGATCGAAAAAAGAAGAAATCAGGCAAACCCAAGACCACGGAATGAGAATGGATGAAATTCGGGAAAAAAAAATAATGGGCTCCTTCCTCACTTGCTGGTGGGCTGCTTCAAGGCAAATGAGCAATGGTGGCAAGAGCAGAGACAACAGACGCGGCCCCAAGGATTTGCTTCAAGCTTCTTGTCCTCAGGGCCAGAGCAGCACCAGTTATCGCACCCGCAATAGAAGAATTTAGCTGCAGAGCGGCACGGAGAGGAGGGAGTGAGAGTGGGAGCGTTAGCACAGGAGCGATGGACAAAGGAACGATTGTAAGCCATCTATTCACATTAATCCGCACGTCCAATGCAAGACAATTGACCAAGGTAGCTGATCCACACCCACAGCATTCAAGTGGACCCATGACTCGAAACTATAGGGAACCCACCAACTTGCCAACCAGCTTGGGCACCCATGACTCACCCTGGCCATTTCATTCCTCAGACTACGCTGTGTTCTCTGATCATCATACAGTTATCCTCATTAATTGCGTTCGTTGTTGTTCATTTACCATTTTTAGTTTATAATATCATGCTGGTTGTTGAGCTATTTTTAGTTTATTACAGACTATTTTCATCGTTTGTGCACATCATTTCATGGTCACAGTGTTTTTCAAAAATATCATATGGCATGATGTGGAAATCATTTTATTAGAAATCAGCAGTAGGAAGATAAGAATGTGGCAAATAGGAACACTTTACAGGTCGGCGAGTCCCAGTGCCTTGACGATTATCAGGTGACAGATAAATGCATGGTAAATTGGTGTTCAGGTATTCAGCATCATGCTGGCATCTAAACTCACAGCCAGATGAGAGCACGTGGAAAGCTGAAAGAAAAAGAAAAAAACTGACCCTATCCTTCTTCATTCGATATTGTTGAACCCTGCAATGTGTTGCAGAAAAAGTGCCAGCAGAAAAGCCTAAAGAGAGACACAAAGATAAACAAGCAATATCATCTTGAAAAGATAGAAATTGAAGGACAAAAGCAGCAACTAAACTTCAATACAAGGATTTAAACTTCAAATTGGTCTAAATATTGGAAATAAAGTTATATACAAAAAAAAAGTGTCCTCTGGAACTAAATGAGTCGTTTGTTTTTCCACAAAATTTCTCAGAAAGAGCCCAAAGTTGAGGGATGTTATTGGCTTCATCTGCACAAAGGTGGTTTTGCTTGGTGAGGAGACGAAATGGGGCGTAAACTCATCCTTGGGAGGATGATAAACTGTGTAAGGAGAATCGGAGACATTTAATAAAACAACAAAGCCAAACCCACGAAGTCAATTTTTGGCACCAAGTATTTTTGTCAAACGGCACCTAGTGCTCATAGTGACACCAAATGCAAATAATTAGAATTTCCTTCATGAACAGTGGCAAAAACAAAGTCAACGATTGATTCCAAATTTATGTATACCGATAAATAACCCTTCATTTGAGAATCCATATGAATGAGAAACGTCATAGGGGTAAAGCATACAGCGTTATCAGATAGCTTTATAGTAATTTCATATAAAAAATCAACCCATAATTAAAAAGGAACATTATGGTAATTGTATATGGCCATCCTGATCATATAAGCCCTTTTGTCTTCATCAAATAAAAAGGTAAAATACGAAAAAATGTCAGAGCAAAAAAACTTTAAATAAATTGCAATATGATAACAGTGATATATCCTTATCTGCATTATTGAACCTGATTAATACCACTACTACATCCCTATTACAATAGGGATATATCACCATTATCCTTATACGCCAATAGAACATAAGATGCAAGAATATGCATGCATAAACCAAGCGTGGATTCTCCAAAATTAATTCACTTGAATGGAAATAAAATAGTTTTCAAATAATATAAAAAAAGACCAAATAGTCATTTCAGAAAAGAAAAAAACAACGAAAATGATACATCAAAGAAGAAATAAACATTGTATCAATATCAAAATATGAAAAAAATGATGAGTCATTCGTGCCTAATGCTACGTCAGTATTCAGGAGAACAATTTAAAAAGTTTGATTTTACTATTCAAGAGAAACCTTCAAGGGAAAGTTAAAATTTAGGATGTGTGAGTTCATATCTAAACATTGTATCAACGCGGTGATTTATTTCTGTAGGATTCTGTGATTAGAGACAAGTAGCTATGCCTTGCAGGAGTTAACAGAGACAATGGGTGTTTCTCCCGACCAAGAGAGAAACCCAAGTCCTAGTAAAGCCGCTAGGCAGTGATTCAACATGGATTCTACAACATGAATTTAAGAAATGAATTTACCGCATAAGAGACCACACTTGGAGACCAACTTCACCTGCAAACGTTAGTGAAACAAGGACAAAAATTATGCCTGTTGTGTGGTAAGAAAACATCTACAAAATGTACCAGTATTACTAGAAAGCAGCCACCATGCTAAGAATATGCCAAATCCACTTTTACCACAAGAATTGCCCGCGACTTCCCTGTGAGCCCTGAAACAAGAAGAAAAAATAATGGCATGAAAAATCAGATCAATTTGACTTTTACTTCTTTTTGTTGTCATTGCATCAAAGGAGTACAATGATTACAGAAAATCTAATATTAACAGTCAAAACTATGTTAAGAACATTAAAAACCTTTTATAGGATGGACTATGTTTATGATGCTTTAAACAATTAGGATGTGCTCACCTTTGCTATCAGCTTCATATGAACCGTAAAATAATCCCCAAGCCAGCCCGGCCTGAAACAGATGGAGACACATCCATTGGTGAAATTTTTTAACATACATATTCAATTTTAAATGGAAAATTCTATCAGGAAATATCAATACTCTAATAATTTGATTTTTTAACGTCCCACAGTGAAATTTCATGACAAGTAAATTGCAACAAAAAGAAAGCAAGGTGAAAATAAATTGAAATATACATAACTCTAATAATAAAACAGTAAATTTGTAATTCAATCGAAGAATGTTCTATGCTGTCTTCATTTTATGTTGATTACTTTTTGTGAAGAGATGGACTGTGTACTATTCAGGTTATATACGTCACATATAACATGACAATATAATGGAACCAACATTCACACCTCTTTTACAATGAAAGAATACTGGCATGTAGAGGATGAAGGAAAGAGAAAAGAAAAAGATTTAGAAATAGGTCTAAAGTGCATTCCGTTTCATGAGCGATCAAAATTAGAATCCATCATGAAACTCAACATCTACACTTCTTTTACAATGGAAGCACATCTCTTGTGATAACACGAGCTCCTCAAGTCTTCATCATAGACCAAAATCCACGTTTAAATTGCATAAAGAAAGTCCCTCTCTAACCCCTCAGCAGAGCATTTTTCCAATATCTCACTGACAAGGAAGTGGCGTTCCCTTGAGGACCCTCAAAATCATGTGAACAGGAAAATGGGAAGAAAACTTTTGGAACAGGCATTGAAGTACCTCCAAGGAACACCCATGTAAACCTAAATTAAAACATTACATAACCCAATATCGGAATATATTTAAACCTATTTGAAATTATATTAATACCGAGTCACCAAAGATCATGCTTCAGTGAAAATCTGAAAAAAAACTGTCGTCAAATCTCATATCACTCGAAGAACTCAATTACTCAACCATGATGCACGATGCACGCCGAAAAGGTAGCATCCATACTTCCGGCTCCAAAGTCCACCTACTGACATCCACATATTTATGAGTCCAGGTATTATACAGACACCAAGAGTCTTCTCGACAGTCAAGACAATCCCTGGATATTGAATCATTACGCACACACTCAAACCATAGATAGAAATTTAGGACAGAAAACCCTAGAAGGAGAATCATCAGGCAACTTTAACCTTAACGTTCGATCTTACATGGGGTCCCCCCCCCTTAGGCTATGTGGCTATAGGTAATTCCTGTATCAATAGACGCCCCCGTGGGCCAAAATGACGAGTGCCTGCAGCTCTGTTCCTTGAGTTTCTTAAATTTCTACCCGCATTCCACACGACCAAATGACTTCATAAATTCAAAATCCAAGGAAATCATTTCCAAATATAATATCTTGTTAGGAGACGAAAAGAATTTATCACATCTTGAAGCCTTGGGAAAAAACGGGACAATCGCATCTATTCAAGTCTATCTATATCAATGACACAGCTATGCGACCACGCCAACAGGGAAAAAAAAAACACTGGAATCATAAGAGCTGCACGACTCCAGATGCTCCTCAAGCACAAACCAACCAATTCCGTAATGGATGATGAACGACGAGAGGGAAAGCAGCACAATACCCCACCGAGGCGGATGACGGACTCGACGGCGAGGGAGGCGCAGGGGATGTTCTCCTCCCTGGACATGGCTCTCCCTGAATATCCGACGCTTCCCTCCATCCTACACCGCCATCGACGTCATCGGCAGAGGCGCACGTGGGGAGGGCTCAAATTAGCCCATTATACATGGGCCCGTTACACTACTCGGCCCAATAAGCATAATTCAACCGTCTTAATGTATGGGATTTTATTTTCTTCATAAAAAATAGAACAATATATGCATGTACTATTTTTTATGATTTTTAATATATTAATACATAAAAAATACATTAAAGTATATATAACTAATCTTTTATATCTTTTCACACTGAAATGTTTGGCTTCCCAAGGACCAATCAACCTAATCGGGGCCATCATTATTACCATTTTTTTAAAAAAAACTTTTAGAGGTATGATTAATGATATATGGATGCTTTCAAAAAATTAAAAAAAAATCGGTATTTTCTCCATTGAAATTTGAAAATATATAGAGAGAGCTGAGACATGGGTCGTGCCTAATATATTTTTCCAGGTTTTTTTTATATAAAAGAGCCGGTGAGAGATCTGGGATAATTAATATAAATTAAAATTATATAGGAAAGGCTGTAAAATGGTTCATATCGTTCTAGAATCACGATGATACTTGGTACTAAATAGACCTTCTTAAGGGTCGATCAGGATTCCACGGATCGAACGGGTGTGGCATGGCCACGCGGGAGAGATGAAGTATTCATGTAATCATGTCCCGCGGAACACCGTCACTTTTGGTATAAAATGGCTGGAGTTGCCGCCCATCCGAAACCCTAGTGGCCACGGTTTTCCCTGCTGCTGAGAACCGGAGAGCCGCCGCCGGTGGTCGTCGAGCAGAGGAGACATGAGTCGGGGGGGGAGCGTCGGGTCCGCCGGGGCCAAGGGAGGGAAGAAGAAGGGGGCAACGACCTTCACCATCGACTGTGCGAAGCCAGTGGAGGACAAGATCATGGACATCGCTTCCCTCGAGAAGTTCCTTCAGGAGCGCATCAAGGTCGCCGGCGGGAAGCCCGGAGCTCTCGGAGACTCGGTCACCGTCTCCCGCGACAAGAACAAGATAACCGTCACCTCTGAGGGCCCTTTCTCCAAGAGGTAACGTTTCTTCGTCTCCACAATCGGGGATGCTCTGCAGGGCATTTCTCACACATCTGCTTTTCCATGATCCGAAATTTGGGTTGCATAGGAGTTTTGCGCAATTTTGAATAATCATTATAAGTTGAATTAAGAGGTCAAGATCTTCGACCAACGTAGCTGGGAGTTTAAGACATCCGCCGAGTCAGTCTCATCTGGAATTGTTCATTTCATCAATGGCTATCTTATTAATATTTAATGAGTTTATTAGTACCACAGGAAAGACCACTTGCGGAAGCATTATCTCCCAGTGAGGACGCCTATTTTAGCTATTTGTGAACATTTGTTATTTACTATTGTCTATATAGAAAATCATCTTATTTTTTTCTTTGTCGCTGAAGAGTGTATCAGACGCAATAGATCTACATAGGAGTTATAGCAGTCTTGCATTTCCTTTGCAAAGTGGTGTGAAGATTCATGATTTGTTGATGAATTATGTCTCTGTTTTGGTTTTTTCTGTATTTTCGATGTGAGCAAGTGTCAGTCTCCGAGATCACGGAGGGGTAAGTGAGAGCGCACTTCTGTATCTTGTGTGGAACTTGTCCGGAGAACTACTCTAGTCGTGATTCTTCTGTACAAGCTCATAGTAACATCAATCAGTGATCAAGATCATAATCCCTATTATTTTGCAAGTGTTTGCATGACCGACAATGTGAGCTGGTGCTTTTCGTAACATCAAAATAAGTTAAAGTGGCTTCGTGCCATAGAAATCCCGTCCCTTGCGTAGAAGTAGGCATGAAAGAACTTCACCATTATTATTTACGTTCGATAACTGGCTGATTTTCTCGCTGTTATGAGTCCGGTCAAAGTATTCTCAAGAAAGGTGGCCAATTTAGGAAGTTCCAAATCCATACCTAGGTCTAACCTAGTCCATACTTATCTCCCTCATTCATGCTACAACTCTTTTTTTCTCTTCTCTTCTCCCATCTGGGCTTCTGGTTCTATTGATCTTATTATTTTATTTTATGTTTATAACGTATTTAGTACTGTCTGGTGTGATTTACTAGTATTCCTAATTTGAGATAACTAGTCGCATATCATTACTCTTTTGGTCGCCAGAAGAACTACCCAGTACTACCATCTTGCTGGGGCTGTGATTTCCCCGTTCATAGTGGAGGAACCCTGGCTATCACTGCGAACCACATCAATGGATGGATATTAGGGTCACTTACCTCTCAATGCCTAGACAAAACGGAATATTTTTTCATGAAATAATGCCTCTAACTTTTGAACATCCAGTTCCATGATATGACTTCTCCATCGTCATATGCTGGATCAGGTTGTCGATTTCTCAGCGGCCTTATTTAGAATGATTGTGGGGCAAGTTCTTTCCAGTAGCCTAGAACTGGTCCCACTGATGTCTCTCTGAAGCAGTTCTGATTTTCTGTTGACATGCATGCAATCTAAAACTGGGTTGTATTTATGAATACCAGAGAATGTTTTTGTCAATAATCATACTTGATTCAAGTTCTTATGTTGCTTATATTTCCAATCTATCGAATATTTGCCCCTTGGTCAACCGCTTTCAGCCTGACATGCCATATTTTTAGCGAGAATTTGTTCAATCACAAGTTAAATCACTACTCTTCTCGATGTTTAACGACCATATTGCTGTTTCTGGTCCTCTGCCATCTTGAGAGTCTCTGAGAGGTGGGATGGGGTGGCATCCCTGAATATACCCGTTTTTTCTTTAACATTATCCCATCTGGCACCAGTTTTGGGCCAAGATTTCGCCCCAACCAGACAATGAATCATCTGCGGGTCTCAAATTTTCTCAGGTATCTGAAGTACCTCACGAAGAAGTACCTGAAGAAGCACAACGTTCGGGACTGGCTGCGGGTGATCGCATCCAACAAGGACCGGAGTATCTACGAGCTGCGGTACTTCAACATCGCTGAGAACGAGGGGGATGAGGAAGACTAACCTGATGCCTGCTCTCCGAGGGATCGCTGGAATCCTTGGTTTTCCCGAGTTATTGTTTGAGAACCTGCTGTACCCTGCGCTTTGTTTTCCACTCTTTCTTACGGAATCATCAAAGTAGACGTCTTGTTCTCTCTTGTAAGACTGTTTATGGCCTGAATGCTTTGCAATTCCGCAGTCGTCCCCCACCCGGTCAATTCTTCAACTGGGTTCATCTCCTGGTAAGCGATAGCCCCACTGTTCGCCATCCGATTTGAAGGGTGGGTTTTTTATTCCAGTCACAGCCATTTTTTTCAATATGTTTTTTTTTATGAAATCAAGTTTATGAAGACTTAGAAATGGAGTAAGAAGAGATGAATTCAAAATGACAAGAACTATGGGGGTAGGCATAGTGATCCCCCCGGCGAGAGGTTCTTCCCTTCATCTTGGGCTAGTGTGAATGAGAATAACTAATCAGGCTGTTCTCTATTCATAAGGAACAGCTGTAAAGATAGGAGAAAGTCCCAAGCCTCTGAGGTTGCAAAATATGATGGCAATATTGATTTGTGTTCATTGCAGAAGAGAGCAAAAGGTTACTCATGTGTAACATGGGATTCACATGGTTCTTCATGGAAAAGAAAATGTCAAAAAGTTGAGTGACTAGGATGAATTAATTTTGAAATTAATTAGTATAACTCAGTTAGATGTAAGTTATGGGACGACATATAATGTTGTCAAAATATGTAATATTATTGATTTGCATAAGAAATTAAAAATATTATACATGCCAAAATTGTTTACAAATAACTATCGGAGTCTTAAAACTATTTTGCCCTTCAGCTTGTATGATAAAAATACTTTGAACATGGAGTAATTTAAACATACTTAACTATTATGTAGTAAATTAATACATGCTTACATTTTTTGATAAATATTGTTCTTGGGAAAAAGTGAATTGTTAAATTTATTAGTTCGATAAGAACCATTCACCATAAATTTACTATTCTTTACTATGTACATTTAGATGTTTGTTGTATATCTTCAATCATCCTTATTGAATTGCACTAGAAGGCTAAAGCCTAAAAATAGATAGAAAATTAAGTTGAAATATTAAGTACCAATGATGGTGAGGAGTACAACTTAAAAACTTGTGACAAATTCTATTTGATAAAGGTAATGGTTCAGCATTTGACTACCTCACTCACAACACAACTCAATGAGATTATTGAAAGGATCAGTAGTACATTGTTTAAGAGACAACTTTGAATGAGCTTCTTTGTATGACTCTATAATTAAACTTCAGTTAAGGTAGTTAATAAGGCATATTTTTTGGTGAATTTATCTTATTCTATGTTATTAGGACTCAAGACATCAAGTGGTTTGGTCTACTAAACTATAAATCTAAATAATGTATTTTTTAAAATATAATGAGGGTGTCAAGTGTTATATATCTTAGAATCTTATAAAATAGAAGATAAAGCCTAGAGGAGATATGATATTTGATGATGACATTAATGTCAAAGAGAATTCAACATATTGTTTGATGTGAGAATGATACTATTAGCTCAATTAAGTATAGCTAAATATAGAAAACAATAGTAGAAAATGATTATTGAAATCATGATTATTGTATTACATTAAAAATTGAACGAGACAACCTATTGTCACAAAACATTAAGAAAGAGAAGTCAAGATGTCATTGAGATATGTGATGAAGTGGTTTATGATTTTATTGATACCTCTTTTGGCCATGTGTCAATTCATAGTAAGAACAATGTAGGGTGGACAATTGTTATGAATGAAGAGATGAATTCTTTTGTAAAAAAGACAAGAAATTTAGTAAAATAAGTATTTGAGTAGAGCAGATAATTCGTTTCCAATGGGCATATAAGAAATAAGAAATTTCACATATGAGTGAGACAATAAATAGAAGTCGCATTTAGTAGAATAAGCATGACTAAAGTAAATATATTGATTTCAATAATATTTTCTAACCAATGTTATCACTATCTGATTAAAGTTATGTTAGCTATGATAACCATGTAGAATTATAATTAAAATAATATAAAACTCTATTGATTATATGAAAATTTAGATATAGAGATCTATAGGTTGCAACTAGATAGTTTTGTTGAACAAAATGGTAAGAAATTAGTTTATAAGCTTTCGGTGATCCCTTTATCATTTGAAATAAGTTCTATTTAATGGTATAAAATGTTTGGCACTTTTATGCTGTCATAGAGCTACATGAAGATATATATACATATATTGTTTACTCAATGAGGATTCTTAATTTAATGATGCTATATATTAGTGACAAGTTGATTATATGTAATTCAATGAATGAAATTACTAATTTGATTGGTCAAACCAATTTGGCATTCATTGAAATCAAGGAACAAACATTGAGATAGAGAGATGAGAGCCCTAATAGAATCTCATTTATTTCTCTTTCTTTTCCCCTATCTCTCTCTCTCTCTCTCTCTCTCTCTCTCTCTCTCTCTCTCATCTCTCCTTTATCATCCTCTATTTAAATAAGGAGGACGTGGGGATCTAAGGGATATGAAAAAAGAAAAAAAATGAGAAGAGCGGGGTTTCAACTTTTTTTTTGCTATGTCTTTGTCTCTTTCTCCCTCTCCCCTCAATCTCATTTGTCTAATTAAGAGAGGCTTAGAGATATCTAGAGCACACCATCTAGAGGAACACAAGCTTGACATCATGTGGAAGAAAAATAATCAATCAGCTTGTGAGTTTTTTTTTCGTACCTAAAGAAATACCATTGTAGCTCTTACCATAGTGGTAGGAGGATTTATTAAATTTTAGGCCACACTTATATAAAAAAAAAGAGGGTTGAAATGATCAGTTCCTAGTTTTTAGGAATGTAAAGTTTTTAAAGTGGTATGACTCCCTACTTATGTTTAATATCTAATAATACCTTAATTTATGGGTTCAATGAGGTCAGTTATCACTAATCACAATAGATAATTAACAACATTAGCTCTATTAGAATTTTACTCTAAAGTATTGTTCTATATTCACAACTCTATGTTACTAAGAAAGAAGTAAATAGTCTAGTTCTCTTAAATGATTAAATGAAAAATTAATTATAAATTGACCTACACAAAGTAAGAAAAAAATTATTGGTTATGTTTTTTAGATGATACTACATTAGAGTATGTTTGAAATTTCGATGAAGAGAATGATGATGTTGACTTGATTATTATTATTCTCTTTTTGTAAGGATCCTTAGTAACTATGGAAGTTGTCAAATTGATTTAGTTGAAGAAGATTGTTTATTACCTAAAAGAATTATTCAACTCAAAGATTTCATGTCATTTGGTCAATAATGAATACTCCTAAAATTCTCATAATTTTTTTTACATAAGATATCCATAATTTTTTTTTACATCACTAATGGGTTAGAAATGATCACTCATAATTATTTAACCATAGGAGAAATGGTGAATTTAAGTAAAAAAATTGTTCAAAATTCTTCCCTATTTTATGTCATTATTCAACACATAAATTCTAAATTTGAATGTGTTTAAATAAATACGACATGTCCTTTAAATTTTCAAATATGTTCTATCGTAAAACAATGTGCTACCATTTAACACCAACATATGTATCTGAAGCACATTAGTTCAATTAGGTTTGATAAGTATCTAATATCATCAAAATAGATTTGATAATACATGTCTAAATAAAGTAATAATTTGACAATCAAAACTTATCCAAATGAAAACAACCAATTTTTTTTATCAAGTAGACGTATTGAATCACAATCTCAATATATAAATTATACATTAAGTGATACAATTATTTAAACTTATGTAATTAATATTTTAAAAAGCTTGTATGATGTATGAGTAGTAAAAATTTGGTCAATTAAATTCAGTACCAAAATTATTCCAAAGTAATAGTTTAACATTATAAGTTGACAATAGATTGAGTATAATTTTCTACTTATCTTGTATTTTAAAAAATCTTGTTGATTCAAATGTGCTATCTAGTACTTTCTTACTATGTTAACTTTTGAAAATATTGGTAGGTTTCACATCAAAGCACAGCAATAATTTCACTTAAAGTATACCCAAGTTCTATATTTTGAGATAGTAAGATTGTAAAGATTTTCTTGAATTCCTATTTAGGTCTTTGTCATTATTACCTTCATTTCTTCCTTAATGTTAATTTGATTTGATTCATTCTATGGATAAATATATATTTAATCACATATCAAACACAAAGAGCATCAAGCATAATTCAATCTCTTAATTAATCTTATAAGTACTTGTCATCAGAAAAATAATGTGCACTTAACACTCCAATAGGATAAACTTCTTTACTTTTCTATTTGTATTCTATTCTGCCATATGAATATATTTATTTGTTAGAATATTTATAAACCAATATGTTTATACTTAGCATGCAATATGTTTAGAGATTCAACATCTACCATGAGTATATAAAGTGCATGACTAGAGAATGTTCACATCATGTTATCTTTTATCAATGCCATTCATTGGGTATTTGATTTTCAACTATTTCAATAATCATAGGTAAACCTTTGATTTGGCAATTTGGTTAGGTATCCCTTTGAATTATCAAATTATGCTGGAAATAAGTGGGTTTTAAATCCACGTAAAGATTCTCACTGTTCAATCTTATTGTGAGTAAGAATCATGTGATGGTAGATGAACTCAAAAAACAATGATGAAATCTTTGAATTACTTGCACATAACTTGAGTGTAGCTAGAGAGAGAGTTGATAGAAGCTCCTAAGTAGGGTATTTGGTTCTCTTAAGATTTGCAACCTCATCAGCAAGGAATGACAAAAAAATTCACCTCTTGGGCAGGGCATTGGATGGAAGAACCAACATGAAAGAGGCTGACTATACGTCCAAAGGGGAGACTGCTATTTCCCCCCCCCCCCCCCCGCTCATTCTGCCAGATGATATGATCAAAGAGATGAAGTCCTATTTCTGACTTTAGTGCTCCAAGAATCTTGGGAATGAGGCATTAGAGACGCTGAAAAGAAGTGGATATTTTCCTGCCCCTCCTGCAGTCATCTACTCTCCCTGATTCTTGAGCCTCCTGCAGTCTTTCCCTTGTTCCTTGAGCCACCATGAACCTACCACAGTCATCTCCTCACTGTGCTCGATCTCTGGCTCATTCTCAAAACAGCTACATCTCGTAGGAATGGAAGTTCACATGAGTGCAACGCTTCTCTGAGCAGCCACATGCCTGCACTGGTTGCCCTGGCCCTCTGGCAGAAGAGGTCTCTACACCCCAGAGATGGCTCCGTCGAGGCTTGAGAGGGCGTCCACCCCTGGTTACGTCGCTGCCCTCCTTCCTCCTCCCTCGGCCGCCACCGTGCAGGGCGGCGGCGGCGGCGGTGGCGGTGGCGGGGGCAGCGGCGGAGGGGGATCAGGTCGGAAGAGGTGTAGTTGCAGCACGAAGACCACGGTTGTCCATTCCAGCTCTTCATTCCAGTCCATTTTTAATAATTCGATAAAAAAATTACCTGTCACGCAGAAAGCATAAAAAACATGATATTTCGTTCTTTTCGGTATTTATTTTGAGAGTAAATATTTATTATATAATAAATTAAATAAATATATTTCTCTGATGAGGCATGGTGGAAGAAAAAAATAAAAATGTATGAGCTGGTTCTCGACCGAGCCCAGGTCAAACCGGGTCGGTGAGCCGAGCCGAACCGTTCGCCGCTCCGCCGGTTTGAGATGCTCGACTTGAAAAAGGAGGGAAGTTGCCGCCGGCGGCCTTGTCGTCCGCTTCCCTATCGTCGGTGAACTGGTGGGAGGCCGGGCGGGAAGAGTAGGGCGATCCCGGGGAAGGCGGGGCCACCAGTGGAGGGCGGGCGAGGCGAATGTGTCGGGAAGGATGCTGCACGAGCTTCTGCTAGCGCTGGTTGGCTACACGGGCGACTTTGTGATCGATGTGAGGGAGCAACGGAAGGCATTCGGTCTTGCGGATACCCAAATCTCGGACGGCTCGCCAGCTTTCAAGCTTGCCCCTGATATCTCCTTCCTCCAGCCGTCAGAGAGGTGACAGCATCTCTGAACTGTCTTCCCGAGACTAACTGCCAAAAACGTGTTGCACAGTGTTTTAGAAATAGCGGAGATGTGCTGTCATTTATTGTGAGCTCGTCGACTCTGTGATTTTGTGTTGTTTTAACGTTTGATGAGATTTATACTTCGGTTTTTGTGCGCAGGAGTGTCATCGAAAGTCTTCTTCCTCTGGGCTTCTATTATAGGGAGCTCGACCACTTTGCCGCGTCGTCCCGCAACTTGAGCTCCATAGTTGACAAACAGGGCGATCCTCTGAGGAATCATTGTTCAGAATCCGCGAAGGGGAGAACAACAAACCCCAGTACCTACCGCAGGGCCGTGGCTAATGGAATTGTCGAGATCTTGTCAGTGTATAGATCTGCGGTTCTACAAGTCGAGCAGAGACTTCTGGCAGACCCCGATCCCATTCTGGCAACTGTGACTCAGGGCCTGAACAAGGTGCATTTCTTGTATATTTTGGTTGGTGTTCCTTGTAACTACTATGCGATCTTGCAAGATATTTTATTTAACGCCACCTGTCAAAAGTTATAATGACTAGCTAGTTACATCACTTCATATGAGGACTTTGTCATGCATAGGGTATCTCTTGTGCCTTTGTTCTCCGTTCATATGTTCGAAACGCTGAGGATCAGGTTAAAATACGCAGAAAGTGCAACAGAAATGCTGGTAGGAATGAACTTGGCACACCTCTGGATATCTACTGAATAAAACTCCTAGCTCGAGAAGGGCATGCAAAGGGATAGGATACTCATGCTTACTGCTTCCCCAACTTTTTTTCTGTCCAGAAAAAATAATGGTATTCTCCTGTTTCATAACATGTATTTGATATTGATCTAAACTTCCAAGATTCATTTTCATGCACCTACAGATTTCAAGCTTAAAAATATTTTACTTTGAATAAGATGCTCCCTCAGAGTGCCGTTTTTCCGTATTTTCAGTTATGTATTTGGGGAAATGGTAGAGTTAGTGTTTCTACCTAAATGTTCTCTTGAAAATTGAAATGAAACACAACCGATAAAAACCCAGTGGTTATGCGATTTAACTCATCAAAGAAGGCCTGTTGTTTGTTTGTTATTCTTAGTCATCAAGTTCCAGTTTTTGCTTTCACTTTTAGTCCTGTTTGCAGTTCTGTCTGATTCCTTCCAAGCAGTTAGGAATTTGGTCATCCTGTGTCATGATCTGTGCAAGGATCAACCCAGTTGGTCACCAATTGTTGTGATTCGGTCAATGGATGACAATGGATGGTGATTACTCTCTTTAGAATCGACCTAATCAAATGCAAATGGCAAGACTTAGCAATTAACTATAAAATTTGTATATAATACTTTCAATTCAAGAGCACTTTTTAAGAACATTTATTTCTATTTTAATGTTAAGCTATGCCCTAATCCCCACTTGCATGCCAGAAAGAAGAGAAAAATATTTTGGATATATCACTCTAAAGTAGCTATGTCTAAGTTATCTAAAATTCCTTTTTCATTTTTTCCAGACTTTATTTTTCTTTAAATAAGCTTGAGAGCAGTATTGTATATTGTATTTCAATGTTGATTGTTGCCACAGAATACCAGGGAAAAATACCATTCTTCTCCTCTATGTGTATTTGGTTACTTTCTTATGCTTGGTCAACATTATGTATATCACTGGTTATTGTTATGCCTCAGTTCTATGTGCTTTTGCCTCCTCTGCATGAGCTCATTCTGGAGATCGAACGTGATGATATTAGAGGTGGGCAACTTCTCAATCTTCTGCACAAACGATGCCACTGTGGTGTGCCTGAATTGCAATCCTGCATTCAAAGGTATTTTTTCTGGTTTTATCTACCAACTGCAGCTTTTATTTTATAATCATTGTCCTTATTGTGAATGTATGTGGCTGCTGTCTCGGTTACACGAAATCAAATCTCTTGGGTATGAAAGGCTATTCTGGATGACATTTTACTTGATATGAACTGCTTTTTAGCAATGACCTGGCGAACACTGGTTTTGTTTCAGGAGAGGGCTGCCTTTTGGTGCCAAAAATCTATGATGGATGCTAACTGGTAGTGTATAAGTCTTCCAATTATAAAAATAGTAGATAAATGCAGGCAAATGCAGGCAAATGCAGGTAAATGCATTGGATAGCTTATTGGTAGTCTTGATAAGAAAACTCTAGGAGAGGAAAACTATAAAAATTAGCCCAACAGGTTGTACACTTTGTGTGGAAATAATGAAGCCATGAATCAAAGGCTTACAGTTAAGGTTCCTTTTAGGGTTTCACCGTAAGATCCGATATACATATGCTCTGTTAATGCCTTCTTGTCAAATGTAACTTTCAAGTCTCTTCAATGTTTTGTCTTCTTCCTTTGATGCTTATTAAAATGAATTCCATAGTGAGTGAAATGGAAAATTTTCACTTTCTATTTTTGCGAATAATACACAGGTCAGAGTGTTGAAACGTTCAGGACTTCCAAGCTGTATTTAATTTCGTGTAACCAAATTCAAAAACTTGCCCCCTACCCCCCAATTCCACTTGCGATCTTAATCACAGTAGAGCAGCTGTTTGAAGCATCACAATCACATGGATAAGTATATATATCTATATATATATATATAACATTATATATATCGCAAGTATGATTTTAGCTGCTGTGTGAATTTTTTTGGTACCAGTGATGCCTAGATTTCCACTTCTGATTGTGTGACAATCATTTCGAAATGAATAAAGCTTTTATTGTCGTCTTGAACTATCAGCTGCTGTTCTAGCAATAAAAAAACTCTGCAATTCTTATATTTAGCATATTCTCTTAATTTTTTTTTATGGTTGAAGAGTAACTATTACAGTTTCCTGGATGACAATCCGCGTTAATTCATAGCTCTTGTTGGAAAGTGACTGGAAACCAATTTTTTTTTGTTTTTATGACGTGTAAAGCATAGGCTCCTCTGGCATGGGCATCAAGTGCTATACCATCAACTAACTTCGTGGCTGATTTATGGCATTCTTGAAGATCAGTATGGGGAGTTTTTTATCACCAGGTACTTTTGTTAGCGAGTCAGATCGTTGGAAGTTATTGTCTCTAATTATAACTTTTTTGGCTTCTTATTCGAATAAGCCCTCTTGTTTTAAATGCAAAATTCTCAAATTGTAAGAGAAGATATCTAAATTCTTAATGCTTAAAAATGATTCATTACTAGTTTTACTTTTTTCTCCTTAACTAAGTTTATGCTTCAAGTTTCGTTCTACTATGTTACACAGTTGTGAGAACTGATCATTGAAATTGGATGATGGAAAGAAGTGCTTTTCAATGCATTAAAGATAAGCATGTGAAAATTCTGCTGTAAAATGGAAATGCGTTTATGTTGTCCATATTCTAATGGTTAAATCTATAATATCTTCATCTGTTGCTAGAAAACATGGCAGGAGCATGTGTTTCCAAGTGAAGAACTCATAAAACCGTTTCATCTGCTGTGCTTAGGATATTGATGCTTGAAAAATGTGTGGCAGAAAGTCTCGACCTTTGATTATTTATCCTGATGCTAATTTTCTGCTCTGGTAATTTTGAGATAGAACCATTTTTATTTAAAAAGAAAAAAGAAAAGCAAAACTTGAAAGAACCTATGACTTCATGTGTACTGCATTACACATCTATTGAGAGGATTCAAGATTGTATGGACATACAAGAAAGAGATGACCCCGTTCCATCCCTTGTTTAGTTTGCTTGTAGATCCAACAGGGTGTTTGTCTAGTGTCAGAGCTAATCTCTATATAATTGTGCTCTGGCATTTGGCAGGCATATGCCCATAAGGTTTATCCCCCACATTGTAAGAACTTATATGTTGCTACAGCTTTTGTCATATTCTTTCTTTTTCATTTTCTTAAACTTTTGCATAAATAGGAGGAGAGTAGGCATTTTCTCGACATTAATATAATGTTTGGAAATTGTATGTCAGACAAATCCATCCTTCATTGTGTGAAATTCCAATAAGTGGTCCATTGTTGTCCTGATGAACTGAACACTTGTCAGTTGAAAAGTTTGATGGTGTTCTAACTATCAAACCATGCATAGGGGGTGAGGAACATATACAAACCCCATCAATTGGTATGGAAAGAATCTTTGGTGTTGTCTTACTTGATGGTCTGTGGATGAAGAGGTTAGACTAAATGTATAGGATGCTGATGCAAATGCGGGTTTATGTGAGATACCCATGGCAGAGGTATTTCATGCAATGGTACGTTCTCCTGTCGTGTGAATGTACTCAGGAGCCAAGACATACTAATAGGTAAGAAGTGAGTTGACTTCGTCATCATCCTAACAATCACTAAGAAAATGTGAATTCCTGTTTGCTGTTGGGGAATCGCCACAGCATATAAGGTGGCACGCTCTCAATTCTCTACCCTTGGATTGGAAATGGTCGTAGGAATCTAGTTGATCTCTAAGGCTTAGTCTCCCTTATTGACAAAGTAAGCATATCACCATGAAGTCACCAAAATCTTTGTTCATTCTTGAACAGTCCTATGATGGGTGGAAAATGTCTTATTAATTTAGTGCTGACTAAAATTTGTGTACGTGCTAGAAAGACAACACAATGGGGACTAAATTTTGTTAACGGTTCAGTTGAGTTCTATACATGTTCCAATCTGCAAGCATCCCCTTGAATATTTCACTGGGTATTGGCTTTCCTGAGGTGGGAACTAAGCTTCTTCCGACTAGGTTTTTCAAGGTATCAACATAATCTTTCAAATCTTTCTTGGCGATTATAACTTGTATAAACCATTTATTGAAATGAAATATAGCTCTACTTTTTTTGGTCTTTAATAGTCTTATAATCAGTAAACATTATAAAAAGTCCCTCTTCTAATGGCTGCTTTTTCAGAATTTTCAATTTTCTTTTCGAAAAAAAACTAATTACAAGTTTGGAGGTCTTAAACCCTAGAAGTTAGGTGTTGACGCTTTCGTCTACCAACTGTATTTATGTTGCAACACATTCAAGGAGCTTTATACTCGAAGTCCATTTGCCAATGTTTTTCATTCTCTAGTTTAGATCTATAACTTTTTGACTTGTTCCTAGGGTGTTGACACATAGTAACAAAGACTCAACCCTGCATAAAAGGCTCATTATTTTTTCTGTGCCATCTCTTCTGTAAATGCTTATCTTCTGGGTGTTGACCTGTTTTCTCATTTCGTGTACATGTCAACACATTTATACCATCAATAGTCTTTGGAGGTGTTGACACATTTTGTAACTCTATATTTTGTTAATTTTGAATGTAAAACACTTTATGACGTATATGAACAAGTTTATGTTTGACTCATCGATGAGGATTATAAAGTTATGATATGATTTCAAACCCATCATTCTCTTTTATATATGATTTATTAGGTTTTGATCATGCCAACAACAATCAAACTTTAGTAGAACTTTTAAACACTGAACATTTAGTTCGCAAATCCTACTTTAGGGTTTCGTGCAGCTTGGTATAACTTAGATGGAGCCGAGGCCTATCTGAGGAGCCAAGGTCTATCTTTGGGACTTTACTGCTTTGCATGCTTCATTATTCTACTATGATCCTTGAAACCTTGAAATGGCACATCAATCGTCTTCTTGAGCAGAGTCTTCATTCTTGGACCAGCATCTTCACGGGAAAAGTCTTCTGTCTGATTGCATTAATGACAATACAATGGTAGGATAGCTCGAAGTTAAAAATGTTTGGCGTACAGGCCGTCATATTTGAGGTTTAGGTTAGACTAAAAGACTATTCCTCAAATGTTTATTTTGAGGGAGTTAATCTGGGTATTGGCATGTTGAAAGTTGTACTAAGAGTCATCAAATTCTTATTGATAGCCATTACATTGTTCAGACTGTCTGAGGAGGCTTTATCAGGAGTAGAAGTGCTGAAAAGACCGAGAAGCTTAGCTAAATCCTTGCCATTATCTAGGAATCTCCTTTCCTGTGGATTCTGGAGAACCTAACTTACTGTTTATCACATATACGCTGAAGCTTAATTTTCTGGTTGAAGAAAGATCGTGGAATTCATTTGGTTGACCTCTTTTTTACTGGAATCGGTTTAGTTTCCATATTGTACCTTAAGAACAAGTGAAATTCCTAGATGGAGCAGATCACTAACTATCCATAAAGAGATAGTTTTATAATGTTATTTTTATAAAACTAACTGGACTTTCAATTTTGTCTGGCAGACAAGAAGATGGGGATGGCCCAGAGAATGAATCATCTAACACAGACAAGGTTAGAAGGTTGCCTCAGAAAACATCTGGTGATGCATCTCTTAGCGATTGGAACTTGGGCTTCCATGTATCTTTGGTAGGTGCCATCACTATTTTCTTCATTGTTGCCTAATTAATATCTAGGTTCCTAATGTACCCATGTTGTGGTTTTTACATAACTTCTTCTTGATAATTGAGGCAGTTTCCACTAGAGTGCTTGTTCATTTTATGCCCCTTATATGAAGTTAGAGTCCGGATTGACATAAAATGGACAGGTTTGGTCACTAATATAAATTGTGTTGGACCCAAACACTCCCAGAGTTAATTTGGTTTCAAGTAAATCCATTAAATACAATGCAATCATGGTGATAGGATTTTCCTATTATTTTTGGCAAGTATTTTTTTTCTCAAGAAGAAAATAAATCATAAGTTATATCAGAATCATTCGATATTTTGGAAGCATATGATGAGATCTCTGGCCAATGTGAAGTTCTTTTTTGAGAGTGATGACAATATGATGGGTGGCTAATCAAGGAAGATGCAGAGGCTTTAATTTCTCGCATATGTTCATTTTTGCATTAGGATTTTTTTTTTCAAATTAGGACTTTTCAAGAACAAGCAACTAAAGTCTTTTCTTTTAAAAAAGGAGAGAATTTTTTTTTCAAAAATTGCAGTAGTTTCCTTCATTCTGATGTATTTATGTTCCAATATTGTTTGAGTCATGTGACTTTCAGGCAGCTGGATGATGCTAGTTGCACTTGCTTGTGGATTAGAAATTATGAATTTTTGCCAGCAACTTTCCTGTTTAAACATCAAGCATCAAAAGCGCTTTTCGTTATAACAACTACGCATCTATGCGTGAATATGTGAATTTACAAGCATGTGTTTATATGGGAATTTACGCACATAGGTGAATATGTGAATTTACAAGTATATGTGAATTTTGCCATACCATCACAAGGAGGGGGATGCAACGTTTTGAGCAACTCTCACCGTTGAAGGTTATGACGCTTTTATCCAGTGATTCTGGCTTTGCAATCTACTGATTTAAAGATGAATGCTTGTTTGTTTATCGTTCTTTTTCAAGAAAGCTATTGAACCTACAACCAATTGTTAGACACTTAGATCATCCCCGAGAGTATGTAGGCCAGCACTGTTGTTGTGTAAGTTGGGGTTTTTCGTTGAATTTTCCCACATCTTATTAATGTCCATGTTTCTGCTTGGCGCTTGTGTCACAGTCAGCATTACTGTGAAGAATTACTTTCTCTCCACGAAAATGCCCGCTTGAAAGTGATAAAAACCTTTATCATCTTGGTGCGGCCAAATGGATTGTGTTTTGCTTCTTATGCAATCGAGAGATAGTATATATCCATATGTTTCTTCAGCCACTATTAATAAGATCAATGTTAAATGAGCTGTCTAACTTGTTGGTTCTGGCACGAACAGGACATGCTTCCCGAATATATCCATATGCGTGTTGCAGAATCAGTACTTTTTGCCGGAAAAGCAATAAGAGTCCTTCGAAATCCTAGTCCTTTTAAATTTCGTGAAGCCTTGGTTCATCAGCAGATTCATAAAACACCTCATAGATTTCAAGGCATTTTAGGGAACTTTGATTTACAAAAAGAAGCTTGTATGCAGACCTTTAGTGGTGAACTTCTTCCTCAAGCTGAGTCCGACAAAATTGAAGGCATGCTTCAAGAACTTAAGGTTTTGAATTTCTCTATTACTTTTGTATCATTTGCATATCTTTGCTCTAATGCCTCCTTTACTGGAAACACATTTTTGAACAATAATTAATTCACCATGTTCAGGATTTATCAGAGTTTCACAAGCGAATCTTTGAGTCTGTTGTAGACTCTGTTCGTACTATTGCAGCGAATCATCTCTGGCAGGTAGGTGTTTACTTTGAACGTAACATAATTCCGATGTTTCCATTGATCTAATAATTACTCTGTCCTCTTCACAGCTTGTGGTCATACGTGCTGACCTTAATGGACACCTCAAAGCTCTAAAAGATTATTTCCTTCTGGCAAAAGGAGATTTCTTCCAGGTAAGTTACCATTCTCTGTGCCTAATAGTTCTCATGTTGTTATCATCCTTGTTCCTATAATAATAAAGACGACAACTATGGTATTAAGTTTTCTTATTAATATCATTTGTGATGGGTTTTTCATGATAGTAATTGTTACAGTACTGATAATAATACTATAGGCTTAATTGAAGCTCTTGTGCTTGGAAAGTCAAGTAATCAAGATGGATCGTGTCAAACTGGTTACAATTTGGTGACAACTTTGGTCATTTGGCTCTGATTATACAAGTCCCTGTTACTGTCTCTTTCTTCCTCTTTAAAGGCTTTACATATAGATTCCCTTGATCCCTGTATACATAAAAACTTGAGAATCTTTGTCTACGTTATGATGGATGATGCAGCAACGACGTCAGTAGCTGCAACAGTGCTCTCTTAATTCCCTATCCATCATTCCAAGGCTCAACGAAGCTTGAACACTCGAATTTCTTGTTGTCTTTTTATTTCTTTACCCGTATATTCTTCTTATTTCACAATTTATCACGATTCTATCTTGACTTATAAATACAGCTACATTCAACCATTTTCCATGTTTTGCTCATATCATACATCTATGGTTATTCTCCCTTTGTTGAAGATTGAGGTGCTTGCTTTTTGTTCTACTTATTGATCGGTAAATTTTAACTCTTTTTTCGCGGTTAAAATGGCCATAACTGAAGATTGAATCCATAATTACCTGGAACAGTTGAATTAACACAATGTTCGGGCTCATTTTCTCCCACTTGTCTTTGTGAGAAATATTTTGAGAGCTCATGGAAAACGTACGCGTAGATCCCTTTATTTTTTAGTTTTTTTGACGAATATGTGCTGTTACCCACTTAAAAAGAAATCTTATTGTGATTATCTACATTAGCTTCTCCGTTTTATAGATCCTCTGCGGCTCACTTACAATGTCCTTTCAAACATCTCTGCAGTTTCGCCCCCTTTATGAAATTCCTGCTGCACTGTAGCTTCTTTCTGTTTCATTAGTTAGAATGGGTGATTGTCGAAGCTGCATACTTGGTTCAATAGATTGATGCTTGATTGATCCCTTTAGAGGGGGCTAAATTAGGGTTCATGTCAGATGAAAATGGATGCTAAATTTGTTAAGCTGTTCTTCAACCTCGAAATATAAATTTGAGGGTAGCGCTTGTGTGCATGAATCTCGTAGAGGGAATGTGGGAAATTTGACAAAATCATCCGTTTCCAAAGTTTGTGACCTTCTAAAGTTGAACTGAAGTTTGTAGTTTTTATTTTATGTTAAATCTTCGAGCACAACTGAAAAACGATGGACTATTATGTTGAAGTAGGGCCGTATAGATAGTCAAGATGGGGAGAACACAAAGCCCATTGGATTCAGTCCATACATTTAACAACATAATTCTGGTAGTCCGTTTTAATGTTTGACTGTAAAAGAGTGTCTAACGTAATCATGCTAAAATCCTCCATCCTTTTCTGGTTCTCTTTTATTTGTCTTCGTCTTGTATTTTCTCATTAAATTTGAGCATTTATTGGCTTTAGCACTTGTGAAGTTTTTGTTCATTTCCATGTATTGCTACCATATTTGCTATTATTTTCCTGCATTATAATTATTGTGACTTAACTGGTGTGTGCTTGGTGTTTTTTAGCAAAAAAATTGTAACTAGTCAACGTATGGGTTTTTTTCCACTTGCTCATTGTTAGATGAACTTGCCCTACCGTAGATATTTGATACATTGTTTATATGTCGGCTAATTATAACATTTAAATATATTGAAACAGTGTTTTCTTGAAGAGAGTCGTCAGTTGATGCATTTACCGCCTCGTCAGTCAACTGCTGAAGCTGATCTAATGGTTCCTTTTCAGTTGGTAAGATTTATTTGCATCTTTATATAAATACTCTATGATCCAAAATAAAAGTGAGTAGGTACTGTCAGTCAGAAACCAGAATGGTAACTCTGTGCACATGCAAAGGTCGTTGCCATCCCGTTTTCAAAATGTGATTCACAAGATGTTTGAATTTGACAATCTATTATTTTGTGGTTATTTCCGACCAATCAGTGATTTAAAATATCTCGTTTCCAATATTGACTGAACTTAAAAATTCTTCCCTCTTCTCTTCGGTTGACATTTTTTTTTATACGTTTTCTAAACGTTGTAAATCCCAGGTTATTTAAGGTGAAAGGAATAGACGGCAACCTGAATGGGACTTAGCTGGGTGTGAATCACGTATTGAGGAGCAATAAGAAGGCAGTAGTAGAGGAAGTATATGAGACAATTAAACAGATAAGGATAAATAAAACTTGAAATTCCTAATGCACTTGTGGCAAATTATGTGGCTACTCTGTGATTAGAGTTTGTTATCTTTGCTAATGTGCAACAGTGAGCAAATTTTGTCTAATTGTGGATGGGATGAATCTCCTTTTGAGAACCCTGCATACGTAGTGCAACATACGTTATCCTGGTGTATGTTCTTGGATCTTAAATTGGGGGCTCATCTCGGCTCAGTTAATGCAACCTTTTGTCATGATTTGAAGAGGAGAGTGGTCTATTTGAACTGCCTGGTTGTCTTCAACCAGTTACATGCATCAATGTAATTACCCTGAGTAAGGAGTATAGGTTGTTTATAACAATCGGTAACTTGGTCATACATAGCCTCCACAATTTCAGAATCACCCTGTTGAATGGCCAATTCTCCCCAGTCGGAATAGGCATGCCAATTACTTTCCTTAGAACCGTATTTGAGAGTTTCCTACGTCATATGGCTTATCAGTCAGTTCTTTAGATGTCGGATCTTGATCTACACAACTGAATTAAATGTCTGATAATTTTTCCCATTTTTAGGGTTCACAAAATGAAATCAATAATATAATTTCAAAACCTAATTTAAATCAATGAATGTTGACGTAATTGTTCCTTTCTCTAACAATTAGATAGCACTAACCACGTCCAAAAAAAAAAAAAAAGGTTTTTACGTCAGAATGCATAATGCTTATGATTGTTGTAACTTTGGATTGTTACTTCTTTTTGATCCTCGTCATGGATGTATTCAACAGAAAAACCTTTTTCGCGCCCATCTATTCTTTCTTCCTTGGGAGGGTATGTCACTGTACGAACGTAGGCCTGCTGCCATTAATCTAGTCTGTATTTCGCATTACAGGCTGCTCTAAAGACGATTGGTGATGAAGATAAATACTTTTCAAGAGTGTCCATAAGGTTTGTTATTCTGGACTGGTTGGATCGTTTGATCATTAACTAAGCCCTCTTTCATACAGTTATCAACATTCTACAATAGCAGATGTCGTCTTATGAATCTTCCTTCATTGCTCTGCTCTTCTAGGATGCCTTCTTTTGGAATTACTATGGGAACAACGCTGAGGGATTCTGAAGTAAAGTTAGGTTCTGTTTTACAAGGCACTGGTTCACCAGAGATGTCACTTGATGGTTGGGATGGTGTTTCTCTTGAATATTCTCTCGATTGGCCTTTGCAGTTGTTCTTTACACAGGAAGTTCTTTCTAAGTAAGTCCTGTAGCTCATTTTTTTGTGTGAAGATGAATGTCCTTTTGATATGGTTCAATTTTTATATACAATCATTATTACACAGGTTCAATTTCCTGTAGCTCATTCTTGATAAAATTTCAGGTACATCCGGGCTTTTCAATATTTGATCAGACTTAAGAGAACTCAGATGGAGCTTGAAAAATCTTGGGCTTCAGTTATGCAACAAGATCACTTCGACTTTGCTAAACATCGTAAAGATCGAAAGAACTATTCCATTTCTCAACAGCGTCGACAGCAGTCTAGACCTATGTGGCGTGTTCGGGAGCATATGGCTTTCTTGATTAGAAATCTTCAATTTTATATTCAGGTCAGTGCTGTGAATAATATGATGCTTTTATTCATTCACGGAAGATAAGAGCATTTGCATTACCAAAATTAAAAAACACTCCACTAAACTGCCGAAAATAACTAGTCCCCTGTAAGAATGCAAATCACACATGACTAAGTTTTTTGATCTGATTAATACATAATATATATTTTTTCACCTTTCTTTGTAAAACCAGGGAATGAATTTTGCATTTATTACTATCAGAACATGAAGTCTAGTAAATAAAACTAATAAACTGCAGAAAAAGACTTAGCTAGAAATATAACCAGATTTCAATACTAGTGCTCGTGAACTCAAGCTGCTTTTTAACTACGATGTCCAAACTCTGTTTGAGAATGTTCTATTGACATGACTCAATCTGTTTATCAAGTTACTGAAAAGTTATTTCCTCAAATTTAACGTTAGCAAAGTCATCCGGCAACTAAAATAATTGGCAAGTATTTATCTCATTGGCTTTTGATTGTTTGCACATGGTTTTTATATGTTTTCAATAGGAATTTCCATTTATTTAAGTTGAATTGTGCATTTTACCTGGATTCTTAATTATTACCATGAGTCACTTTATGAATTCTTTTTTTGCCATCGTTATAATCTAATGTTGTAGCCTTAAGTAGAGTATGCTTCTTTGCCTTTCTTTTGGTCTGTTGTGTTGTTTATCCCTGCATTGGTATTCTGGTCCTCTCCCTGGTTCAGAATGGTGACGTAATTGGAATATTGTCAAACTTGGACCTGCTCGATTAGTTCGTGGTTTGAAGAAATGTACGTTTTGTATTATAAAATATAGCTGGCCTGACCCATAACTTTTTCCTGGAAGATGGTTCTGTTATGAAATATCAGCGAAAGATTAGAAGATGGAATTACAAATAAGAATATGTACAACAAATTTCCGTTGAAGATGTGAGAGCCACAGGGTGTTAATTGTAGTCCTGGCATATTTAGGTCTAAGCACGAGAGCTATTTTGACTTATGACCTTACAAAAGAACGCAGGCAATTTACCATTTATTCGTTCTCATGAAAGCCTGAATTCCATACCGTAAAAAAAAAGCAAGTCATGAACATTCTTCCTTTGCCACGGGGTTACTTAAGCTAGAGATCCCCATGTCTTCATTCAAAAGCCTACTACCGTGTTAAAGAAATATACTTAACTAATTAATTTACGTTTTCTAAATTTTAAGAATGTAATTGTTAAGATGGGTTTTCATCGTCAATAGCTTGGAACTGGGTGGAACCACAAGGATAGCCTAGAATCTGATCGTAGTCGAATTTGACACTGAAGAAAATAACTGTTTATTTTATTTTCTTCAAATACGGCTTTATCTTTTTATACTAGACTGTTGAGCATTAATTTATACTTCATATGTTATTTTGAAGAATGTAATAACATGGGATTGCTATGTATTTTCGATTCCTCTTCTAATTTTAGATGTCATGCATCTTCAGGTTGATGTCATTGAATCTCAATGGAATATTTTGCAAGCTCATGTACAGGATTGTCGTGATTTCACTGAACTGGTAGACTTTCACCAAGAGTAAGTAAATAGGTGCTTCTTTACTGTTACTGTGAACGTTCTCCATATTTTTTATAGTTACTCAACACCTAATTGATAAAAATCTCAGCTGCTTTTTATGATATACTATCAACCTATTACAGACTCCTGAAAATTTGTCATTTGGATGAAATCTGAATATACACCTTATTGCTTCGAAATACTTTCTTGTCTGCCACTAGAGTTTCATCATTATACTTAAGATAATGAATAACGAATAATCAGAATTTCATCAATAGGACTTTTTCTTTCGCAAAATAAAGGCATTTTAGTCAATAATCAAATTTCCATCAGTTAGAAGTTATGTTCCATCAGATTTGAATTTCAGGCTTCCCAAGTAGTGTACATGGAATGACGTTTCTAGAATTGGCAATTGTGCCGTTTAATCTAAAACGGTCTATTAATTTTCTGATGTCACGAAGATCCTCTATGACTTTCGCCTAGATCTACATGGGGTTCGTTGATTGTTTATCTTGCTGAATATTATTATGTGAATCAATGCTGAACCTGAATAATAGGGGCAACAATCATGATTTCTTTTCGTGATGAAAATCTGATGTTTTAAATTCAGGATGGACTTTGCCCCGCCCATTGACGTCCCTATTCTTGCTGTCCCTTATTACATGTGCATGAAATTCTTACTCTTGAATTCCTTTTGCTTTAGCCTGTCCTACCCGACTGCATTTGGCTAGTTTTTTCCCCTTTGTTAATATTTTGGAGAAAATAAATTTTTCTATGGCTAAGTTTGATGGCAGGATTTAACTCGGAAATTTTATTTTCAGATATTTAAATGCCTTAATTTCTCAGTCCTTTCTGGATATTGGGTCCGTCTCTCGAATATTAGACAGCATAATGAAGCTTTGTATGCGATTCTGTTGGAATATTGAACATCAAGAAAGCTGCTCAAATTCAAGGGAGCTAGAACAAATCATTGAGGTATTGTTACTGTATACATTTTCTCCCTGGTTCCACATATCATGTAATGCTTTCTTCGCTGTTGTGTAACTAGCCTATGTGTGTTTCTTTTTTGTTTACGGGAGTGATAAGGCTCACATAAAGGAGTAAGAAAAATGGAAGCATCTTATAGAAATTTATGCAGTCCCTTATCTAATCCGCGGAAGATGTACCCTCACCTTATAATTAGCTTATACGATCATAAGCCAAAATACTAGGATGCCTCAGTGGACCTTGTTCCTAGAGTAGTCCGAAGACCTATTATGCCACCTTGGGATGCACATTGACAATATTCTGGTCCATGCTTGTGATTCCCACTTCAGCTGCATAAAACTTAAACACATGATGAAGCATTGTTTCTCTTTCTTTCTTAATGACCTCAGTCTATCCCCACAATCTGTGCATACTTCCATCGCCCATGAATTTGTTCTGGCTTTCCCTTTGCCCTGTCAATGTTTCCCTTCAGTAGATTCTTCCAGCCGTTGAGGCAGATTCCGACTGCAACCTCTGTCTGATGCCTGATCCATCGTCATGGCCAATTCATCAGCTTGCTTGGCATGGCTTCGATGGTATTTTGATGCTTCTTGAACAGAACTAAGTTCAGGACATTGAGTACTGGGCTCGTATCCATCAGCACTGAATCAACTCCTTCCTGGGCGACCAATAGATTGATTGGGGATGCTGTCCCTATCAGAAACCTATTAAGTTCTGGCCCACCCAATGTTCTCCCGGGCCTTGCCGCAGGGAGAGTATCTGTTCCTTTCTGTGCTGGTGTTTTGCATCCTACTTCGTGCCAGAGTGAAAAATAAAGCAGTGTCACTTATGCATTCACAACCCAAGCTTCGTGTTGGATTGTTTTTTTTTGGGTGTCCTGATTGATTTACTCTCATCCAAAAGCATGTTCCTACCTGAAAATAGATAGATAGATAGAGAGAGAGAGAGAGAGAGAGAGAGAGAGAGAGAGAGAGAGAGAGAGTCAATCGAAAAGAAATCCTAGCGTGGGCCTAGTTGGCCCCTACTCTAGTTGACCAACTAGCACACTGGTATGGAACATTGTAGGCCAATTGCGTCTACATTCTAGTGGGCTTACTAAGGGGAAGGATTAGCAGAGGTTGAAAGTGGTGGTAAATTTTACATTTAATGAGGATTGGGAGCTATGCGTAGAGGTTCTGTCTTATCATTGGATGCAGTAAGTTGCCACTTCAGTCAACGTAGTATAGTAGGAAAGGTTCGGGCATGCGTCCTCTTAAGAATTTTACCAAATGCATCTTATCTAGGACGAAGGTGGAGACTTCATATTTAAAGTCGGCTTGTACTGTACGCATTTTTCTCCATGGTTCTGGTCATATTTGGTCAATTTATCCGAGTCATAATGAGCCGCATCATGCATCTGGGAGAAGCTGGAACTGCAATCTTGTTTGATATATGAACCTGCAGAGGGCCTCCTAGGGTTTTCTGTCTGAGAGAGTCTGGTGAACGAAGATTCTACTGGGATGACGGCGACTGTAAAAATCAGTCAAACAAGTCAAACCTGATCTTTCTAAAACCAGGTAGGTGGACGAGGGAATTCGATGGTGATTGGGCCCACCAATAATATGCTCTGTGACCTAAAAATTTAGCCTGTGGAGGGAAGATAATGCGTAGGGGCTCTGGATGCCACTGAAACGATGTGGATGGTGGGAGACAGTGAGGAGCTCTAGTCAGTCTATAAAACATGGGTTGATGCTGGATGCTGCATTGGGCAACATAGAGATTAATAAATAATTTGTGGGTTCTCAGAAAATCACTCAAACAAATTGCATTGATTACCCAAAAAAAAAAAAAAAAAAGAAAAAAGGAAGATTTTTGCGCTTTTATTCTTGCGCCTCTTCAGCTTTTGGCTGCCCTGAGCGACATGTTTAGTCCTGAATGGGATCTCTATGCGCTGCTGCAGGAGTTCAACAAGAAGTCCAACTCCCTCTACACGATCCTCCGCAGCAGCCGCTTCGCCGGAAGCCAACGAGCCCCTTCCCTGAGGCGGTTCCTCTTGCGTCTCAACTTCAACTCCTTCTTCGAGGTAGAATCCACTTCAGCCCTCTGATTATTCGGATTAAAAATCCCATCTTTCGAGCTCCGGAGACGAGTAACGTCATATGGGCAGGTGCGAGGGTTGAACGTCATTCGGACTTGCCCAACCGCGCCGCCTCCCCTCAAGCCGCAGCCGCAGCAGCAGTAGCAAGCAAGCAAGCCAGGCCATCTCTCTCCTCGTCTCTGGCCCTCACTGTATAATGATGCATTCTCCTGAATCAGCCGTGACACGGAAACTTATGGCCGAGGAGGTCCATTCATGGCGTGTCGGCTTCACGGGGGAGGAAGCGTGCACCTTTAGCTGGGCCCGTCTTCTCACTCGGAAATGAACAGGAGCGCCGGTGCCGATAGGTCTCGTCAGCGTGCTTCTTCTTCGTTGGGGATTCCTTGTCAACGTTAACAAACCCCCAGCCCTCCACTGCTGGACCGGCATGCACAACCGGCGCCTGACAAGGGCGCCGGCGCCGGCGTGCGGCTCCGAGGCGTCCTGCGCGGGGGCAGTCCTCGCCTGCCGGGTCGGAATAGCGACGGGCGCCTGGCGTGGGGTGCCGGCGGGCTCTGCGTGCCGGGCCAGGAATATTAGCGAGCGCCCTGCAGTGCCGCTGTGCCGGTGGGGTTCTGGCCACTGTAGCCTGCCGGGCCGGGAATATCAACGGGCGGTCGGCAGTGCAGCGGCGCCGCCGTGCTGGTGGGGTACTGGCCACAGTCGCCTCCGGCGAACAGTCTTCAATGCGCTAATATCCCCGCCGATAGCTATGTTCTGAAGTTGAGGTGACGGTGCTGGTGGAGAGAGCAATCATGCCATGGCCTTGCCTTGAAGACATGGTGATGTCCGTCCGTGGGAGCCGTGAATCGAGGTGAAGGGACGATCAAATCAAAGCCTAGGGTCTCACCTCCCCACGTAAACTACTTGGGAATTTATTCCCCTATCCTCTCTCTCTCTCTCTCTCTCTCTCTCTCTCTCTCTCTCTACATCATCCGTCTATCTTTCTTACAGCTTGCGTGTCACGCAAGCCGAGGAAGGGTGAATCTCTTGCGAAATTCTGCACCACTATCTACCTAGTTTATCCATTCTTTTTCATGGTGGACGTCGGAATACGTGGGAGTTCCGAATTTGCTTGGATTTTATTTCCCTGTCAGCATGGGGTCGCCCACGATGCAGTGACCCGAATTCTAGCCTCAATTCTCTCTACTCTCTCTCTCTCTCTCTCTCTGAGTTAACGTATACATCTGCACATGCGTCAATCAATCTATCTAGTCAAATACCAGCTCCTCTTGCCATGGCCTTGCAATCCTTTTAAACTGTAGTATTATGAACTCTCTCTCTCTCTCTCTCTCTCTCTCTCTCGCTCGCTTTTTGGTGGGTTTGTCATTTCGCAGTTTATTAAGCAACAGAAGCTTTGAGTTGCCGTTACCGGCGAAGAAGATTCACATGTGAGTAGCCCATGCACAAGAAGATACAGCTTCTTGATTTAGCACCAGTAGATTTAAGTGAAGACTTACTAGTGCATAATAAGCTCGTCGAGACCGTCTTAGGCCCGGTTGCGTGTTCATGGCTCCAGCTCTCTTCTTCCCCGGGGGCAGATGTTTTCCACTGCGATGCGTCGAGAAGTGAGCTCACCCTCTGTGCTTCCAGGTTTTACTATCAGAGATAGCTCTCCCTCAATCTCATCTCTCTGTGGCCGACAAACCCCTGGTCGAACGCAGACTTCAATTCTCTTCTCCTGTTGAAAAAGTAGGAGGGCCCCTCATCCCACCAGCATGTTCCGGCCACAGTACTTGATTGCTCGAGGCCTCCGAAGAAAACCCACTTGAAGACTCCACCTCTCCTTCTCTTACTCCTCTCTCTCTCTCTCTCTCTCTCTCCCTCTCCTACACCTCTCCTTCTCATGGTCATTATATACGATACGATACTTCACCTCGACCAGGGCGAGCAGTCCCCAGCTGGACGGGTGGGCAAGACCTTGCTGGAGAAGCAGGGCACGTGCAAAGCCCTCCTGTTACTCCTCTCCCTTCCCCTTTGCACGTGCTCCCCTTCTCCAACATGGATTCCTCACCCTCATTACCCCCCTAGCTCAGGGTGCCTCGTTTCTGTAAGCGGAATTCATGACGTAGTTCCTCTCTCTCTCTCTAAATCTCCGTTAACGCCTGTTCAGTGTTGGTTAGTTGCAGTTACTTAGCATCATGCAAGGGAAGCTTTCTCTCTCTTTCTCTGTCATTCTCTCAGTTAGAAATTTATCATTATCGTAAGCTCAAGCTCAGTGTGGGTAGTTTCCCTGCAGTATCACATTTGGTTCGTGGGAAGGACGCGCCCTCTCTCTCTCTCTCTCTCTCTCTCTCTCTCTCTCTCTCTCTCTCGCTCTCTCTCCGTGTTCGAAATTCCTCATAGGTGTGCTCAATGTTGATGGTACCTGCTGTGTAAAATTTGCCTCATGTCAGAGTAAGCTCTCTCTCTCTCTCCCTCTCCCCCCCCCCTCTCTCTCTCTCTCTCTTTGTTTGTGTACGAAATTGCTCATACCGTGTGCTGAGTGTTGATGTTACTTGTTGTGTAAATTTTTCTTCATGCAGGGTAAGGTCTCTTTCTCCCTCCCTTACAGACATGTCATCCTCTCGAAAAGAAATTCAACGTCTTGATTTTTTTAAGTGTTTGTATAGATCAGCTTCATTCAAGGGAAACTCCCCCTCCCCCTCCCCTTCCTCTCTCTCTCTGCCGCATTTGCTCACTCATCCTCTTGGAACGAAATTCCTCGTCGACCACCGTCCACTTTTAGTACATGTCAGCCTCGTGGAAGCTCCCTCTCTCTCTCCCCGTTACTTTTCATTCATCCTTTGGGGAAGAACTTCCTCTTAACATGCGTCGAGCGTTGGCTGCGCTTGCAGGATCAGACCAGCTTCAATCAAACCCGCTCCTCTCTAACCGGTGTTTAGTACTTGCCTGTACTCAGTTTCAAAATAACCTTCACGGGGAGCGGGGGGGGTGTGAAGCTCGCCCCGCCACCCTGCTGCGCCTACGTGCATGGGACTTCGCGATCCTCGTCCGCACGCGCACGAGACCAGGTGGCACGTGCGGACAAACATTCCAACTCGGGAAAAGAATGCGCCCCCCCCCCCGCCTCACCCTGCGCGGTTGACTTCTCTTCCTGCCTGCTATGAACGGAGAGAAACTTGTGCTGCTGCCCTTCCCCAGAAAGGAAGGGGCAGAAGCGCGTCGAGGAGGGCGAGTGGGGGCGCGACCGCCGTCGCAGTCCTTCCTTCGAATGTACACGCACGGTTATCTAGGTGAAGTATCGTGCGCTCCAGCGGAGTTCTCCGCCTCTTTCCACGGCGATGCCTGACGCCGCCGCCGCCTCTGGTTCTCGCTTCCTTCGTTTTAACCGCGGCGACCTGGTGCAACTATTCTATCCCCCGGACGTGTGGGTTCTTGCTTCTGCTTAATTTAAGGTTTGCTCCTGACAAATTTCACATATTCTTTTTCTGCCTCTACACTTTGAGAAATCGTTTTATCTACGGTAACCATACAAAGTCAAAAAGCTATTGGGAACGTGTGGATGTCAGCCCCAAGTCCCATATGGGCCTCAAGAGGACGTAAACGGGCCGGGCCTAAGGGCCTCTTTCAAAGTCAATACGAGATGGGGCCCATTTCCAGCCTGGACTGCCTTTTTCTTATCCTAGATCTTACTGCAAAAGCATTCCATGGCCCCACCATGGGATCGCAACTCACCTTGTCCCGTTGAGTTTTTCGGTTTTGGTAGCCTACGTGGCATCACCACCTTGTGAGGTTGATGAAACCTACCAACTATTTACTTACTAGATATATATAGTGAATATAAATAAAAAAAGTATTATTTCAACGAAAGTGCGCTTGTTTCTCCCATTAACGTTTCAGGGCACTCAAGGAATTTTGACGATTTCTAGCAATAATTTGACTCTTTTCATGCTCAATTAGTGAGGTGAATATTATGTTTAAGTTACATTTTTAATGGAAGAAAATAATTTAGGGAAGGCTTGAAATCAATAGTTGCCTCGAAGCAATTCTACTTTGGGTCCCTTAAATCAATTTATGGTTTTCTTTACGTCAAAAATTCTTTTGATATTCCTTATTTCATGTGGGTATTGATTTATGATTCCACTCACAGAATAATATAATGCTTTGAGAAATATTTATGGCACTATTTATTGGGTGGTTTTTCTTACTGCTGATTAGACATCTTTGTGCCCAAAAAAGTGAGAAAAATTGGTGAAACTGTGTCTAGTTTTGGTAGATAACATAAATGATGTATATATATATATATTTCATTAAAGATGGTCTTCCAAGGACCCTTTGTATATATATTTCATTTCCTTCTTGACTTTGGCAAGTACTTTCTATGAGGATACGTCAATTTTAGTTGAATATATAATGTGCAAATTACTTGTTGATCTTAGTAAAGTTGGTTAAATGTTGTAATAAGACTCTCTATGATCTCTCCCTTTACTTTTAGATCCCATGTCGTTCAAATATAGGAATGTTTCTTTATCCATGTGATGATCCTTGTTTTGCAATATAGTAATATTTATTTTACAATATTTTCATGAGCGTTTCTTGTTAAGCACAAAATTCCATTCAACATCAAAGGATGCTAGTAGTCTCCAAATTCTATTTTTTGAACATTATTTTCATTATTGATTATAAACAAATAATTTTCACATTGAATATTGATTACCATGTTTATTTAGTGGGGGATTATGAACTCAATTCAGAAGGATTTAAATAAGATGTTTAGTGGAATCAAGCAATCTCCACAAGCTCTGGATCTAAAGACAATCTATTAACTTATTTGCTGGATTTATTGATGGAAAAACAACCAAAAAATTAATACAAGTATGAATGAAAATTCTCTCTAATATCCAAATTGTGCGTATTCATTGTGCTTTCTCATTTTTATTAACTCCTCTCATCTCAAGGTGTCCAAATTAATCTTCCAAGTTTATGTAGTCTTGGTCCAAGTCCCTTCCAAGTAGTATGTAACTTGCAGAAACTCAAAAGACAACGAGAGCAAGCTGAGAAGAGAGAGAAAAAACTAGAGGACAGAGAAAACAAAGAGTAGAGAGGAGGTAGAAAGAGAAAACACTCACCGGTGGGTTGGCCCACATTGAGAAAATGATAAGATGCTGAGTATCTTAACTATACAAAATCCAAGTGAAATCAAACAAAAATATGGCTATGGATTCAGAATCCAATCATCTAAAATTGACACAAACAAGAGACAAAAGGGAGCAACAAGTAATGAGAAATCTTTGTGAAACATACAATCAACATCAGGGGCAGGCTATGACCGCCAATATGGGTCGACAGCTTAGGCATATCAACAGGCGTAGATGTTCTCGTCGCACTCATGACAACTGAAGACATCACAGGAAATTTTCGACACCCAAAGAATCCCATTCTACCATTCATGGTTTACTGGTTTTTTTTTTTTTGTATTTGAAAGAATCGGATCATTTGAAGATGCTCCCCAGATCTCCTCTTCTTGGTTCCCAAAGAGGAGCAAAACATTTCATGGGCATCAATACATTGAATCGAAGGCCATTTGTTGCTTTCTTCTCTGGATCTTTTTCTTTTCTGGCTCGCAGGTTTTGTTGCAGATGGGTGATGAGGGTGTTTGGCAATGAGGTTACCTCTCCAATTTAATGGGCTCTTTATAGAGCAGAGGAGCATCATGATGCAGTTACCGTGTGCAGATTGTTGAGACGATCTGCCCCACTAACGAGATCCATTGACAAATCTTGCCGGAGTCATTGCTGATGAAGAAGCTGCTAGTGCTTGTGAAGTTACAAAATGTTGGTTTGATAGATGAAATTAGGATAAAAAGATGATACATGTCTCATCAATCTAAAATATCATAAGCATTGATAATCATCTGGAGACCATGTATTTTTGTTGCATCATCACATTATAAGGTTTATGACATCTCACTACACATATGTAGTGAATCTAAATAAAAACCATTATTGTAATGAAGGCAAGGTGTTTATTTCTTGCATGATCATCTATCTATGCATAGCTTGAAATTTCCAATGAACTATGGCTAATTTCTCCTAAAAAGACTTTATTATTAATGCCATAAAATTTTCCATTGATCATTATTTAATTGGGCTCACTTCCAATTGTTCCAAAAATCTTCAACATTTTCCATGCATTAGAATTAGCCATTATATTTACATATCAACAATGTTACAATAGGAATTAACCATTTCAGCTGCACACCAATTTAGTACTCCAAACATCTAGAGATGTCGTTTGATTCTCTGATGGTATGAGAAATTTGCATGTCGTATTAAGATAATATCACCGTGGTTGTCAAATGCACTCAAGAGAGGCATAGATTGTAGTGTGTGCTGGTGATGGCCAAGTATTCTACATAGGTTGAGGTTTATGCCAAAAAGGGATAGAGCTCAAGAAGCAGTTGACTAGTAGAGTCTTGAGGTTCATTTCACCCCATCTTTGGAAACGTATTTATTGCAATATTTCCTAGAGTGCAGCTGGTGAAGGACCTTACTCTATTCAACCTCAAAGGATGCTGGGCGTCCTTAGAGAATGAGTTCACTCTGAAATCTATTTTTCCACATTTATTAATTATATAAGATATTTCCAAATGCAGGGGGATCTTCAAGCTTATGGCCTTGTAATGTTCGCTCTATTTTTAGTAAAATAAATTCCTAGCTTATTCTTGGTTTTCATTTTTTGTTTGTAAGCAAAATTATTCTCATGAACTTCTCCTCGAAAAAAGATCTCCGCCGTTCCCCCTCCCAGTATGCTTCGTAGAGGCCTGGGTCTATTTCACGGACGGTCGAGATCATGGGGGTCCACCAAGACTATGCGGACTATTTTAGTCCCATATCGGAAGATTTGACAGTGCTAGGAGAACCAAGCTATAAATTAGGCCGTTGGGCGGGGAGATAAAGCATACCTTTCTCGGCCTTTTGGCTAAGATCAAGTGTAGTATCTGTTCTTATCAATTTAATATCTGATACGTGGGCCATCGGCCCACATGATATTAAATTAATTTCTCGTGGGGGAGGGTCCACCACAGTGGCTTGCCACTGGGGCCCTCGCGCGTCGCCCTTGCGCTGCACTACTGCATGGGCCCGGCGCACCCCTACCAATCCCCAAAACCCAAATCATTCCGCCTCTAATTGGGCAACGTAGGCCATCCGTCTCTACTTGGCTCACTGTGCCGTGCCCAGGTTCCATCTATTGCATCAATTTGATCCACTCCGTTTCAGCCAAGGTCAATTTAGCTTGGCTGGGGGTAGAAGGGGGCGGCAAGCACAGAGCAGAGGTGTGAACTGTCACAAGAGTGGGGAGAGAGTGGGGACAGATTCACTCTTCTTCGCAATCATCAGCTCGTGTTCAATAAAGATGCATTCAGAGAGGTTCAATAAAGGATCACAGAAAATAAGGCCCTTTGAAGGATGAATGTGATGATACATCGTGACAATCTATCAACTTGTTCAATACAAGGATGAAGGAAATTCTCTATCATCTCCAAGTTGTGCTTATTCATTGTACTTGCTCATTTCTACTTTGTCTCCTCATCTCAAGGTGTCCAAACTGATCTTCCAAGTCTATGTAGAGTCTTGCTCGAAATCCCTTCCAAAGAGTATGTGACCTCCACACACTCAAAAAAGAAAGAAAGCAAGTTAAGAAAAGAGAGAGGAAAAAAAAAAAAAAAACTAGAGGACTGATAAAACAAAGAGTAGAGAGGAGACAGAAAGGGAAAACACCCACCAGCAGATTGGCCCACCACCAAGGAAATACAAATGATAACATCTTGACTGCCTTAACTATACAAAATCTAAATGAAATCAAGCAAAAAAGTGTATGTGGATTCACAATCCAATTATCTAAACTTGAAACAAACAAGAGACAAAAGGGAGCAATGAGTAATGATTTGAGGCATATTATGCAACATTAATAACAAAATATAATGACTTATGACATGAAAATAAAGTTTTGTCACACCTCTCACCCCAACTTGAATTGTTGTTAGTCCCTTAGTAATAAGCATAGATAAATTAAGTTAGGACTAATAGTGATTCAAAAAAAGACAATGTGTTTCAAGCAAGGTTGATTTTCTAGTGAGGATATTAGACTTGGGCATTCATCAAATTTCTATGGTGGGTCGTAGGAGTAAAATTCACTAATTCAATATAAAGCATAAATCATCACCCCCAAATGAAGTAAACTTAGTTGTTGCAGAAAATTCTCTTGAATTTAGTGAATCTAAAAATTCCCTTGAATGCAACATAAAGCATGTATACTACTTGGGTTGTTGTCATTAATATGGTATCGTCTCATAATGAAATAACTCCATCAAATATTTCAAGTAATTTGTTTTAAAAATTTGACCTATTGTAGATAGAAATTTTGCTCACTCATGCATCACCCCCCAACAAAGTAAACTTAGTTTGACATTCTCCTCATGCCATCAGTTGTGCCATTGAGGAGGAAGCCTTGGTGCTCACAGTAACACTAATCATCCTTCAGTTTGAGCATCCCGTCCTCTTTGTTAGCCTCCCGCTAAACCTTCATAGTTCCATCAAGTGAAGCGGAGAGCAGAAAATCTCACCAGCATAGCAATGACATCAGCTTACCACCATGGGCCTTTGAAATCGTCTACAACCTCCATTGAAGGGACATTCCATGCTCTAATGGAACAATCTTGGGCGCTGGAGTAGAGGCGGCACTTGCCGACAGCCAACAAGGTGAGACTAGATGCGTGGTTGCATAGAGAACCCATGGGCTAGAAGCAAACACTGTCCCTTCCAGTGGCAGGTCGAGGATCCCATTCCATGCAAGAATTGCTCCATCTTCAAGGCCTGTGAGGAGAGCCTCGATTATGATGCCTAGAGTGGAGACCGCACAACCTCTCTCCAATAGGCTGAGGCCCCTTTCAAGGCTATTGTTGTAGATGCGGACTTGGCTGTATGTGCCAACAAAGACCTAGACACCTTATGCAATCAAGTAAGAGATGAGGCCGCCCAATTTGATCACTTGCACAAGTCTATGGTCACCATCTTTGTTGTCATTTTTATCCCACATGTATATAGTTCCATTAGTGCTTCCTATGAAGATCTTGTGATAACTTGGAAGGAAGTGACGTGACTTAGTTGTTGTATAGTAAATCACGTAAATATAAATTTATAAAAATAAAAAATACTAATTTTAAATATTTATAATTATTTTTGAACAAATATATCAATTATAATTCAATTAAAGTTTCAAAATGATGAAAAAAATTTAAGTCGATCATGTGGATGTAATATAAATCTATTTATCATGAGTTAATACTAAAATTATATTATTTATTAATTATTGACTTATGATAATAAAAACTTTCATGTGTCTCGCAATGTCATTGTCTTTGACACCACCATAAAAAAAAAGAGGAGGGTGAGGAGGAGGATCCTTGAGGGGGCCAATATGGGCATCTACATCTGGGGCATTGGGTCTCTTTGCTTTTAGATCGTCATCTTTCGTCCATTTTTGGTGGCTGCTGCTGTCTGTGGCAAGTGGATGATGTAGGGATGAGGTGGAGCGGGGGGGCAGCATCTATGTTTCTTCATATTAGGCTTCTTCTTAGTTGATTTTTTAGGGTCCATTCCTTGAACTTCAATAGTTGAAGGAACAAGTAGGGGACGCGAGGTGATGGGAATAATTCAAAGTTCCAAGATCTACTACTAAGCTTTGGAGAATGATTATGAGAATAAGGATACATTGAATGAAAGATCCATGAGTCTATTTCTTCATTCTTAGATTCGTGCCTAGGGTTTTTGGTCTTTTGGATCAACACATTGGAGTCGTCAAAACCTTTTAAAGTGATGGAATGTCTTATAAGCAATTCAAACCTCAATTGTGATTCAAGAACTTTACTCATATTGATAGTATTGAGGTGTCAGATTACTATTTTGTCCATCATGAAATTAGAAAATGATTTGGTCTCAACACATATTTAACCTCTTATTTACAAGAAATGTCATAATTCCACATTAAACTTTAATGCATCACATTAGTGAGATTATTTTAATAATAGCCTTATGATATACTATATATATGTGCCCATATTTAGATCAAATCTAACAATCTTTCACTTGGGCAGCACATATATGATAACCTAATATTGTATACCATATGAGCTTAAAATTGTTATCATAATTGGTCATTTTTAACAATCTCATTTATCACTGTATTAATACAAGACTAAAATAGTTTTTCATCACAATAATGCCTGACTAGACTAAATAATAATTTCATGTACTGATATAATGAAAGACATATATCAAATATAAATGTGTAGTATGAAAATTATATGTAATTTGACTCAACATGTACATTTTCAACATACCTTACTTACTATAGATTGAGATCAATTGAATACATTCATAGTGAAGGGTGTCTATTATCTAGTAAGTATTTTTATGTAAACTCTCACTAAAGTTACATATTCTCATGAAAAATTATATATATATGAGCAATCTGTTCATGAAAAATATTCAATAATAATCCTTTAATAAATTGATCAACAACCATGAAGTTTGTGCCAATATGCTCTATAGACACTTGGCCACTTTGAATCCTTTCCTTAACAATTAGGAATTTGATGTATATGTTAGACATAACAACTACCTTATTGTCACATAATATTTTTAGCATCCTTTCAATTCTATCAAGAATCTACTATTTTGTGATAATTTCTACACCATATTCTTTGATTTAATGCCTCATAATGTGTTATAATTTCCACTAATATGATAGAAGAAGTTAAGTATTTGTTTAATACTTTTTTATGATATATTTTCTTTAGTTAATAGGAAGATATAACATGTAGCTGATTTTCTACTATTAGTGTATCTTACAAAATTAAAATCAAAGTACTTAATGATCTACAATTGATTTGATTTTCTATATGTGAGCATGTAGTCTTTTGGTTTTTAGAGGTACTAAATGATTTCATATTTCTCTCTAATGAACTACACCTAAATTACTCAAGTATTTGCCTTACATTGTAACTATGTATGTAATATCTAGACAAATACATACTTGGGTATACATAAGACTTTTTATAGTTGTCACACAAAGAATCTTTTGCATATTTATAGTCATATAATCACATTTGAGGCATTGATTGACACTAAATTTGTCTCCCTTAACCACAAAGTTATCACTTACTTTACATTCTTACATAAATTATTTCATCAATGTCACCATTGAGAAACATAATTTATACATCCATCTAATGTAGCTCAAGATCAAAAGGTGCCACAAGTATCATTAGTATTCCAAAAAAATATTTTGATGAAATCAAAACAATTTTTTTTTATGATTAATACTTTCTTTTTGAGTAAATCCTTTAATGACAAGATAAACTTTATATTTTTATATTATCTTCTGAATTTCTTTTGTTTTTAAATATCCATTTATAACCAATAGGTTTTGCACATTTAGGTAATCTAACAAGATCCAAACATCATTATCATGTATATATTTAATCTTTTTCTTCATAGCATTTATCAATATTTAAGAATTAGAACTTTGTATGACCTAATGGAAGTTGATAGGATCATCTTACATCATTCTAATGTCACCCTCATATTTTAAAAGAAAAATATAATAATTATTAGAATTACACTCCTCATTTCTCTTGTAGATCTCCTTAAACTTCTTGAGAGTATTGAATTTGTTCTTTTGGAATAAAAGGTATTCTCTATATTCATCTAATGTTACTTTTCACACAACATCAAATAAAACTTGATTTTAATCATTGTCAATAGTAATTAGAGGAACTAAAACATGTTACTCTTAGAAAATAAAGTCTTTAACTTTATCCTTCCTTACAAACTCAACTTTCTTAAAGAATTAAGTATTTTATATCATAAAAAATAACCTTAGTATTGAGATCATAAAACTTATACCCCTTTAACCTTTAAGGTATTCAACAAAATAACAACTAATAATTATGAAGTTAAGCTTTCTTTTAGTAAGTCTATAAATTCTTACATCCACTTGACAATCTCAAACATGTAAATATTTAAAACTAAGCTTTTTACTTGTCCAAAGCTCATAAAGGGTCATGATAGTTACTTTAGTTGGAACCTTATTAATACTTCTCCCCAAAAGCTCATAAATTGTAATATTTAGCACTTCTCCCCATAAGTAATTTGGTAAGATAAATTAACTAATCATATTTCTTACCATGTCTTTAAGTATTTAATTTTGTTGTCTAGCAATATCATTCATGCTAAAAGATCCCCACATGATGTATGAAGAGACAATGCCATTCTTTTAGTAATTTAGTAAAAGTCCCTAATGTTGTTCACTTGATATGTCATTTCTATCATAATATTTATCACCACAATCTAATTTGATAGGCTTAATTATTTTGTTAATTGATTCTCAACTTCAAACTTATAATTCTTGAACATATCTAAAGATTGGCATTTTTTCTTAATGAGATATAAATAATAATGTGGAGAATAATCATCTATAAATGTAACAAAATATTGTTGACCACTTTAATAAGATGTAAAAAATGAGCCACAAAATATGTATTTTTTAATTCTAAAATATCTAAAGTTTAATTAGAACATGTTCTCTTTTTATTTATTCATTTCTATTTGATACAATTAATACATTTCAAAATCTTTATAATTAAGTAGGCCAATAATTACTTCAAAGAGATCAATTAATTTTCTTTCACATATATGACCTAACCTTTTGTGCCATAATGAAGGATAATTCTCATTAGTTTAATTTCATTTTAATACTTTTTAAACTTGCATGCAAGATTTCATTAAAAGTGACTATTGTATCAAAAATATAAATTATCACAACTTGATAAAAAATCAATATTAATAAAATTTTAATCTTAAAAGAGACTAAACTTTTTATTTCCAAATAAACAAGTATAACTAGATTTGTCTAAAATAAAAATCGAAGTAAAATTTCATTTAAAAGATGATACAACATATGTTCTATTCAGATCCAAATAGTGACCCACCTTTAAAGATAATCTAAAAGTTCCTATAGCCTTTGTTGTAACCTTATTATCATCACCTGCATAAATGTATCTTTCAATATCAAATGACTTTCAAGAGTAGAGGCAACCCTGCATAAACATACTTATATGAATACTAACACCACAATCTATCTACCAAGTGTCCAAAGGTACTGAAATTAAATTAACTTTTGAACAAATAATTGTGAGAGTTCAAAGTGATATACTTAAGGCAATTTTTCTTCATATGTCCACCATGTTTACAAAAGAAATAATGAGAATGATAAAACACAAATAAGTTTACTTCTAACAAACTTCTATAAAGTATAATGACAAAAAGAATATAAGAGAGCACATTTTGTAAATGTTACATATTTGAGTAAAATTGAAAGTACAAAACATTAACCTACTAGAAGATGTCAAAACACGTTTTACTTTACTCTTAATTTTTAAACAATTTAGTCAATTTAAAATGAGCTAGAACTATTTGAGAGATAAGTAGTCTCTTAATAAACTTATATCCCACTATGCAAAAATAAGAGAGACAAAAGTAAGATGGACAAGAAAATGTTTATTTAGTTGTAACTTCTAAAAACAAAGTAAATAAAAGGTAAAAAGATAAATAAGTTGAAGGTGATTCATCATTAAAGAAATATAATAAGAAATGAAATTCATTATCTCACTTTTATATTTCTTTAGTTATATACCAACTAAAATTTGTTTGTCTTTTTACTTTTTCTTTGCTTTGTCTTTAAAAGTCACAACTAAATGAATACTTTTTTTTCCTACTTCTATCTCTCTTTTATTGTACACAGTGAGATATAAGCTCATTAAGAAACTATTTATCTCTCAAATAATTATAACTCACTTTAGATTGACTAAATTATATAAAAATTAAGATGAAAGTAAAATGTACTATGTCATCTTATGACAAGTCAATATTTAATATTTTCAATTTTACTTAAATATGTGACATTTATAAAGTATGATCCCTTATATTTTTTCTATCATTATATACTATAGAATAAAAGTTTGCCATAAGTAGACTTAGTTATGTTTTATAATTTTGGACAAACTCTCCTCTAATTCCCAAAGGAGAACTTTAAAGACTGAATTCATCAGATAAGGTTTCTCTAAATACATTTGGAATAGCATGCTTAATCATATAATGTAGTCAAATACTAAACTTTTCTTTGGGTTAATCAATATTCACATGAATCACATATACAATCATCTTAATATTCTAGAATAATAATTTCCACAATAGAGCTCACTTTGGTAGGATCTTGTGTCAGTTATATACTCTAAAATATAAGACATGTATCAAAACCTGATTTCATGAAAGTTATTTGATATTTAAGAAGACTCAATGTAAAGTTTAATCTTTAAGATATCAAATAACTTCATAATAATTTATGAAATAAACTTCACGAAACAATAATTTCAGAAATAACTTAAATGACGTGATAAATAAAAAAGGATGGATAGTTATGTCATAATATAGAGGATGACGTCATCGGCTCTCACCGAGCCAGCGCGCTCATTCCAGCCGCCAGAGCCGGAGTGGGATGGCGCGCTACCACTCCCACTCGGCTCAACTTGTGCCTGTGCATCCGGGCGTGTAGAGGCATGATTAGTCCCACGAATCTCACTGCACTGACCGTAGTAAACTCGTTAGATCGAAATGGAGGTCTGATTTGAACGACCGAGTCCAGCATCACATTTGACACCTGAGGAAGGCCGTTTCGATCTGAACCGGCGCGGACAGAGGAGCATGCAGACCGAGAAAAAAGAGGGAGGAACCGCCTTTCGGGGCCGCCTTCCGGCACCGCGTTTCAGGCGCCACTCCGGCATCCGTAGCCGCCTTTCGGCATCCGGAGCCACCTTCTGCCATCCTCCCTCCTACCGTCCAACAATGAGAGAGGGAATGAAGAGGTGTTTCCTCCTGCGACTCCATGATTTCCGGATAGAAATCTTTCCTTCATAGGTAAGGAGAGAGAGTGGTTTGCGGAAACCACTGCTCCCTCTCCTCTGGAGGGAATAGAAGAAGGATGAACGGCCGAGTCCGTCTAAATGGCCTGAACGGCTCAGAGATAAACTGCAATGAAAGATACCTGAGTTTGTTTCTTTTTAGATCGCGTTTTGGTCTTCTGGATCAACACATCGGAGTCGTCGCAACCTTCTGAAAGTGACGTAGACGCCGGGAAAAGACATGGCGGAGGGAGGACGGAGAGAAGAAGGGGGCATCTGGTGGGAGGAGGGAGTGAAGGAGGCTCTTGGGGGAGGACGGCGGGAAAAAAAGAGAAGACACTGGTTTCTTCTGGAACGCCGATTTGAATGAGTAAGGGGAGCTGCCGGACTCGCGAGAGAGGAAGCCTGAGATTTATTTCAGAGAACGGCCCGAGCCTTTTTTGTTAAATAAATGGGCCGGCCTAGATGATGTTGTTCCATATTTGGGCTGTGGCGTCTGGTTTCGGCCCATGTGATCTCATCGACAAAGAATAATCTCATGGGAGGGCCCACTACAATGCCCTCCTCATGGGCCCGGCGCACCACCTACCAGTCCCGAAACCCAAATCCTTCCCGTCCCGTTCAAACGAGGGCATCGATCTCAGTAGTGTGTATGTATGTATGGTTCATGCGAAAGCTGCCAAAAGATGTATGAAAGTGAAGCTGACCCAGAGACTTTTAGGATTGACTTTTGTCCATCGTCCTCCGTCTCCTTGCGGCGGAAGATCGCGGTTTCGAGAAGGGACAGACTGCTTCGGCGCCCACCACAATGGCGGCCTTCTTGAGGAGCTCACCCTCTCCGCCGTCGTAGATCCCGCACCGCTCTTTAGCCCCTACTGAATTCCAGTTCCTGCTTCTTCTACTCCTCCTTCCCTGCTGCGAGCAGGAATGTCGGAAAAGCTCGAGGTGGAGGAGTTGCGAGCACAGCTAGAGCTCCGCGGCCTCGAATCCACCGGCACCAAGCGGACCCTCGTGAGCACTCATCTGATCTTATTCTCTCACTCTTGCTCTGTACCCTCCAAGTGATTTCTCCTGCACCGATGTATGGCCTGTCGCCTGTTGACTTTGCAGGTTCGGAGGCTGGATGCGGCTCTGAGCAAGGAAGAAGAGAAAGTATCCAGGGAGGCGCTGCTCCCGGAATCTTCCGTTGGGAGTAAGAGGAAGACGAGGAGTTCCGATGGAGGGGAGGCGGAGAGGGTTGATGATGTCGACATTATCCGGAAGATGGGGATTCGTGAATTGCGTGAGCAGGCCGCAATGCGTGGAATTCCTACGAACGGGTTGAAGGGAGAACTCGTAGAGAGACTTTCCGCCCATGTGGATAAGGATGGAAAAGATTTGCATGAAGGTGTGAGCATTTTGTTAGACTCTGTACTGTACTGTCTTTTCCATAGATATTTTTGCTACCACGAAAATTTGGCTTTTATGTTGACTTCTTGTCCGATCATCATTAGAACTTGCCGTGACTGAGGAGAAACTGGTGACGGCAACAAAGAAAGGCAATGCGGTTCTAGACCAGTGGCTTCCTGAGCATATAAAGTCGAGCTACCATGTTTTACAGAAAGTACGGTATCATTCCTCCCCTTTCCTGTGTTTCTAGTTAACGTTTGACGTCATCATTCAATCAGGATCGGATTCGGGTTTCTTTGCCGCTATGAATGCTGTTGCCGTTCTTTGCTTACTTTAATGTCTGAGCGGAGGTACCGTGGCTGTTTCGTTTTCTTTGTCGCCTTACCACCAGAGCCTTTTATCGTGTTCTATAAAACTAGAGGTGGAGTACATTTGATTAAAAGATTGTTGTATCGATGAATTCTGCTAGATTTATGAATAATCGCGGTTGACATTGAAATGTTTGTTAGAGGTGGCTTCAAATGAAGATATTATAAATCTCCTCAGACTAATAACGCTTCTGAAACTTCATACCAATTTGCATTACTTTTATGTGACCGAAAGTGTGGTGTGCACAAAGTGCCAAAATCCTGCTCCTTTCTTTAAAAAAAAAATTTGATTCCATGTGCAAGGTGCATCAAAGTAACATGATTACACGGATTAATGTTCGGCAGAGAGAAATAGTGAGGGAAAAGGGGGGGGGGGGAGAGTAAGTTCTGGAGGTAATGAGGGAGGGAACTGAAGAAGGAGAATAAGGATGTGGGAGAGTGCAAAGGGGGTAAGTTTGCAATAAAGAGACCGATGAAATGGAGCCTGGGGTGTAGAAGATGGACATAGAAACAGGAAAAAGGAAGTGAGGGAGCAATGCAAAAGTGAATACTGAGAACTGGAAAGTGTCACAGGTGAGAAAGGGAGAAAAAAATGATTGCTGAGTGAGGTGAAGTTGGAAAGAACGCAGAGGGGAGTGACTGTGAAGGTTGAAGTAGAGAGAGGGTATGGGAAGGAAGAATAAAAGAGGGTGAAAAGTGAAGTAAGGGGGATCAGTGGATACTGGCATCAGGGAAAAATAATGAGTGAGGGATTCTAGGAGGGTGGCAGCTGAAAATCAAAGTTACCATTTTGCTCGCTGCATGCACTTGCATTGAGAAGGCGGTGGTTCCTTTTCCACTGAACTGAAACTATTCTAGCATGTGATAGAAAGTCGGGTTCTCAGGTGAAAGAGTGAGGGAAAAACCTTAAGGTCAACGAGACAGAGGCTACCTTGTAGAATTCACTTTGTAGAGTTACAACATCCACATTAAGTACTCTGGTATAAGCTTGAATCATTTCTAACACACATATATATATATGTCGCATTACTACATATGTGATGTTGACATTGCACCATCACGCTCTTGAAACAACATGATCCAGCTAGCATTGAGTTGTGTTGTCCAGTGCTTCATGATATGTAACAGTGGAAGAAGGCTTCTCCCTCCAACCTTTTTGCCTGTAAAGAAAAAGATAATGGTGCATTTGAAAAGTGTGTTTTACATACAATAGTTTTAAAACGAGGGTTAGTGAAAATTGACGAGCAATGGTTGAAGCTTTAGAGCTCTTTGAATATTTTCCTTGGTTTTTACCCTCGATGATCAAGTCATGGGTACTCGGGGCAAAATTTTGGACCATATGATGAGCCTAACCCATTGTGGAACTTGACCATTTTAAGTTATTTTCAAGTTTTCTTAAAATTATGCTTAATTTTCTTTTTGACATCTTGTGAAAAATAAGGAATTTAATTTAAAAAATATTTGAAGTGGGGATGTTATCAATGACTTCTCGAAGAACTATAGTTTCCTACGTTATGCCATTATAATTATGTTCTCTTTATGTTCTTTTTTGGTGATAAATATTATTTCCACCTTTAAGATCCGTCTTTGTTACTTCAAGAAGATCTTTCAATTGCAGACACTCTAACTTTCTCTTCACCTCATGAACCACAGGGGAAGGAAATCTATGATGCGATTCTGAATCAGACAAATGTTGGGGACAACAATAATAAGTTTTATGCTATCCAAGTTCTTGGTTTGTACTTTGAACATCATCTATTGGAAGCCATCCGTTTTTTTCAACTTTCTTTCTGATTCTTTATATATATATATACATATATATATATATATATATATATTACTCTGCTGCGCATTTTTCTTGTAGTTATTCTCCAAAAAGCCTTATAACTCTGACATGCATACATTCGATTGATTTCTTTCATCTCTGATAGCTGAGTGTAATTTGGTTCATCATAGATCCATGCAATTTCTAGTTATTTTCTTTTGATATCAGATTACTTTGGACTAAAATTTCGTCTATCTTCACTAGTTTATCTGCCTACTTTCCTTTACCTATGTGCCATATCTGTTGCATTTTTCTTCTTTGGACAAAATCATGAACATGTAATATTTGGCGCAAGAACTCAGACATCTTAGCAAAAACATTGAGTTTTTAGAGGAGGGGGAAGTAGGCTTGTTGCAGCTTGTGAAGCTGCTTCCTATCATTTTATTGAATTTTTTTAAAGAACTTATACCTCTTGGACGCCAGTGTTTTGGAACCTCTATGAAGAGTTGGTGTACGTTGCTTTGACTTTTCTTATTCTTTTATTCTATCATTTTTCTTAACTCCATATATATGGCATGGCAATCAATTCTAGGACCTTTTTCCTTCCTTTTCATTTAAGTTTACTTATTAACTATTATTAATCACTGTAATTATGTTGCCTATGCAGAATCAGATGATGGTGGTAAGTACATGGTTTACAACAGATGGGGCAGAGTTGGCATAAAAGGGCAAGACAAGTTGTTTGGTCCCTTTTTGTCCCGAGAAACTGCAATAAATGACTTTGAAATGAAATTCTTTGCCAAAACAAAAAACCAATGGTCTAATCGGAGAGATTTCATTTCCTACCCAAAGCACTATACGTGGTTGGAAATGGACTATAATGAGGCAAATGAACATACAGTTATGTCTTCTTCGCATTCTTCTTTGGTTTGTTCGAAAAATTTGTCCAGATAAATGGCAGAATTATGTTTATCTGAAGGCTTTTTTTTGGCAGGAAAAAAGTAAAACAGATGATACTGTAATTACTACTCAGCTTCGGGAGACGAAACTTGATCTGCGCACTGCAGACTTCATGTCACTGATATGCAATATCAGCATGATGAAGCAACAAATGGTAGAGATTGGTCAGTGATATGTGCTTAAATTTTGTTAAAAATTGTTAAAATGCAAAACTTAAGAAGTGATAGAAAGTTTTACCATGTATGCCTGCTATATCGTTGAGATTTTAACTTTCGTTTTGATTAATTCTTTGGTTGCCATTATCTTTCTTACTCTAATTTATTTTCAGGGTATAACGCTGAAAAGTTGCCCCTAGGTAAAATTAGCCGATCAACAATTTTGAAGGTGAGACTTTTTTTGGCTTAACGCTAGTGAAGTTCTCTGTGATTTTTCATATTTTATCGCAAATTGACTTTGAAATGTTAAAAAATCATGAAGAACACGGGTATGGAATTTTCATTATGTGAAAATGAAGATTGCTAAATTTACAATCCTTCTCGGTAATCTGAGGAACCAAGTTAGGTTGATAGGTATTGGTTGAATGTGCGTAGTACATGTTCATCATTTGCTTTGGAATTCTAAAACTGGATGTTCTTTACGCATAGATTTTTATGTTTCTTAGTTTCTATGCAAAATACGAATATTAAGTTAAAATGCTATAGGTGATTAATTAGATTAATAGTTTCTGATTGAAGGTACAGCAAATTATGGGAAATGCAGAGGAATAAGAAATATATTACTTAAAAATTGAAAATTTCTTAAACTGACAAATTGAAATTATCAGGAGAAGTTCTAATTTACGCATTTTGTATCATAAAGACCCCTGTGATGTCAGGTGAGCTTCTTGTGATTTTTTTAATCTAGTAAAAATACGTAGTCATGTTCCCAACATGATCACGCAGGCAATCCCCATGTGTCTAATGTCTTGGGAACACAAGAAAGGTAATTATGATCTTGCAATTTAGCTTGAGTTGAACTGGATCAGTAAAATCAAGATAAAAACTCATCTGCTGGAAATTTTCATGCATGCGGATGAAGGAAAATACATTTATCTTCTGTTTAATTCTGTAGATAGGTACTGTTGTTTACTATCTTTGGTTGACTTGGTTGGTTTAAATGAAAAAATATGGAATAAGTGTAAATATCTTTGTTTACTATACTGTTATTTTTCCTAGGTGTGATAAATCTCGGCTTGAGGGGTGTGTGGAAAAAGTGTATTATTAAGGGTTAGGTCGTTGCTCAGTTTTCTATGTTGGTTGGGTTTTTGGCCAGTTTCGTATGTTGGTTAGGTTATTGGGCTGTTACGGTGTCCTAATTTAGCAGGGTATCGTATGAATCGTGGGATTTAACCTAGGTAGTTTTCCTTTTTTGAGGCCGTGGCAACTGTATATAACCAGCCATTGTTCTATGAATTGGTATGACAGAAATTTTACCCGACTCTTTAGTCTTGTTTGGTTTGTGTTAGTCTCCGATCAGTGGATGACCTACTGAGTTATGGAGTTGCAGCTAATTGCATTCCTTTTTATCCTTTTTTGTCAAATTTTGATTGGTGAACCCTGAAGAAAAACGAGAATTTTCCTTTTTGGATAGTTCCAAAAGGGCATGAAGCTGTACATGGAGATTGATGACAAAGAACTGTTGGCAGGGTAAATGTCCTATAACTTTTTGGTGTAAAATGCCAAATGCTAATCTTCTCCATCATTTTCTAAACATGTTCCACATAACTGGAAAATTACTTCCTAGTGCTTAAGTCCAACCGTCGTATTACAATCAAGATAACTGTCTTTACTGTTTTCAATTTAGTTACCTGTAGGCATCTGTTATAATTCCGATGTCGCATGAGAGGTTCTGCAGTACAATTTGTGCGACGGTAATCATTCTGTTTTTGTGGGCATACTGCTGGATGTGTTTTTTTCTCAATGTTTCTTTGTCGGATAAAAAAACTGACTTTTCCGTTATTAGAAATGGCTAACCATCTATGAGTAAATATATTAGATGCAAATGAGGAACCCAGGATTGGGATGCCAAGGACTGGAAAATAGAGATAGAAGATACCAAAGAATGGGCGAGTTGGGATCCGGCCGGATACTAGCGCCAGATCATGGTGACTTTTCAAGAAGGCCACCATCTCGCCTTCCATTTGTCCCTCCTGAATCCCCCCTCTTCCCTCCTATTGAAATTACTTAAGAGCCCTTAGGTTGTTGCTCCTCTCTCTATGGCTTGAAATTAGGCCCGTTTGTCCCCTTATGGGCTAACATTGTCTATTTCATCTTCCTGTCTAGACCAGGCCCATTGGGTCCGATGGTGTCTAATACTGATACGATCCCCTTCTCTCCTCTTCTGCAAAGAAGGGAAAACGAACAATGTATTTAAAGAAAACAGAGAAAACAATGAACAGACGGGAATTAGTTCGAGAGAATTCCCCACTCTCCCTTTCCTCTCGTGACCTTCTACCACAATACCCACTCTTATTCACAGAGGAGGGTATTTATATTGTTCAGCACGTTCGTATCCCATTGTTTACTACAGAAGCTTTTAGACTATTCTCTTATGGTGAGCATATCTTTAGTGGTACTGTATCAAATACATTTTCTTCCCCCGAGATTCCTTCAAATTGTATAGTTTCTGTTCTTGCTTATGAATTGTACTTACAGTCTAACGCCTTCCTGCTCAAATTTTATTGATCGTATCGTAATTCTTTTGAAGCAAAAATGAGTAGCATTAGTATCGTTTTTCGCTGATAATTTGTCTTATTTTACCTTTTACAAACCAACTACCTATTGCTGATGTATTCGTCATTTCTATTTGTATGTCAGTTCTGTTGTTTCTGTTACTTTTTACAAAATCTCATGCACCAGCTGGATCTCACATATGTTATTTCTTTAAGTGGATCAGGGCTATGATGTTCTGAGGAAGATTTCAAATGTCATTGGTAAATCTGATAGGAAAGAACTTGAACGACTAAGTGGGTAAGGATCGGCTTAAATATAAACTTGATTGGTGTTTTTCATTTTGGTTACTGCCACACGTACAATGAGTTGCTGTCTACGTAGGCAACTAATTTTCAAATTAGTTGATTCTGACCGGTCTTAATTAGTGAATGATAACTGCATGTATGAGCTATTAAATAAATATAAGATTGAATAAGTTTTCTAGACTGAAGACTCTTTGGAGCATGGCATCTTAATGATCCCTATCTGTGGCAAAATGTCTACCACGTCTAATGATTGTCATTTATACATTGCATGTAACGATGAAAATATATCTGTTTATAAATATGATACTACAAAATTCAGCGTCATATGATTTTTATTCTTTATCACACTCATCTATCTTCTTCAAAGTGCTCACTCCTGGTGTCTTCAATTCATTTATCACCCTCAGTTATAATCTTTCATTATTTCTTTCTTATGCAGAGAATTCTACACAGTGATTCCTCACAACTTTGGCTTCAAGAAGATGTGTATGCATACAAACAAGTTCATTCGATTGAAGTTTCTCTTTATTCTAAACTGTTTCCATTTGATGCTACTAATGTGTGCTTACAGCCCAATTCATCATTGACACTCCCTATAAATTGAAGTGCAAGCTGGAGATGGTAAATACTTCTGCGCTTAGATGCTTTTGTTTCTTTCCCACTGTTGAATTCATTCAATTGACGATTGATTCATCGAAATAAACTTGTTTGTGTGTGTATTAAAGCAGGACTCTTGCTTTACTACCTCCATTAGAGCTAGTTTTTTGTTGACCAGCATTTTACCGAATGGAGAGTTTATCTTTCAGTGCATAAGAAAATTTGTTTCTTGTTTATTTACTCCAATGCTAGTGTTCACATAGAAGTTACTTCAATCATTTACTGTCTTTTTTGGGAGAAGGGATGTTATGATGGTTTTAGCTTTAATATGCGTTTCATTGTGCTTTTGAGATCTGGTTTTGTATTGAGTTCTGATCCTTAATTTAAATGTAGAAAAGGGTTACTTTATTAAAGTAAAAAATACATAGTGGGTGTTAGAATGGAATTGTTTGAATCAGGATCGCCATATTTAAGTAGCATGTCTCGTATGCCTTTTGTAATGCCCTTTCTAGGGTAACGAGCCAATTGATTTTGAGAGTGAGTACGGATCCTCAGCCAATCCTGCATTGATTTCCTAAAATTTTGTGCAATAGCCACAGTTTCTTGTGGCTTGCACTCGATGCTTGTGTAAGTGGATATTAATGTAGTTGAAACTGTGAGATAGTCAGATACATCAAAAAAAGACCTCTAGTGTGCTGCACTCATGAATCGAAATACATCTTGCCTGCAGATGAACTTGCATCAGAATATCTAGGAAATATATTTCAACAAAAATATTTTTAAAGACCTAGGTAGTCTGTTATGTGAGCGTGAGGCAGTAGCATGTCGGAAAAATTGTAACAACGTAACAATTGATTGGAGCACTGATAATAGGAAGTAAAAATAATGTTTCTCTACATGTCGAGAGTAATATGGACAGGTAACTAGTTGTAAATTTATGATGTCAATTACCCCTATGAATTGGTATGAGTCGTGGATTATTCTGTCAGTAGTTGAGAGAAATGGTATTAATCTATTGTCAAATATGATTCCCATTTAGAGTCGTTCTCCTCAAATATTTTGAAGGCGTTTAAACTCATTAGTTATACTTCAAATTTATGAAATAATCCTGGTTTTGAAGTTTACTTTACTACTGGACGATGTATTTACATCATTAGAGGTAGAGCCATCAGATAGAAGTTTAAATTATTACATATCCTATTTATAAATCAATCTTGAGTATACCTGTGTAAATTTTCTGATCTAATCGGAAAAATCTGTATAAACAATCATTGAATGAATATCGTTGCTATCAGTTTCCCTTTTATTTGGTCCAAATCTTTGGTCCAGCCTGTTTTTCAGAAATGGACAACAGCATGGAAAAATTGAGTAAACACGTGCTCCACTTTTCAGTGAGAGAGTACCTAAGCTTTGCTCTTTTCTTTTCTCTGGGTTGAGCATGTTTTGAACATTAGGACTGTTGTCAGCCTCATGTTCTCGTGCCTAATATCTGCTTCAGATTTTGTGGAATATCTTCTTCATATGTGTTTCCCTGATCAAATCGATGACACATGCACACAAACATTTCAGACTCACTCAAATGCAGTCTATTGTCTCAAACATACAATTAAATAAAGGGTTTCCTCTCTGACTTCCCCCCTCTCGTTTCCCAAGCATTTTACTTTAACTGCGTTTTACACTCTGTAACAGGGCTTCATTCACAGACAACCCACACCTACACAAGAAGCATGCACATCTACGCCAATAGTCACTGCCCTAGACCTTTAACGTGGATGAATTTCCCCTTGTAAGAAGTAACTCTAAATCTAGAAAGCACTTAGAACATCAATGACAAAGTTAACGAAAAGAATCATAGGATTAGTAAATCATTACCGCATTAATCACATAGTTGAGGGGAATGGGAATCCCAAAAATATTAGTTGATGGTGATGGTGTAATCCAGTGACGGAAAGGCATCTCCATCCATATGACCTACAGGGTGCGAGGATGCAACTAGACCGGTTCCTCCAAAGAAGGTGGTTCATTCAAATCATTATCAATGATTTTCATAATTTGATACTGCTATCGACCAAAGACTATACTCATTGTGTGGAGCATAACTGGTGAGTTTTTGGGCTTCACTTCCCTGATTCTTCCCCTGTTATGGCCTATCGGAAGTATGTAGATGATGACTGGGGCCATGAGAGTGGAGACAGAACTTTGTAGAGGATCTACTATGTAAGAGGATTTATTGGAGAGGATACCCCCTCCTATTTGTCTTCTTGTTTTTCCCCATAGAGGGTAGAGGAAGCCAGGTTTGGCGTGTGATCAGTTTTTCATTTTTATTTTCATCCTTAAAGCTACATTCCACTTTTTTTTTTATTCATTTCTTTTTTGGAAACGATCCATGAATCATGTAACTTTCAGCCTTATTGGTATATTACCAATCATGTCTCTTGAAAAAAACAAATTGCATCTTTAACACTCATCCAATGAATTCATGGCGTTGACTGGGGTTTAAGATCAATGGGAATGATTTGTATCATACTCGGTTGCTCCATATTGAGTTTGCTTGTATTGACCAACTGGATTTGATTGATTGATCCTTTTATGTTTTCTTGAAGGTTGAAGCCCTAGGTGAAATTGAGATTGCCTCTAAAATTTTGAAGGATGATATCAACTCTTTGGTATTCTTGCTACTTAACCTGTTTCCTTTAACAGCATTTGGAGTCTTAGAAGAATATGTTTCCACATGATTAGGTTAAGGACATGTATGGTTAGGTTCCATTTGTATACTTGGTGGAATTTGGCATATCTTAACCAATTTCGAATGTCTTCGTTTAATAAGCAGAAATATTTTTCATTTATATTTTCTTCTGACTTAAATGTTGCACAATCATTCTCCATTCTGTCTTTCAGCATGTCTAGTCAGTTGCCCATAAGCTTGTTTTTTGGTGAAGTCTAGTTTTCATGTTGATTTGCTTAATTTAGTAATATAGTATTCTGGTCTCATGGTACTGGCAGTCATAATTTTTTTCTCCATAGTGTGGTCTCTTTCGGTTGTATTTAATTGGACTTGATTCTTTCCATGATAGCACATCTACACCCCTAAAAGGAAAAAAAAATCCCTTTGTCTTCAACCATACTTTTCAAATTTGTGTGCCCATTAATATGATTGAGTCGTTCAGATAAGAGTGCTAGGCTTTACTTGAAGAGATAGAAGGAATATGTACAATACGTGCAAAGTCTGAAAAAGTACCACATGAATATTCTACAATAGTAGTTATTGAAGAATCAATACATTTCCTCCTATCCTCTTTCCAATTTACCTCATCTTGTCAAGGTTATTATTTGGTGCATGGTTTCACCACATGTTGCATGCGTTAGACTAGGACCAGTTATTCGTTTTTTGCCTGCAAGCAAAAGCCCTTTGTGTAAAGTTTTACAGCATAACGGTGTACTTTGGCATCAGACTAAGGAGAGCGTTTACCTTTTATAATGTTTTTAGTCCAAATGAACTTCTAGATCTTCTTTATTCCAATTTTAAGATCTTCACGATGACAATGAGGTATGGTTACGTTTTTTTAGTGGCATCATCATCGTGTGAAACTTCATTTCTTCTGTACCATTAAGAACCCAGAGCTTTCATCAGTTTCTGGCTTTGGAGTTTCATTTGGAATCTCGTTTTCTTAGTCTTTTGAAGCCTTTGCGACATTCTTGTGTTAGGAGAGAACCCTTTATTTGGAAAATTTTGCATTGTCTTATGAGGTTGTATAATTTGAGAGTTCATTCTTCCCCCACCCCCCTTTTCTCTTTTTGGATAGACGAAAATGGATGGATGGATGGATGAATTCATTTCGTCAAATGTAGATATGATTTTTTTTTCATTTTTATAAACTACTCATTGTTACTTCTTTCTTGGAAAAACACATTTTCAAAGTTTTCCTCCATTAACTTTTTCATCAGTTTTCCTATTATTTTCTGAAGCACTTCTCAGTTTCTTTCATTTCATTTTATTTTCCAGTCATGCAGGTTTTATTATTCTTGTTTCGCCAGAATGTTAAATAAATTCCCATACTTTCTGTGCAGCTCTGTTAGCTTATTCTTTGATATGTTCTTAGTCATAATGCTTATGTTTCTTAACTTCATTTATTTATCTATAATCTTCTTTTAAGCTGCTCACTTTTTTTTGTTTTGGTGCTTTAGGATGATCCTTTGTTTTGGCATTATCAACAACTCCACTGTGAAATGACACCACTAGAAGTTGATTCCAAGGAATTCTTAATGGTATCCATTTTTCGGGCATTTGTCTTTATTTCCAAAAGCCTGTGTTAGGGAAAGGGAAGAATGGGTTTGGGGGGTTGTGCCAGCTTCTGTATGGAGGGGTTCTGGTAGCCTTTCAGGTGGTCATGAATTCGAAAATAGAGAATGCTCGTTGCAGAGGGTTTGAATAAACCAGTTCTACATGATTTAGTGGATGATAGAATTATTTAATTTCTGCTTAGATATGATAAAAGGATAATGCAAACTTGCAGTAGCCAACTATAATTAGAAATGATTTTCCCACGAGAGAAGTCACAGGAGTCAAGTGAATGGGTAACATGTCGACTTTTGACTAACTCTATGAGCTTAAACCATCACTATTGCTCGATTGTTGGAATATTTCTCTTCCTCTGGTACCCAGTGCTCATGAGGGACAATCTTAAATTTTCTTCTGTAGAATATAGGTCCCACGTGGGTTAGCATTTTCTGATCTTAGCTTTCAAAAACGTAAGCACATTTTCTTTAAATTGGAGGAAACAGCTGCATGAAAAAATCGACATGGAAAATCTTTTTTCCCTTCCAAACAGTTTTCTTTCCATCATTTTGATAGCAGTCTCTCTTACTCCTCTCATCATGCTACGACTACATATGATGGTTTGAAAATATTTATCAACTATCCGTTTAGTTGAAGTGGACAAAGTCATTTGGAAAGTCATTTGGAGTACTAATAATGGATCTTCTAGGGAAAATTTGGGAGGCTCGAATGAAAGGATATGCGAGTTCCTAAATCCCAGCTTTTCGCAGAAAAGGGACCACGGAAACAGAAACAGTTCAGAGTGGGCGAACACCAGAAAAACCCTGTGTTTTGAATCTTCTTCAGTGCAATATTATTCCTGTGGATTGTATTTTTTTTTAGTTTCAAATTTTAAGATAATATATGTTGGATGATAATATCATCTGGGATTTTCTTTCGTTTTCAGATAGAGAAGTATATCCTGAACACTCATGCCAAAACGCATTCAAATTATACAGTCGACATTGTGCACATATTTAAGGTTGCAAGGCTGGGCGAAATTGAGCGTTTTAAAAAGGTGGAAATATGAGAATGACCTTGACTCATTTAACTAATACAGTTACACTATTAATTTTTCAGTAATTCGAGCGATTTTTTATTGCGTCGTTATTCTTTTTTTCTGTGCAGTTTGCCATGACGAAAAACAGGATGCTTCTCTGGCATGGTTCTCGAATGACCAATTGGATAGGCATCCTCTCGCAAGGTAGTTATTTTTGTTGATTTATGTGTAGTTTGGGGCCGCCTGAAAGTTTTCATGCGGTCATGTTCTTCTCTGCAGGTCCTTTTTTCTTTTCTCCCACACGAATTTCTTTGTCAAATATGTTTATTAATGGCTATATGAGGTGGATTTTTTTTATCAGTGTCGGGCTTCTGATCACTTAGTCTACTTCCATATGTAAATTATCTTCCTTGTAGTTTTTTGGAATTTCTGTTCCCTCTTCATGCTACGTGAAATTGTTTTCTTTGTGATCCTGTGCTTCATCTTCTAGAAATAGTATCATATGCATTTTTTTCTGAGGCTTGTTATCACACACGGGGCAGGCCTGCTGCAATAATTATCTTCTTCAGCCTGTTTTTTAATTAATCTTCATCAGGGTTGCGGATCGCTCCTCCAGAAGCACCTTCCACCGGTTACATGTTCGGAAAAGGTGTTTACTTTGCTGATATGTTCTCAAAGAGCGCAAATTACTGCTTTGCAACGCCCACATTTATAGATGGTGTGCTGCTTTTGTGCGAGGTATGCCCATTGTGGTCAACCGCTAGTCTTACACGGCTGTTGTTGGCATGGAGACTGCAATACATCCTGCAGCAGAAAACTCACTGCTTGCTACTTGATTGCCGACTTATTCGATTTCCAGGTTGCTTTGGGCGACATGGAGGAGAAACTCTCTGGTGATTACAATGCCGATCAATTGCCAGAGGGAAAATCCAGGTTCTCCCTTTTATCTCTGCTTATCCCGTCTGTTTCACTCCTCCGTGGCTCTTTTTTCCATTTCATCGTTTCCCCTGGAGAGAGATTTGGAATCACATGCGTAACTTCACATGGGTTGACATATTTATCAAAAGCACTAGAAGAATCTGTGAGTGTTTCAATGTATGAATATCCCCGATTTGCATATGGACGAGCATATTCTGCAGTCTGCCTACTGGTTTTGAATTGCCCAATGAATAAACAGTAATTGATATTTGGAAACTACTTGAGATCCTAACATCAACTGCACAACTTTGACGTTTTTCAGCACTAAAGGAGTTGGTGCTACGGAACCAGATCCGTCAGAGTTTGATGCGCTCCATGACGGCGCCATTGTCCCACTCGGCAGACCCAGAGAGAGCTCCGGCCCAAAGGTGGGGAACCCTGGCTTCTCTTCAGAACCCAAAGGTCTCTAGCTGGGTTTCTTCCAACCATCTCATCTCCTTTTTCTCATAGCAGGGCATTCTACAGTACAACGAATACATCGTTTACAATGTGGACCAGATTCTCATGAGGTATGTGGTTCACGTCAACTTCAGGTTCAATGCATGATTTTGCCACCCACGGTGGTCCCTCCCCTCAGGAGCCTGAGACCAAGTTCCTGTGAACAGCATAATCATATGATTATGTCAGGTAATTGTATGAGATTATCCTATTCCCTTTGTTTCCTTGGTTATTAAATTGAATAAGCAAGATGCATAGAGCTTTTATGATAGAACAGAGCTCATCGCCTTCAAAACATTTCATATCTCATTCCACATAATCAGAGTCAGAAGAAACCCAGTGAGTCGATGCATCAGTATGGTCAACGGTTTGTGGATTATATTGTTTTTGCCTCTTTAATTCCTGAAAGAGAAGTTTTAGAAAAGAAAAGGTACCAGTTAAATGACAAACTTGGTTCTCGGCAATAAATCTACATCTTCTCCTTCAATAATTTTCTAACGTGTTCCAAATCCTATGAGAGAGAGAGAGAGAGAGAGAGAGCCATAATTGCATGCCATCATACCTAAGTTGGTCAAATAATATTTATTTCGCACTTTCTTGAACCCAAAGTTCCCTTTTGCTTGGTGGGTGGAGGAGGGGAAGGACTCAGATGGGGATATACATATTTTAGAAAATATTTTGCCCGAGTTGAGGAATTTTTCCTATGTTTTATTTTTTATTTAAAATAATAAAATCCTCTAATTCTCGTGCTGTGGGCGGAAAATGCTTTCCATGACATCATCATCAATGTTTGTTTCAGGAGGGAGGGCTATATTTATTTCACAATTTCTTGAACGTAAATAAGGATAATCCACATAAAATATGGAACAATTTGCCCGATTGGAGGATTTTTTTCCCATTTATACTATTTCTTTTATCGTAATGATCGATATTTTTTTTCCTTTTAATTATCGTCCAAGGCAATTCATGTGTTGGGGAATCACAGAAATACGCTCGCCGCCCCCACGGAGAGTGTGACTCAGTGGCTTGCCCCTCTCCCCACCCCCCCCAGATGGTCACACATCTCTTGCTGTCACTTCGGTGATTGTACCCCCCGTTGACTCATAAACAATTGGTCAATGGATGAGGATCTCGCGGTGAACGGAGGAGGTTCCGTCATTATGAAAAATAAGATACTGGTTGATAGCCGGAAGAGTAATTTCATACCCATCATCGATCATCACATCGGAGGCAATCCAACCGGCGAAAATTCATCGAAGATATCCGAGGCAACGACAGCTGACGTGGACTGGACGTTGACTTCGTGGGTTGTTTTCCTAACTATTCCACTCCAGCCTACGTAAATACAAATTTATTTTTTCTGGTGTAGTTGGTAACCCAGGCGGTAAGCGTACCGGGATGTTTCTCTAAGCCTCGTCTCTCTTCGTGGTTTGACATCTTCGCGGTCGTCTGCGTCGACGATGCCGGAGGAAGACGTGAACATCTGGATAACGACGGCAGCGCTCACGCGTTTTTGAACGTTTCGCAGAAGAGAGAGAAAGAAGAGAGAGAGAGAGAGAGAGAGGGAGGGAGGGGCTGCAAAAGTTCGATACTCTGATCCAGGCTATGTTAGGACGGTCTCTGCTCTCTTTGAATTCGTCGTTCCATCTGCCAGATGTGCTGTAGAAGGTGCGAGGACGGGGTCGTGAGGAGGCGGACTCAGGGGAGAGGAGCGGAGGTGGAATAATTTCTCCAGGACTTTTGGGAGTTGCGGAGATCGGAGTTCTTCCGTTTGATTAGCTTGTCTTTGGAGCGGAATCTGCGGCTCTGCGGAGGGAGGGGGCGAGCGGCGAAGGGAGGTGCTCACGGCGGAGCGGCGGGAGTGGGGATGGACAAGCGCTTGCTGGACGACATCATAAGCCGGCTGCTGGTGGGAGGAAGTGAATGTGGGAAACAGGTGAAGCTCTCGGAGGCGGAGATCCGGACGCTATGCGTGGAGAGCCGCCGCTTGTTCCTCTCTCAGCCGAATCTGCTCCAGCTCAGCGCTCCGATCAAGATCTGCGGTCAGCATCCCGTTCATTTCATTCCAATAATCATCCTTCGACGCATCTTCATCCGCTTCGCGCGCACGCACAGAGTTACTTCCCTGATTGTCTCCATCTTTTGATCGGTGATGAGCGTGTCTGTCCTCGAACGTATCGAAGACTTTCGTTCGAATATCATTCGTTGAACTTGTGCAACCATCGCAGGATTTTCTACCCCATTTTCGGTCAGCATCTTCAGGGACAGTATGAATGAAGGAATCAAGCCTGCATTGATGGTATTCCTTCTCCAGGTCCAAAGAAGAAGATCTCCGTATCTCTGAAGGGCATGGTTTTGGAACAGTAATTCTGCGCATGTCCTGAGCATTCTCTCTCTACATTTTTTCGCCAGATTCCTCGTGGTCTCATCTGTCCATTCGTGGCCGAAGATGATTTCATGCTTTTCAGTTCCATCCTGATGCACAAACCACTATATACAGCCTTTTATGTTGCTTCAGTTGCTTCCCATTACAGACCAGAATTGGGAGGGACATGTTTCCTTTTCTGCACAATGCCACGTCTTAGAGTATGTTGAGAGCTTGAACAAAAATCGTCCTGATTTTATTTTAGTGATTGATTCGGTAAAAGCACCATTAAGTTGATGCAAACCCTCGAAGCTAGAAATATCTATAGTGATGACAGGAAGATTCTAAGCAGAAAAATTAGCGAACTAGGCCGATTTGAGGTTGGTCTGAACTGCTAACTTTTCCAAAGCATTGATGAATTGTGTGAGAAGAGATACTTAATTTCTCGCGCAAAACCAATCGATTTGCCTTATGAATTGATTAGGAGAGGATGAAAAGATGTTGTTGTATGAAAGATCAGCCAAAAATGGGCCTTGAAACTGCAACAATTGACCGCCAGCAAGTTGATATCTTGATGGAGAAATATTTTTGGTGGCGCAAAGAACCAAGAGTGCAGGCCATGTTGATTTTTCTGTTGATTGTATTATCATATCCCTGCATGGTAGAAGAAATAATGTTTTTTAATTTATGCCCACTTTCCAAGACAGCCTCTCTCTCTCTCTCTCTCTCTCTCTCTCGCTCGCTCGCCCGCTCTAGATATATATATATATACATCATTTGCATGATCCATCGTGTGATCAAGGCTTGACTATGCTTCTGACAACATTTCTGCTAACTAATAAGCACGCCAGACTCCGGGTAATTTTTATTATCTGGTTTTGGATAAAATTGGCGAGTCTCTCAGCGCCGGTTGTCGGGCGGAATCTGTCTTGTTTCTCCAGATTTACTCCACAGACTATCTTTACTTCTTGTTTCTCTTGATGGTTCATTTTTCTCTCTCAATCACATGGCGTCATCTCTCAAACCCAGTTCTTAAAACCGTCTGAGAATCTCATCTCCCATCCCCATTACAGGAGACATACACGGGCAGTACCACGATCTCGTGAAGCTGTTCAACCGCGGGGGATACCCCCCCGCCTCAAAGTACCTCTTCTTGGGAGACTACGTCGACCGAGGGAAGTTCAGCCTGGAAACCATATGCCTGCTCCTGGCCTACAAGCTCAAGTACCCAGAGGGGTTCTTTCTCCTGCGGGGGAACCACGAGGACGCCAAGATCAACAGAATATACGGCTTCTATGACGAATGCAAGCGGAGATTCAACGTCCGGCTGTGGAAGACTTTCACCGACTGCTTCAACTGCTTGCCGGCGGCGGCGCTGATCGACGGGCGGATCCTCTGCATGCACGGAGGGATCTCGCCGGACTTGAAGAGCTTGCAGCAGATAGAGGAGATCACCCGGCCCACCGACGTACCGGACTGTGGCCTGCTGTGCGACTTGCTCTGGGCGGATCCCAGCAGGGAAGACGCCGGCTGGGCTGCAGGCGACCGAGGGGTCTCCTTCTCGTTTGGTGCTGACATCCTCTCGGAATTCCTCACCAAGTTGGACCTCGACCTGATCTGCCGCGGTCACCAGGTTCTCTCTCTCTCTCTCTCTCTCACCAGTTTCTGCCAGTCAATTTCCCCGAACCCACAGATCTTGATAGTGAAAACACAGTCTTTCTCTTCAAACGCCCACGAAAGTTAAGCAAAACTCTCTCTCTCTCTCTCTCTCTCTCTCTCTCTCTCTCTCTCTCTGTGATGATGGCGGTGCTGACTGCAGGTGGTGGAGGACGGGTACGAGTTCTTCGGGGAGAGGAGGCTGGTGACCATCTTCTCGGCGCCGAACTACTGCGGGGAGTTCGACAACGCCGGGGCCTTGTTGAGCATCGACGAGACCTTGACCTGCTCCTTCGAGATCATCAAGCCCCCGGCGGTGGCGAAGTCCGCTTCGGCCAAATCTGACGGGAAGAAGGTAAGAGCTCTGCCATAATAATCCCATCCTATTGAAAACGCGCGCTAATCGCTCACTGGTTTTCCATGTTTTGGTCTCCCAGGTTCCTAAAGCTGGGAGGAATTGACCTCCGCGTCATCTTGGCCTCAGGAGGAGTCCATTCGGTCTCTTCTGTACAGCGAGCCCACCTGGTGACTGATTAAATTACCTACCCTTGTACGTAAAATTCTCTCTCTTCGGCGTCGCTCTCCCGCTCCTTGCTCTCTTCTCCTCTCTGGTTCTTCCCCCTTCCCTTTTGAAGGAACATTCGCACTGCATCCCGAGAAATTCCCTCTCTCTCTCTCTCTCTCTCTCTCTCTCTCTCTCTCTCTCTCTCTCTCTCTCTCTCTCTCGGCAACATGGGACTATAACAACGGCTCCGTCGGATGCATATTTATTGGGCTCAAGCCCAAATCTATGATGGGCCAACTGAGCCCATTGAAGTGGGCCGATAACCCCAGATTATCATCCCGCCAAACTTCAAAAAGACCCATACAAATGGGCACAGACGTTCTCCCACCCCTCCACCGGGCCACCCAATTGCCGCTCTCCCGTTGCGGCCTGCTTCTGCCATGGCCGCCACCGGCGATGGCGAAGCACCAAGCCGCCGGCCTCCGACGCCGGAAGAGATCGTTCTCCTTGCGAAGTCCTCCGCCGCCGCCCTCCCCTGTGCAGACTCCCACGCCAACCTCTTGGAGCGCCTCCTCCCCTCGTCGCCGTCCGTCCCGTTCCACCTCTACGTCTCCTCTCTGTTGACGCTGGTCTCGCGCACGGATCCTTCCCCCCCCGTCTCTTCTTTCCTGTCTTCCCTTCTGCTCTCCTTCCTCCGGCTATTCCGGTCTCGGCAGATCCCCCGCGATGGGGACACCAGCCTGCTCTTCCACCTGTTCTCTCTGCACCTTTCCACTCTCGACAGGGCTCAGCTGTTCTCCGTCCTCGATGAGGTTCTATCCGATCTCTCTGAAGTTTCCGATTCTGAAGACGCCCTCCCGCTGGACTTGATCCCGAGATGCCTCGACCTCTTGGTCGTGACCAGTGGCGATGAGGTGGTGGACTCTATTTTGGATAGAATTCTGGACGCCGATTGGTCAAAGGCGGTGCTGGTGAAGGTCGTTTCCCTCCTCAGAGAGTTCCCAGTCTCCACGAGGATCCGCGCCATGGAATTTTTGGAGAAAGCCTTTGGCGGTTTGGAGGGCATCGATATCCAGGACCTCCCTTCGCTAGCTTACCAGCTTCTGCTGTTGGCTACCAAAGGTTTCAACAAAAGGGCTGTGCTCAGTGGGATTTTGTCGTTCTTCGGGTCTGGGACGGTCAAAGGTGCTCCCGCTATTCTTCGGCAGGTCGAAGGCACGGTGCTTATGCACTTCAATTTCGCGGTCAAACAGGATCCTTCGCTCGGAAAAGAAGTGATGGGAGTTCTGCGGTGCGACATGGAAGCTTTCAACCATTTTGCTGTTGCGGTTCTTCTCTCCATTGCCAGGGTTAGGCGTTTCAATGAGAACTCAATCCATCTTCTCCGGTCTCTGGCTATCAAGTCATACAGTGAATATAGGTTTGCAAGGTGAGAATCAATAATTCGATGGCGAGCTTGTCTCCACGTTATGCTTATGCTCTTGTGTCTCACTCAGCATTGCCCGGTAACTCCTCTCAGTCTGTATGTTCATTGTGTTGTCCATTCTTATGTCGCCATGCATTTTCTAGAGACTGTAAATGGTTGCCCACGTGCATCAAGGAAGAGTGCCTGCGGACCGCAAAGTGTATAGAGAAGTCTTTAATGAGAGCTGTGAGCTCCCTTTCTCTCCCTCTCTTGCTCTCCCTCGCGTTTGTGAGCGCATTTGCACTCTTAGAGGAAGTAACTGGAGTGTAACAAATTTTCTTTCCCTTTTGTGTTAGATTAATGAAAATAACTCTGGAAGGGAGTACATCGTACCCAGCAGCGTCCAGCTTGGATTTATTTTGCTGGAGTCTGTGGATGGTAAGAGTTGTGGCAGATCTGATGACTCTGGAGAACGGATGGGAGCTGAGGAACTTGGCATTCAGATACTAAAGACGATCTTCGAAGTTCATGACATGGCAAGAAATGAGGTGGGTTTGGCTCACTTTTCTTTTGTATCATCGTTGCATATGTCATTAATGCAGATTTTGCACAACGGATCAGCTCATATGTATTTATTCCTTAAGTTTATTATATCTGTTCTTCATTTAGCCTTAAACCAAGGAAAAGTGATTATTGTCACAAAGTAGCATTTTTTTTTCTCTTTTGCCGAGATCCAGATTGTTGAACAATGCAAATTTCGAATTCTCTCTCTGAAGCCTCAAGAAAGTTCTTCGATCATCAAGTAACCACTTGATTATTCTTTTTTCCTGCATTTATTATGAGATAAATTTACTGATGTTGCTTTATATCTTTATTAACATGCTGCTCTAAAGGCTCCTTGGTACTCTCATTCAGAGTTACCCATACCCCATGCTCGAGCAAAATGGAAGACTGAAGGACTTGTTGGACTATTTTACTTTCATGCATGACAGACCAGCTCATTCTTTAATTGCTGCCATGCTGCCACTCATCAGATTCAGCCGTGACCTACAGGTACAGCTCAATAAAAATTTAGGGTTAGGGCAAGTCTGCTGCTTCTCATGTGAGGCTTATAATGCTATTGACCATTCTTCCGAGGATTTTTTTTTTTAACCTACTTTCACCAATTATTTTTAAGAAATTACTTCTATTAGTAAGTAATTATTGGTATTTTTGTAGGATTACATTATTTTGGTTGTTCGGAAGGCTATGTTCAGGAAAGAAGATACAGTTCGTCTTGCTGCCACTAATGCAGTAGTTGACCTGATCCTCCTGGATGCTAGATCTAAGAGAAATTGTCTGAATTCTTTTCAAGAATCATCCAGCCAAGCTAGCTGCAGCCAACAGACTGACATGCCTAGCAAGATAGGTCTACCTCTCTTCCAAGAGTTGAGTGGACTGCTCAAAAGATGTCTATCGCAACAAGTATGCCTTCTGATTTTTGCATTTCATATTGAAGCTGTCTTCTCTCCTCTTTTTTTTTTCTTCTTCTTATGGTTTTTTTGAATTTATTAGGGTAAAATAAAAGAGGTTATTTATGGTGGACTCGTGAAACTCGTTTTGTTGGACCCACTTCTTTCTGGAGCTGTATTTGATTTACTCTGGCCTCACTTCCTTCACTTTTACAGAGAGGTATTTCCTTCGAGAATCCAAGCTTACTTTTAAAATCTGTCTACAGAGACGATGGATATTTTCATATTTTACCTTCCTTATAGCAACATATTCCCCCATGTTTCCTTTGAATGGTAAACTCGATATTTTCTTCATGTTTTCTCAACCTTCTTGCTTAAACATTATGAGCACTTCTGAAGACTTATGAAGAAGTCATGTTGTCCAGGATGCCAAATTTCCCCTAGTTATTGATTCCTGTATCACAGAAGAGAATGGCAAGGCTTATGTCAGAGAACCATTAGACTGTCTTCTGTCATGTATCTCCTGGATTCTTCTCCTCCAGCCCCGCAATGGTCGTGAGTCATCCGACTACTCTTGGACATGCTTCGGTTTTTCTCTTTCTCAAGATAATGAGGTACTTTTCCAGTTTTGTGCACGGAAGTGAAAAAGCCTTTTTATCGTCTTCTCTAAGCTGCTTCTTTGTAAAACACTCTAGGTTGGAAGAACATCTGTGGAGTGTTTCTCAAATGCTTTAAAAAAGATTCGGCATGCTTTGACATATGACTTAAAAGGTAATGTCGAAGTAATCTTGAGTGTTATTCTGTTCGTTTGATTGGCCATTCATAGCTTAATCTTCTATTATCGCTCTTATTTCTTGATCTGGGGGTTTAAATTTCTTCTAATATATATCAGGTGTGTTAGGGCTGATCAACGAGAACATCCCTCATAGTTTGCAAGGTGAAAGGAAGAGGTACTGCCTTCAGATTCTTTGTGGAATTGTAGAGGTTTTTGCTAATGTTGTCGCCACAGAGTTGGAGAAAGCAGGAGATGCTGAAAAGACGGCCCTTGAAAAACAGATCGTAGATCTTTCTATTCTATATAATTCATTTCAAAGTGACATATCCTCACCCAAACAAGTTGACGGTCTCAGAAGAAGAGGGCCATCGAGAACTTCTGCGATGGGCACACCCAACTTTAAAGAATGCTCTGATAGTTTTCACATGAGAAGAACTTTCTTGGCGACAGCAAGTATCCACCAGTTGTTGGCGACTGCAGTGAAACTTTATGATGCTTTTAACCCTGACGGCCATGCAGTTTCTCAAGACAATACCCAATCTTCTGCTCACAAAACGTTGACATGTTCTCTAGGTTTGGTTTCCTTTGCCTTGAAGACCTGTCTACATCAGTTAAAATATTCCTATTTATGGGAAAGTGATGATACCTCAAGGACTCTAATCGATGGGGATATGAAATCGTTGGGGCGGCCATTACTGCGGTTGATACGGCTGTTGAAGATGAACACCAAGTCAGAGGACCCCAAGAAGAAAGAAGTAAGAGGGAAGAAAAATTCAGACAATATAGTTCATGTTTTGCACTTATCACTGAAATGCTTAGACGAGCTGTTCAAGGTATGCCTACGCAAGGAAGCCTTTGTTGGGTTGATTGAGGATATGGTGGCCGTGCCATCAGGGGAATGGAGCTTCGAGATAGGGACTGATGCTGCTGGTCCGGAGTCTGGTGCCGAGGAAGACTTGCCTATGGATACGCCGCATGCAAGGAATGTGAATATCTTCCTAGATAAATGGATGAAACCGCTTTACTCCGAGCTTCTCATGCAGTCTCTTTTCCGGGAATCTGAGGTAAACCCATTTTGCTTCGGGAACATGCTCTCAAGGGCACCAGCATCCTATGATTTCTACACCATTCAATAGTGCATTCAGCAATGTCCCCTTCATGTTTGCTTGCTAGGTTCTAAATAAATATATTTTTATTATTTTATTTTATTTTCTGTCTAAAAATCTGTGTTGATTTCTCTGCTTACCCAATTCACGTGACCCCAGAAATCAGCAGAAGAAGTTGTTTTTTCCCCAGGTATATTGGTGCTAAAAGCTTAACCTTCCCGTTGTCGCATACAACCTTAGGCTTGCACTGTACGTATGAACATCTAGAAATCAGACGAATTGGTAGTATAATACTCTGCATCCCAAATGCTTCTTTCCTCTCTGAATCTACTTGTAAGATCCTTGGAGTAGAATAAATTTAGGGTTTTAGTCATCTTAGGAGACTCCAGGCTGAATTCATTCCCGGTTCAGAAACAGCCATCAAACACAGCAGCCACGGTCGGCGTTTGCAATGTGAGTAGAGTCCTTTCAAACCTAAAAATAGATGATCATGCACGATTTTGATTGGTCAGAGGGCGATGGAAGCCTGGTTTGTTGACTTTCTAGAACCCATGATGAGCTTCATCAGGAATAGAATATCTCATGAAACTTGATGAATTCTCATGAGAATTTGTCTGCCCTGGTATGCTCGCCATTGACCCTTCAGAGACATGTTGACAGAAAGAAGAGGCGTGAGACGTTGACCTTCCATTTGGACGAAATGATCTGAGGCAACCTTCGTATTGCCTGAATAATATTCAGATGGAGAATTCGTGGGCATTAGGAAGGTATGAATAGCATTCTGGAACTTAATTGATAATATTAATCCAAGAAAAGGCTCTTGATTGAGTGGTTTTTCAATGAAATTTTCCCCATTTGGCAAAATTCGGCACCTCTTGCTTGTTTTTCTTTTTTTTATTTTTTTTTCTAAAGCTTGATCAGTCTTTTCTTTTCCTCAAAGGTACCGTAAAGTAGTTGTAATGCCTGGGTCTTTCACAACATGCCCTGCATGTTGTGAAAAGGCATCAGCGTTGACTCTCGTTTGACATTTTCTTTATGTATCTATCGACAACATGACCCGGCACTGGAATAGTGTCTGAGAGTTGACTTTGTTACTGAGGAACATAGGGGTTTACGGAAATAGGCTCGTTTTTGTCTCTTGTCACCTTAGCGTTGAATTTACTGAATCTGACCGGCATCCTCTTCTCAGGTTCTATCCGACATGGTCTTGATGATCGGTAACCGGTTGCCAGGCGTATCAAGGGAGCCCCACGGAATCTGGGCCGTTGACATCTGCAAAAGCTCTGGTTTGCGACATCCAACGGCTGCGGGTGGTGTGGTAGCCGTCGCCATCCATCTGCGGTCGCCTCCAGGTGATCTAATAACCGCCCAGGAGATGGCCTCAGAGTTGGCCGCCGTTATCGGAACAGAAGAAGATCAGGGCCCCGTGGAGGCATCCGAAACCTATCCCATCATAAATCGGTCAACGGGAGCCACCATCGCTTCCAGTCTGCTGCGACTAGCCGACTCCGTCATCGTTGACTTGGACTGGAGTCTATCCAAACTCAAGGCGTTGACTACCGACAAGATCCATCGATCGACTGGGCTTCCATTGGAGGAGGCCCTGTATTCGAGGTCAACAGCACTGGTCAACCTGCTGTCCCATTTTGCACAGATGAACCTCAAGGGTGAGACCCCATAATTGCAATTGCTCCCACATGCAAAAAAATGCCATAAATTTATTTATAAATATTATTTTCACGCACAGATTGTCAAGCCGAGCAATTTCTAAAACTGGCAGCGAGATTCTACAAGATCATGTCACTTGCGACGAAGCTGAGGATCGCCCCCAGAGGTTTCGAGCAGCTTCCTCCAGGTGGCACGTTCCAGGAGCTGACGGAGGTCACCTGCATGAAGCTGACCGCCCCTCTTTACGGCTTCCTCGCTGCGATTCAACAGGTATGTACACGTGCCGCTGGTGCTAATTTGGCTCCGGTGGGGCCCGCATATGATCTCTCTCACCCGCCGTGTCGGGTATGCAGAACCAGCGGGAGGCGGCGGGAGGGAGGGGGCTCTCGGGGAGGATCAAGAGAGAGAACAAGTGGGTCCCAGACCTGGTGTTCCGGATAGAGGACTACGAGAAGTACCTGATCCAGCTCAGCAGGTTGACCGGGGTCAACCTGCTGAGGCGCGCGAAGCGCAGCACCGCCAGGGACTTCAAGATTCTGGACGCGATGAAGGCCAACCGGCGGGAGGGCGAAGACAACGCCGCCGTCCCCACTGATAGTGGCGGCGGTGGCGGCGAGGGCTCCCAGGAAGACGATGAGAGAGAGAAGACGGATGAGGACTCGACTCCGGAGCTCGGTTGCGGCGAGGCCTCTCAGTCGGAGGAAGACCGTGGAGATCTGCTGGACGGAAATGAGAGGGTCAAGAGGTGGCGGGCCATGGTGGTGCGATCTTCGGACGATGAAGAGGCGTAGAGTTGACCGCCACATTCAATGTCAAACGACTCCTTCGGACAGAGTTGGAAATCCAGTGGGGCTTTCGAGCTTTCCAATTTCCAGCCCCATTCGACAGAGTTCTTCAGCGTGCGCGTCGTTGACTTCGCAAGAGAGTATAAGGGGCGGACGGTCTTGACCGCCGACGATACAGATGCTCTGACCCCACGATTATTTCCGGATTTGCAGTCAGATGTGGGTATGCTGATCTTGGATCGACCTCCATTTTGAGAATTAAGCCGGTCAGCGTCGAGTGACTGAAAGTTATTGACTTTCTTGAAGAATCACTTTGTTTGACCTTCTAAATGAAGTGCACGCGGACCCTTGACAAGGGCCTTCTGACTTTCGTATCGGATAAAATGTTGAATTGATGAGGGAACACGAAGAACAAATGTCTTCCAACTGGAGAACAAAGTCGCACTCGTCTCCCTACCGCCCTCTCGCTTTCACTCGTGGCAGGTGGCGATAGAGGCCGGAGCTGGCTGCTGACGTCGGCACCTGAGCTGAAATAAAGAGAGATTTTCCTCGAAAAATCTAGAACTATGATTATCTAAATCCCACGGAAGAATAAAAAATATGAACCCATCACGATTATTGTGGATGTGGTGAAGAAGAACGTATTACCGTAAAACCATGGGGAAATTTTTGGGAGAAATCAAGATATACAGGTCCGAGGAATCGGGGAAAAATTAGATGAGAAAGTCAACTACGTGACTAAAAAAACAGTGCAAAGAAACTCCCTCAAGAACATCACGATAAAGGCTTAATCTTTGGAATCAGAATTAGCATGGTATAGAAGAGCATCATTGGGAGCCCACGGCGAAGTAAAAGACTCTCGCCCCAACATGAATCGGAATGCTCGCGGCTTCTTTTCTGCAGATCAGAATGAGATTCTCATCACTCAGATTTCTGATGTTCAGACGACAAGGCGAGCAGAAGAAGACCACGCGAATTAGGAATTGAATGCAATAAGGAGAACACTTCCGCTTGGGAGCATCGATCACAATGAGACTCCGCCGGAAGCATCAGGCTTGACCTGGCTATAATATGATCACCAAATATTCTAGATGGGGAATTCCGGAGAGGTTTGGCGAAATCATGGCGATGCAGCTCCCTCAGAAACAAGACAGTAAGACTTCGTCACAGATATCGGAATTAGCATGGTAAAGAAGAGCATCATCGGGAGCCGACTGCGGAAACCACAAGACGCGGAAGTCCCCGTCGAAGTCGCAAAAGGACGAGAAGAAGACGCATAATTAGGGCATTGGAAGTCGCACTGACCTTCCTCTTCAAGAAGGCGACGAGACCGCAAGGGAAGATCGGCTCCTCCCGGCCTCGCTCACGAAGAACATCGAAACTCTCGGAAGAAAAAAGTAAGGGGAAACAAGGATGAACGTATATGTCGGTACGAGCTAGCAATGAGGTCCATCATCTCAGACATCCCGAGGCATTACTCACCTCGACGAGAGGCGAGCAGAAGAAATCACTGAACAGCCGGTCTTCCTGCTCCTCCTGTAGGCGACGGATCCAATATCCCCCAGACTGGCGACGGAGAGCTCTCAGAGACTGCGGCCGACAACTGACGTCAATCTCGGGGGCCTCGAATGATGGCGGCGGGCCGAGGACGACGAAACAGACGAAGGAAGTGACGTCTGAGGAGGAGGATCTCCGCCACGGAACGGCGCCGTCTCTGCTGCCGCTCCTCTCGCCCTGCCCTGCAAACGGCAATCTAGGATTTCTCCGCCACCATCGCCCTGCCCTACTTGTTATATATAGCACAGCGTCTCCAGAGGATCCCGCTAACGTCCAGGCTTCAAATATGTCCGACCATTACCAGGGAAACTGGACTTTTTTCGTTTTGTGGTTGCTTGAGTTTCTTTGGTTTTTATTATTATTATTCTATTTTTTATTTTTTATTCTAAAAGTATTATTTTTATTTTATTTTATTTATAATTTTATAATATTTTTATATTTTTATCCCGCCCCCCCCCCCTCAATTAACTAACTAAGTTGTTGATATTGTTTTTTATTTTTCAGGCGTAATTTTTGATCCTTGGGAATTATTGTATTATATTTTTAGTCATATCATATATAATTATATATTTAAAATATATGATGTCAAAAATCAGATTAGCTCTCTCGTACATATATCTTATATATAATTATTTAAGACTATATATAATATATAATTAAATATAATTATTAAACCCGCAGTCTTTTTACTCTCATTATATGTGTCAGATATAATAAGAGTTTTTGGGGTCTAAGAAGTCATTTTGGAAAAAAAAAGGGTTTATAATGATTCACTTGATTTATGAGGAACTAAAATTAAATAGCCCGAATTTCAACTAACCATCAATTTTATGAAATATAAATATTCTCACAAATATGGGTTTGTTGACTAGTCAACTATGTGGGTATCCACTTGCTAGTCACTCTAATGTTTCATCGACATTCTTAGTCATGAAGACCCAAAAGAGAAAGTTGAGGTCTTGACATAGACTCTAAATTAATGCTCTTTGACTTTAACTTGGATAATGTTATTAATAGTAACTATGAGCAATCATGAAATGGAGCATTTATGAACCTTCAAACTTTGATTTTATGTGACTTGCTTCTGAAAGGTCAACTCCTTGGACACAATATGACTCAATTCTCTCATCATTAGTGCTTGTGAAAGTTGAAAAAATGGCTGCATAAATGTGCAATCTATAGGTGAAGAAGTTTTTTCATCCACTAAGTTGACTTTTGTAAAGATTGATTTTCTGGCATCAAGGTTTCCAAAAGTTGCAATTATCATCGTTTCATGATCAATGCAAAAGGGAAAACCAAACCTTTTTTTCATAAATTTGAGCATTATTTCCAAAAATGTTGTCCTCACTAAATAGACCTGCTAAATACTACCATTGGTTCTATCTGGTATTTATTTATTTGTTAGAGAAAATCTCACATTAAATATATGATCAAGCAAAAGTTCGCAATGTTTGACCATACAAGTTACTTGATAATAATGCACATATTATTTTTGAAAATATTCTCACATTAAATTCTGAATTATTTAATGCTAAAAACTCGATGTCATGGGAAAAATCGAGCTTATTTATCAGCTGCAACGGTTTCTCGGGGAGAAAAGGGGCAACCTTATTTTAATAATGCGAAATTATTTAATATCTTAAGAACATTAATTTTGATATGACTCGAAATGGGTAAAATATGAGATCATAATTAGTTAATGAGATCACTTAATCTGGTTAAAAAGAATAAGGGAAAAAAGCCCAGCAAGACACCCTTCCGCTCGCCGCCTTACTCGATACGGGAGCTTGAGAACCAGAGCCAAATATAGAAATCCCCCGTGGCTCGCGTGACTGACTGCCACCTGTTCGGTCCATTCTGTAGCCACCCAACCTCTCTCTCCCCCCCTACTTTCTCAATAATGAGCAGTGGGGAAGTGAGTGGGCCCACAGGCAGACTCTTTAATGGGCCTTTATCCAAGCCTATAGAAGCCTATTCATTCAAGATATGAAAACCTGATCCAGCCTTCACGTGGCCCGGCCCGCTGACGCGTGCTGCGCGTCTCAGCAGCGGACACGTGGCTTAGGGATAAGACTCGATTGGGGCGCGTTTCCCCGTAATTTCGCGTTTTCTATACTCACGCATTTTATTAAAAAAAAAGGCCCGCTGGGGCCCACAGCTGTCGCAACGACCAATCCTCACGACGGAGTCAGATAAATGCGGGGGGGATTTAGACGGTAATTTATAACGGGCGCTCTAGAAGCTTCAGCCGTAAGTTTCTGGGCTTTTAAAGGACCACGGCCCGGATTGACGGAACCCACGGGCCGGGCATTTTGTGTGTCACTGTTACGGATAGTTATCCAAAAAGGGAAGCATAGTTTGAGCTATCAATAACCAACAGGCCCGGCGGATATGACGACAGTACGGCTTGCTAGTTGAGGTGGGGACCACTCAGGGGGGCTGACCATTCCTCAAGCGATCACGTCGGTCTCTTCTCTGTACGTTTGTCGACTAATGGGCCGCTCCCTAGATAGGTGGAGGCTGACCAGCTATGGGACACGTGGCGAGCATCGCGTCCATGGGCCTCAAGTATAAAATGTCCTTCTCGAGAGTCAGTTAAGCCACTACGTGTGTGGGGCCTCTTGGGCAGTCACCCGGGTTCTGTTGTCCGCCGGGCTACGATGACCCGCGCAAGGCGACAAGAACGCCGCGGGGCCATCGGTGGAAAGGACGCGGGGGTAGTTTGCTCCTGAGGGGCATCGGAAAGGGGCTGCTGGTTAAAGCGAAGGGTGAGGGGGAGGAAAGCGGGAGGTTTGGGGGGCAAGGAAGGCAGAAAGTGAATAGGAAGGTGGCGATGGCGGGACTGAGCGTTCTACTGGAGGGGCGGAAGGAGGTCTCCAGGGCGCCGCAGATCATCAGCAAGAGCTTCGTGCTGAGGCCCTTCTCTCCTCGCCCCTCTCCCCCCACCAGTGGCTTCCTCGAGGCCTGCTTCCTCTGCGGGAAGCAACTCTCCCTGGAAAAGGACATCTACATGTACAGGTGAAACCGCCGTCTCTGAATGTTCTTCTTCGCAAGCTGTCGCCTGCCATGGTTGTTTGTGTCGATCTCTGTCTTCTGTCTCTCTCCTGCTCTCGCTTATGCTCTCTCTTGCTGATGATGTGTGTATGGATGCTTCCGTCTGTGCTGTGTTTAGGGGAGATAAAGCGTTCTGCAGCGTGGAGTGCCGGTGCAGGCAGATTTTCATGGACGAAGAGGAGACGGTGAGGAGGGAGAACTGCTCTTTGGCGGCCTCCCCCATACGTCAGGGCAAGAGAATCGCGAGGGGCGGCCGACCCACCGCCGCCGCTGGCGGATTCGTCTACTGACGGGGGAGCGGGGAGGTCGCGCGCTCGAGGAAGAGATGCTCGTGCAGATTTTCTTCTCGATCCTTCTTTCCGCTCCTTTTTGGCTCCCAGAACGATCAGAACGACCGGACGGCGTAGCACCTCCTTCTCCGCCACCGCCGGCTCTCCCTCCACTTCCAATAAGAGAAGAGTGAGAGATCACGAGAGCCATGTCTCCTCGCGGCAGAAGAGAACACGCGCCGGCCTCGTCCATGGCCTGCAAAAACACGTTTCTATCGCTTGTTTCTTCCCTTTCGTAGCCCTGATTCGATTGTATTATTTGCAAAGAAAGAAGTTTCCCGTTCTCTCCTCCACCCACATCCACCATACTTCACGGAAGCTCAGCTCGTCACCATGAATGCACTCAACACCGAACTGCTCATAGATGATCTCGCACCTCTCTCTCCTCTTTCCTCAGTAACAGAGAGAGATAGAGAGAGAGAGCGAGGGAAAGCGAGAGTTAGTGAGAGAGTGGGAGGAGGTTATCGTCACCGCTCGAGGGCGACTCTCCCCCCGCCCACCGTTCAGGATTTTTTATATGAAATCAGTGGATTAATTATTCTAATTTTACTAAATAATGCGAATTACGTGCGAGGGGTATCTTTATAATTTTTTTTAAAGCTTTCTGATCACCGAAGAGCACCGGACCCACGCCCTCTTAATGAGCCCAAATAAACCGCCTCTGAGGAAGGTCCGAGCTGGTGGTTCGTAAATTACGCCGAAGGTCAGAGTTAGCCTAGCAGAATACCCAGCCCGAGGACCCGGAATAGTCGACACGTTAGAAAGGTAGCCAGCCGCTGGACCACGTTAGGTGTCTCGAGAGACGTTCCTCCTCACTGGCGGGAAAACCCGAGGAGGAGCCACGTGGAGTACGGCAGAATCTGAGGCGCGGACGTCGGGTCGTAATATTCTCTTCAGCAGAAACGGCGGCGTGTTGGCCGGGCCCCGTCGTCGGGCGCCGCCTACTCCCCGGCGGGGAACGGTCGGCCAGAAGGGAGCCGTCGAGGAGAGAGAAAGAGAGTCAGAGAGAGAGATAGGAAGAGAGAGAGGAAGAGAGAGAGAGAGAGAGAGAAGGAGATTCGAGGAGTCTGACGAGCCTACGGACCTACATTGAGTGTTCTCCCGTGACGACCGTGAAGGATTTAAAGGTGAAGGCCTGCCAAACCGAAAAGTACAGCCTGGGCCGGCCCAACTAGAAAAGATGGGCTTTTTACACGTTCCCACCTCTCTCTCTCTCTATGGGGATATGCATGTATATAGATGAATATGTGGGTATGGGGGGACATATAGAGGTTTTATAGGGGTATGGATGGAGGCATTAGTCTAAAGGAGGGACCGGAAAATTCCAGCTATATTAATTTTTTAAATTCTCTGATCGTTTTTACACAATATATATATGCATATATTAATTCCTTTTGAAATATTTTTAAAAACCGTATATAAAATAAAATTCCTGCGGGACTTATCCACGATTTGAGATTTTGTTGGGATTTTCAATTATTACAAGGTTTTAAGGGACTGTTAAAATATAAATGAATATGCTTACAAAACCGCTATGCCAATGACTTCTGCCATCGCGTCCTCTTCCATTCCGCTGCGTCTTCCTGGAGTCGCCGGCGGTGGAGAAGGTTCGCCGCCGCGCCGCGCCGCCGCAGCGAAAATGGCTGCCTCTTCCCCCCATAAGCTCCTCAGCATTGGCACCAAAATCGTAGCCGTCGGAAGGAACTACGCGGCGCACGCCAAGGAGCTCGGCAATGCGGTGCCGAAGGTTATCCATCTTCCCCGATATGGATTAATGTTGAGATTCTCTGCAGATGGGACTGTGCTATGATAATTACGGCGGTGATCATGCTCAGTTCTTCAATAGAATCCCTTTTCTGTGCCAGGAGCCCGTGTTGTTCATGAAGCCTACCTCGTCGTACCTACAGAATGGGGGTACGATCGAGGTTCCAAATCCCTTGCAGTCGCTGGATCACGAGGTCGAGCTGGCGGTCGTCATCGGGAAGAAGGCTCGAGACGTCGTCGAACTCACTGCTATGGACTATGTTGCTGGTATATTAATTCGACTCCGATAATGTGCTCAACGCGCTAGATTTTGGGCATGGATTTATATATTCGTCGTGATGAGGTGCTGCCATATACTAGGAAATCGTTTCCCATTTTCTTGTTTCCTGAGTTGTGGCTTCCTCTGTCTGTCATTGGATCGGCAAGATACTTCACTCACGTGCGTTCCACATTCCGTAGCATGGCTATAATGTCTTAATTCTACATCCTGGACAAGCGAACGATGAGTATCCTTTCCAACGTCTTGTGAAGAAATTCATCCCGAGTGGGTTTATGTCTGAAGAGCATCTTCCTTCTCCAAAGCCCCTTCTTTCAGATCCGCATTTCGTTGTGAAGAAAAGAAGAATTATGCCTGAAGTTAGGTTAGAATGGGGAAAGAAAGAGGAAGCTTGGGAAGAAAGGAATAAGAATCGTGGATATAGTAAAGGGTGAAGAAGAAACATAACAAAATGAAAAAGTTAGGAGCTAGTAGTAGAAACGAGGATGAGTTCATGGGAAAATATTTTTTCCAGCAGTACACTGAACAAGAGCCGGAAATAAGAAGATAATGAAGAGAAAGAGTTGCTCAAGTTGAGAGAGAGGGAGAGCGCGGGAAATATGAAGAGGAATCTAAGCTTATTGAATTGATGCTAACGTCAGTTGATAACGATGAAATCCATATGCAAGGGCTATGGGTAAAAGGCAAGTGCTCCTTCAAGTGAATATCATTTAGTTTGTTCTCCCCGCAATGTTTGACATTTACCATGTAGGGGAATTAGAATGCATCACATTTCCGCGGGTTATCTGCTTTTCTAGATGTTTCCACCATGCTCTATAGAGAGGGAGAAAAAACATGATAAATAAGATCCATGGATGCACCCAGTACTGTTTAGTGTCTGTTGGTGGGGTTCAATGTTAGTTGCCAATCTGAGAACTACCTCTTTGTTCGTTTAAGTGAAAAGTGTAGAGCCAAAGTAAAAGAAATTATAATTATGCATATGTCTGATCTCGTTTTTTTCTTTTGAATCTGGGTTTTACTCGATCCAATTAATGATATTCTGACTGTAGAGTGCTGATCAGAAAGGATACAAAATATCAATAGAGAAGCCAGGATTTTATAGAAAGAGAAGTTTAGTTATTTCCTTGAAGGGAACCTGAAATACAAAGTCGATCTCCTAAGAAAACAGCTCTCTTTCTCTCTTTCTCACTGCCACTCTCAATAGCTCTCTCTGGTTTCAATTTAGATAGTAAAATGAACGATTTGAGATATCTCATACTAGTAGAATAGTACCATCTTGGGAAATAAAACTATAATTTTGTTGAATATTTAATCCATTCATTATATTTTGAGCTGGACAGTCGAATTTTCTTTGGTCGTATCAAAGCTCCATTGTCAACTCTAAGTTGTACACAGCTTTTCTGTTATTCACATATTAGAATCAAGAGTGTGTGGTGTTGAAAAAGGTTCAATATTGAGAAGGATTTTATTAAATGCTAAGGTGAACACGAAATGTTGACTCATTGCCAGTTGCTTTTTAGATGGCTAACCTAATTCTTTAAGAAATGTCCCCCCAAAGAAAGCAATAAGGCATCATAGGTAAAGAAAAATTTCCATTGACCCACATCGGTGTTTTGAGGTATTGAGGGTAGGCTTTTGCCCAATGTAATTGGTTCTTCTTGTATGTGTTATCGATTATGATCAAATCCATACATGCCATCAGTACCATTTCATCAGTTTTTGGGTAAATGAGAATAATGTTCGTTGATTCCATCAGCTGCATGATTTTGTGCCTCTCATTGATATTTCAATGGAACAGACAGAAAGGCTTTGAATGGGGGGCATACTTCGGTGCCAATCAGTAATAGGGGCGTTGTGCGGTGCAACATATCCACCATTATGCATTCTTTCCTAGAATTGAGTTGACTTTATTTTGGGACTAAAACACTTTCATATGTTCATATGATCACCGATGTTTAGTCATCAGTTCACTCTTTCAACTACTATTTGTGTTTAGCATTCTTTGGAATATAGTCCAATGAAAAGTTTATACCACTTTTTAAATCTTGCTGATCAAATTATAAGAAAACAAATAAAGATTTCTCTACGGTCATTTCAATGAATGCTGCAGGATATGCGCTTGCCCTCGATATGACTGCAAGGGAAATCCAGTCTTCTGCAAAGGTTGGCCACTAATCTTTTTTCTCCCTCCGTTAAATAGTCAACCTTTTTCCTTTTCCGACTGTACAGATTATGATCCTGAATGGAATGGTTGTGCAGTACCATTTTATTCTGTGTCGTTTCCTGTGAAATGCGCTCATCTCATCCATTGGTCTTGTTTGATTTGCTTGAAGGGACATCCCATCTCATAGGCAACATAGGTTTGTTTGACTTTGCAAATATAGGGAGGGGAGAAATAATTTTTTTGGGTCGGAATTTTTTTCATTACTTGCGCGTGAATTGATATTTTTTTTCTTCGTCAGGTTCTTTTATATTGATTTTCATAGGAAAATAAAATTCCAGTGCCATGTTTTTCTATGGTCTTGAGGATTTAATTTTTATATTATTAAGGATTTGATCATGATTATCCATTATGGCTTGGTATTCTTGCCTTGATTGCGCCAGGAAAGTCAACGCCAGGGAATCCAGAGGGTATCAGAGAGAGAGAGAGAGAGAGAGATAGAGAGAGAGAGAGGTTAAAATCGTTGTGAATGACAGATTATTATTTTTCCGTTGACAGTCAGCAGGGCTCCCGTGGACGATAGCCAAAGGCCAGGACACCTTCACCCCCATCAGCGCAGTCGTAAGAGCCCGTCAACGCCGTCCATCATCATCGTATGAATATTTAATCGATAACTATATAAAACCTTATGGCACATTAAATAATTCCATCGCAGCTGCCGAAGTCGATGGTTCCAGACCCGGACGACCTGGAGCTATGGCTGAAGGTGAGTGCGTGAGTGAGTTAGTATTCGTCCCCTTCGGGTCCACGTGTCAACTGCCACGTCACGGGGGGGGGTTCCATCTCCAGGTGGACGATGAAGTCAGACAGCGGGGCTCGACCAAAGATATGATCTTCAAGATCCCGTTCCTGGTCAGCCACATCAGCTCCTTCATGACCCTCTTCGAGGGTGACGTCATCTTGACCGGTACGTAATCTCACTCGCCTGGTAATCGTTCTCCCTCCTCGCTGACGTGGGGTTCCGACGTGGCAGGGACTCCCCAGGGTGTGGGGCCTGTCAGAGTCGGGCAGAGGATATCCGCCGGGATAACCGGCCTTGTGGACGTCCACTTCGACGTTGGGAGGCGCCAGACCAGGCACGTCGGGGTATGAGAGGTGAGTCTTTATTTTCTGCTGTTTCATTCTAGTGAGAGAGAGAGAGAGAGAGAGAAGACTATTTCAGTTTGTCGTAATTTTCTGCTGTTCATGCCAATATGAGCGAGAGCAAGAGAGAGATGAAAGACTAGTTCAGTTCGTTTTATTTTGTGCTGTTCATTCGAATGTGTGTGTGCGTGTGTGTGTGTGTGAGAGAGAGAGAGATGAAGACTAACGTTTATTGCAGAGTGTCTATTACTGATTGGAGCGTACAAGCGGCTGCATGGCGTAGAAATAATTGCCCATAACGTACATACATCGAAGCAAGACTACCGGTCCATCAGCAGAGGACAAGAGCAGGTTGACAGCAGATATGGGGTGCAACTCTACGAGCCCACTCTGGCCCTGCCGAACTGCTCAGGCCCTGCCGGTCATCCGCTTCCGTCTTCCAGGAACCTCAGATACGATTCCGTGGACGGCTGGCAACCGCCACCGCCCGTCGCCGCCGGCGGCGGCTCCTCCGCGCTGGGGAACTTGACCTTCGCCTTCTTGCCGCGGAGTGCGCCGAGCCGCCCGGTCGTAGGTGCGCGCGGCGTCCTCGGCGGTGCCGAAGGTGCCGAGCCACAGGCGGGCTCCCTTCATGGGGTCTCTTATCTCCGCCGCCCACTTCCCCCACGGCTGCCTCCGGACCACCCTGTACCGGTTCTCCCTAGGCGGCGGCGGCGGCGGCGGCGGCGGCGGCGGCGGCGGCGGCGGCGGCGGCGAGTCGACCTCCTCCGCCGCGCCGCCGCCGCACGGGGGCCACTGGTCCGTGCCGATCCCTCCGCCGTACATGTCGGCGAGCTTCTAGAGAAGAGATGGAGAGGACTTACGCAAGGATTCACTCACCCTCTTTAATGGGGACTCTCATCTGCAGACCTGTATGGACTGCCAAAGTACACGGTACCGTCGCCGGCAGCCCCCGGCTTTGCTGCTCCCAATCTTTACTGTCTCTATCTCAATTGATGGAGGCTGGCTGAAGAAGAAAACCCACCAATTTAGCAAGAGAATGACAGGAGGTTAACAGGCGCTCCTGCCAAGACTCAGATTTGGTAAATGAACAAGATCAAGACTGCGAGTAAGGAAGCAAAGAACAAAAAGCAAGGGGCGGGGAGGGAGGGGAAAATCTTTACAACGGTCAAAAAGAATGGGGCTCATTGGTTGCTCCCGAAAGACTTCCGACAGCTCTGTCGGATGAACGCCGAGGGCCTCCCACGGGTCCACAGACTCCCGCTCTCTCTGCTGCAGCTGAGCCATTTATCTACGCCGAGGACGCCGCAGTCTCAAGGTCCCTCTTACTATTTCTACTGATTTCTTCTCTTGGGAGCCTCTCTGGCCCTGGTTTCACGGACTAGCACTCAAGGAAGTGCCCGTTCTCTGAAGGGCTGGCCCAGCTGCAGCCCGCAGACCAGCTAAGAACACCCAGGATCAAATCCACGCCGGAACAAGCATCTACCTGCAAAATTTAAGAGAATATATAAAAAAATAAATACACAGAAAATAAAAAATACCCTCTTTGAGCAAAGAAGCATGGAATGATGAATGGAGAACCCCAGGGGGTGATGATGATTACCAGATCCTCTACTGTTCCCTCGATGTGAAACAACATAACGCCCATGCCCTTTCTCCGGTCGATCTCCGCCTGCTCATCCAAAAAAATTGCAGTCGAGTGAAATACTGTCTTGATTTCTTTCAAGAAAACTCACGATAACAAAGGCAGGCATGAGTGATTGGTTCTCAGTTGGATGGTCCAATAAATGAACTACAAGGCTAAGTGATCGGCTTTCATAGGCTCATATTTGTGAAAATAAGATGGCGATTATTTCTTTTTTTTTTGCTAATTGGTTCTGAGGTGGATGGCCCTATAGCTCTAGCATTCGGCATCTCTTCAAACTGATTCAGGGCTGGGTCATGATATCAGCGCCACTCACCACACAAGAACAGATAGTAATGCTGGCAGCCGTCAGAGCAGACGTAACTTCTGCCATCATTCCTGCCAATGGAAGGAATGCCGATTAGCTTTGTCTGACTGGAACAGAGGTCCAAACATTAGAAAAACATGAGCACATGACGATCTGAAATCCAAGAAAAATTTGATTCTAGAGGAAGAAGAAGAAAACAACAAATGAGGGGAGAAATCTACAATGAGATGACTTTGCGGAGGTGGGTTTTCTTTTCTTGTTTACGTATATTTCAAAGATGACTTACGATTTGATACTGATCAGGAAAACAATGCTAATACTTAGCTCAGTTCTCTTATAACTCGGATTGAAACATCAGAAAAAAATGAGCACAGGGCAGAAGAAATTCAAGAAAACTATGGGTCTAGAAATATAATCAAATACAATGAAATGGACTGTTTACTCTTTGGCCTGCAAATATTCAAGAGATCACTAAAGATTGCAATATAGGAAAAACAGTGCCAACCAACCTAGTTTCACCAAGAATAGGATGAAAATTCTAATAAAAATGATTCAAGAGAAAATAACGCAATGAAATCAAACGAGGTGTCTTCTTTCCCTGAAGATTACAATATTGGTGGAGGGCTACCACCTGGCAAAGAAGAGCTTCAGATGAGACAACCAACCTCGGCGGTCAATGCAGACCACACAAAACCATTGGATCGGATGCGATTCCAAGCTGTGCCACGATGCCACCTTGCTCGCCTTCCAGCTCTCTAGGCCTGGGAGAGCCTCCTTGTACATGGGAATATTCGCATGCATCATCCCCGTGATGCTGCTGCCCTGCAGAGTCGCCCTCCCATTGATTCTAAGGCTCGTGGGCTGCAGACCTTTGCTGTGCTTCCCATTGATCCTTGGGGTCATGCCCACATTTCCATCAGGAACGTGGTCCTCGTCATCCCCTCTCCTCGCAGAGGAAATCTGCCCGAAGTTCATGGCAAGCTTCTTCCACATGAACTTCTCTTCAGCCTCGCGGAAGAACTCGGGAAGCAGCACATCACTGTCGTTGTTGTCCTCGACATCCGAAACGAAGCTCTTGACGGCATCCGCTGTTATTTCCATGGCAGAGTTCGCAGCTTGCTCTCTCAAAAACTGGCCCAAAAAGAAATTTATTACTGGGAGGAAGGGACGCTGAGAAAACTTCTTAACCATAATTTTGCTTTAAAATAAAAATTACCTTCATGATCTTGTGCCGTGCACTCCGTGTTTTTGCATGTCTCAGCCATTGCTGATGTCTTTGGAAGGCAGATTTGCTGGACAACGCCTGAAATAGATGGGATTTGGAGTTGGAAATGTGTGCCCGGATATATTTCTTTCATGAATTAAATGTAGCATAAGTCCAATTAAGGAAGAAGAGGAGAGAAAACAGTCCTCCCCACTCCGTTTTCATAGAACTTCATGAGGAACAGAAACCAGAGATAGGAGAGATTACACTGACCTCATAGGTAATTATTTCCACAACTTCGGCGTTGGCGAGGACATGCATAGGAGAGACGAGACTGCCATTGACCTGTAAAAGAGAATCAGAGTCAAACCTTTGATAGCCTTTGAAATCTGGTCATCAGCATTGAAAAGGACAGCAGGAAACCTTTGCAGCCACCATCTTGTTGCCAATCTCGGTGTGTATCAGGTAAGCAAAGTCGATCACTGTGGCTCCCTTGGGTAGATTTTTTATCTGCGTGAGAAACAAGATGAGTGAGATCTTGGAGTAACATGTGGGTGTGCTGTATGCATATCCATTCTATCCCCTACCTCTCCCTTTGGAGTGAAGACAAAGACGCGAGTCCCCAACAGGTCCCGCATTATAGTATCCACAAATTCCCGGGAACTCATATTGCCCACAAATTCCTCCTGCCACTCTCTTATCGCATTGAGCCAACCAACCTGGAATTGGAATATTTTAATTTGCACCAACCCTCTTTCCAAGTGTCAAAAATGAAGTAAACAGTATATATATATATATATATATACTCTTCCACAAAACGAGTGTATGTGTGTGTGTGTGTATGTGTGTGTGAGAGAGAGAGAGAGAGAGAGAGAGAGAGAGAGAGAGAGAGAGAGAGAGAGAGAGAGAGAGGACAATTAATAAACAAAGTTGATGCAATACCCTCAAAACGATGTCTGAATTTTTGAGACAGACTGTTTTCCCTCTTGAGCTTCTTCCACCAGGCATGCCATTACTCTCTGGACCAGGAACGCCTTTCCCAGAATAGTGAGCGGCAATACCTCTTTCAGCTATCAGATCCATCTCTTCTGTTCGTATCTAACAAAACACCAATGAACGAAATATTTTAAAGACGAAGACTAGAGTGCAGGGCAACAATGGAGAGAAGCGATAACTGTACTTCTATCCAGTTATTCAACGATAGGCGTACCTGTACTTCTAGCCTGAACATACTCTCATACAGAAACGGAATCACATTTGTGTGCAGACTTTGATAGCCATTGGGTTTTGGCGTGGCAATGTAGTCTTTTATCTGTTGCAATGAGAGGCATTGCTTGAGACGCATATTAAACATAATCCTTCCATCACAATATCAGAATGTCGAAAGAACTTACAGATCTTGGAACGGGGCTCCAAATCCCATGAATCAGACCAAGAACATGGTAACATATCTGCCCATCCACGTTAGAAATCAGTCCATAAAAGCCCGGGGAAGGGGAAGGTGTGGGGTGGTTAAGTGCCTTGGTGTTAATAAGGAAATGGCATCACCTGCTTAGCATTACACAAGGGCCCAACTCCAATCCGTGTTTTTGGTCTTATGATAATCCGGAGCTGGAAAATAAAAGGGTATCAGTAACACAAGTCAAAAACCAACGGAATAGTTGAATGCCATATATCACAAAGGAACTACAAGACCAACCTGGGCAATATGGTTGATCTCATTTATTGACCCTTTGCATTTTAGCATGGCTTTATACACACTGAAAACAGAAACAGCCACTGTGAGATCATTAATAGATTGATACACAATTCCGAGGAGAGTGTAAGAACCAATGCAGGGAAATCAATAGATAACTAATCCTGACAATATTTTCTGCATGACAGCGGAAAGAAGAACAAAAGTCAACACTGTCATCATAATGCATTGCAAAAGATGCATCAAGATAGAAAAGAAAGTGGTATAAAGATGAGGATATTAACAATAGCAACTATGCCCTAAAGACACAAAATCATTCCATGGCCCCCTCCATTTCCAAATGTAAAAACTGATCACCTCTCATGCACAGGTGACAAGATGATTGTCAACCTGATGGCAAGCCACATTACCACAGATGAAAGGACAGCCATTAGCCCAAAAAATAAATAATTCGGCAAAGCAACCAAATATTTCTTCCTGATGATAGCACGGCCCTATTTACTCATTTAATCCATTTTCCATTTATTTATTCCCATTTTAACTTCTGTTCGAGCACTTTTGGATTAAAAGTGGTAAATCTGAGTGCTTCCCACATAAATTGGAAGCAGGATATGACCTAAAATGTTTATGTATAGCTTGCTCATGCTGATTGATCATAATCATACGTCACCTAGCAGGAACAATAATTCTAAAAGAAGCTGGGATTGGAGATAAAGAAACTAAAAGGAAAGTGCCTTAACCTGTACGGTTCCTTACAGACAGAACGTATCTCTGTTGTCACTGTCATGAGATCCAGGAGCTGGTCTTCCTTCATCTTTTCCGTTAGAACTCTCTTCGCCTATGGAGGCAAACAAGTCATGAGAAAAAATGTATTCGTCTTGAAAAACATCCAGACAATTATCTGGAGACTTGACAGTGACCAGCACAAAAGCATACGGTCTAGTGATATTTGCACATGCTAAATTTAGTGGAAGAAAACGACAGCAAATTACCTCGTCGAGTTCTTTTTCATGCTCTTTGTACAGTTCCTCAACTCTTTTCTTGATCTTGGTATAATCATGAACATTGGTGTACATGAATGACAGATTTTCTAGTTCGGACTGTTAAAAGTTAAAAGTAAATAGAAAACGTAAGTTTCTAATATTCACATAAAACTGCGAAAAAAATATGAATAGGACCAAAAAACATTCAACCATTACACTAGGGAAAAAATTTAGAGGTGAGAATAATGACAGTATAAATTTTACACAGAGAGTAATACCCAAGTGCACAAATTATAGTGAAAATCCTTTTCTCCTGAGAAAGTGGAGGACAAATGACACAGAATAGGTCATGGTAGAAGAGATGCAAAGAGAAAAAAAAGAGTCAAAATATTGGAATCATGACCGAATAAAAATGAAAAACGTGATCAACCTTGGCTGATAAGTTTTTGAACACCCTGGCTGGAAGCATATGATGCTTTTTAATTCCTGAAATGCCTTGATCACAGTGGATAATGTAGAGAAGTATACCTCAAATAATCACATCAACCCAAACCAAACATTCACATGCTGCCAACAGTTCCAGTGGTATCTTGGCAAGCCCCTCTCTAGATAATTACCATGATGGGGATCTTGGTCACTATGTGATGTGACAAATTTGGGTATGATAACAGGTTGAAAAGCTCTGCCTAGGGGATTATTTTGATCTTAAAATATAAAATCTTTGGATCTCATTATTTGGATCGTCTAATCACACCTTGTACCGTTGATCATTATTTTGGATCTCAACAACCCAATATTTATTGAAAAAAGATGGCAACATCAATTAGGTTCTCAAGAGATTTCTTTTCATACACAATTGCACAGTCAGAGAAATGCAAATAAATTTTTACGAGCATTTACATCTAAGAATAAATAGTGAACACCATGGATACAATTGTCTATTCTTTCTCCACCATGGACAATTTATTCAGGAATCAGATGTCTGGCATTGCATTTTAAGGCCTTGTTGAAATATTCGAGCCATGCCAAAAGACACAGTTGATACTTACACAGTTTAAATAAAAATGATACAGCTCAGCCGATTATACCTTAATCTGGTACATTCCAAGTAACTTTGCTAAAGGAGCAAAGACCTGAAGCGTCTCTAATGCGATTGCAGACTGCATATAAACGGATGAATAAAATCACTAAGCCATTATGTGTGCTAATTATGAAAGTCTAGACAGAAGCACAGATACCTGCTTATGTTGAGGCATGTGTGACAGAGTACGCATGTTGTGGAGCCTGTCAGCTAATTTAACAATTATCACACGAACCTAGAAAAAGGAAAGGAAGTCAATCTCTATCGAGGCAAAATTCAACAGATAAGCACAGGAACAAACCTCTTCTGTCATGGCAAGGAACATCTGCCGAAGGTCGTCAGCTTTCACATCCTGTACTGAACTAGTGGTATCCTTGCACTGCAATTTACCAAGCTTGGACACCTGTTTAAAAAGATACCAAAGCATAATTGAAGAAGAGATCCACCAAGTTCACATAAATGTGAGTAATGAAATGCAGCACCTTGGTCTCTCCCTCTACAATGCGACGGACAGTGGCACCAAACTCCCTTTCAATTCTATCAAATGTAACAACATTTGTGTCTTCAACAGTGTCATGTAACAGGCCTGCAGCAATCGATTCCCAATCCAACTCCTGCCAGAAACGAACCAACATCATTTAAACACAGCAACCAGCCGAATGAGAACAATCTTCAACTAAAAGGGCATAGAGCATGTAAAATCGCTGCATACCAGTTCCCCAAGAATACATGCTACTTCAACTGGATGAATGATGAAAGGTTCACCACTTCGCCTCTTCTGTCCACTGTGAGCATCAAAGGCGAGCTGCACTGACCAATAATCATATTCACATCCACTTGAGACTGTCAGGCTGAGACTTTAACCAAAATGGCACTTCGGAATTTGATAAAGTTATGACACAGAGAATGAAGTGAAAGCTCTACAACACCAGAATATTTTATCGCTAAAACCCAAGAAACGAAATTTCTGATTATGGTGATCGACACGGATGCAAGCACAAATTAATACCCATATTTTGGCTAAAGAAACACATATTCTAACACTAGTTAGTGACACAGCGTATAGATCCCCAACACCGGGATAACAAACTTACTTTCCTCATATGAGATATTAATTGGAAGTATACCTTCAAAGCGTCTTTGACAAAATTTATCTCCTCCGGTGGAAGGTATGAAATAACTGGTTCCAAACCCTACGAAATTAAAACAGAAAAAGGAAAAGGGGTATATTCCATCAGCTATATTGATGTTAGATAAACATCACGGCTACAATGCAGTCAGATATTGAAAGAAACAACAGCTAAAGGAGACTAAAACGCACTGTTCCCTTTAGAGATTTTCTTTTGCAAAGGTAAAAGACCATGACCAGAAATATTGTGTTTTTTCCTTCTCTTGCTTCGCCCAGCCTGGTGGCAGTAATTTTTGCCAATTCTGCAAACATGCTTCTGGCAGCAAGCAAGCAACCTCAAAAATGAATGTATCTATCCGATACAGTCGGGGTTTCCACCAAGAGTGTCAGCAGGCCAGCCATGTAATGAATAACATGTCCATGTTCAAGCCATGTGACATAATGAATACTTCCTGAATTAGCTACATTTTCCAAGAGAAGGATCCATATCAGCAATTTCCACCCCATTTGTCTATTTAGGTTCCCTCATTTTATTGTGGAACATGATGATTCCCACTTTCTTATTTAACGAGGATTTCATCGAGAAGGAAATAAGGAAAGCATCCACAACATCCCAACCTTATTCCTAATTAAACTCTTACCCTATCATGATGTAACACATCAGGACTTGTTTCACCCCTTTTGACTAGCATACCAGTTTACCCATATAAGAAAAAGGTATCGAAAAAGAATTGCATATATTTTTTTAGGTCAAAAGGCATAAAATTGAGAAGCATCAAACAACTCGGCACATCTAAAACGTAGCTGTGATCCGATTAATTCCAATAGCGCCATACCTCCCACAATGTTTCGCAGGAGAACTCAGAGGCCTCTGAAAATGATGAAGAACATCTTAACCTCCACTTTCGACCAGGAAGAGATAAAAATTTATATCTCGTAGTTTTCTCAGAGACCAAATAATCAGTGGCAATTGAGTTGTTATCTCCATCATCAAGGGCTTCATATCTCCACACAGTCTGTAATTCAAGAAATCATTACAATAAAGATTCCAGCATAACATAGAAAAATTAGGACAACAGGTAGAGTTATGAATAAGAAAGTTCATCTTCTCATAAAGATGGGACTTCAATTCTCACGAGAAACCAAGCATCTGATGATCACGGTTATAGATATCAAGGAGTGGTAAACTTGAGCAACCTTGTTGGAGAGAACACTGCTATTTAAATTAAAATATTGAGCATAATTTAATATAGATTTACATTCTTGCAGAATATGAATGTAAATGGTCAAATCATTGATAAGGATGCAGGCTAAATTTGGATAAGACTGAGAAAAAAAATCTAATATGCATCAGCTAAGCAAATAATAAACTCGGTCAATATATGAAGCTAGAATTGGGGGAGCATGTAAATGATTCTTTCCATCAGACTCCAAGAGACTAAAGACTAGTGTCTCTGTTGATAAAAAATTTCAAGTTTGCAACCCCACAATCGTATAACGTTTCAAAAAAGAGGATTCAAATCCTGGGTCTTTTACAGAAAACACTAGCTTCTTCACCATCTTCTTGCATGATAGTCCTTGTCATCTTGCTGTGGTACTCTGCATTATTATCGTTTCTGACCAAAGTCTGTTTTCATCATCTAAAAGAAAAAGAGTCTACAGTATTGAATTACACATTTGAAACCCCCCTCTAAAAAAGAGGTAAATCAAAAAATAACTAATGGTATTGCGTTATGAACTTCAAGATTTGTGAACTACCCTCAACTTTATTTTGCGTGAAAAAAATATTTCAGCTTATACATTATCAGAGCAGCACACTAGAATTTTCCCATGGGAGCTGTTCCTGATATGAATATCCGGATAAATGAACCCATCAATGATTTTTCTCGTTGAGACTGATGAATGAACGCAAGGCTAAACAATGCATGAAGTGCAGGAGGAAACCATTGACCATCTACTGGTGATATGTGTCATGGGAAAGATTATCTTCAACACAGTCCATTTTTCAACTAAGGAGTTTGGTAGTGATGCCTTATTAGATGACAGCATTAGCTTCACGTAGAACAAATTGGTGGGATATGATGTCTCTACTAGCCCAAATAATAAATTGCTACTGCGCTCGGCAACATCTTGCGTTCTCTTTATTTTTGTCACAATTGGAAGAAGATCTAAGCCCAGGATGACCTTAGGTTTTCTGCAAATTTAGGATTCAGAAGGAAGAAAATTCTTGATGACGGATGAGACCCTAAACCCTGAGATTCTGGAGCATAAGTGGTGGTCAGCATCAGTCCAAGACTCGTCAGATTGGGGATATTCCGCATGAACTACTAATCTATGATAGTATAATGGAGACGAAAAGGGTCAATTACCTGAAGAAAAATTCAGGAGAATCTGAAGTTTTCATGCTGTTTTCGGAAGAAATTCTTTCCCTTTCTGTTATTTTGTGGCCTCTTTCGGTTTACAAATCTCACTTAGTTATTTTTGAAGAACAGAAAAAAGGAAAAAGTTCTCCGGAATAAAATCGCCACCGTTTTCAAACGAAGATGGGTGTAACTAGCGATTGCTTAAAACCCAATTCATCAACTGGAGTGAACGTGTGGTTCTTTCATCGGAGAACAAGAGAGGGATGAGAACTTCATCAGTTAGTATTGCTCACAGGAATTCCACGGCACAACAATTCCCGGCCTCCTACCCGTCCGTCGAGCGGGGAGCATTGAGGCTGCGTCGTGCTCGCGAGGAACCCCGTTAGAGTCCTCGGAGCTTTCCACGCGCAGGAAATAACGCTGCATTCGTACCTCCCCCCGCCGCCGTTCCCGCTGGACAGCCTGCGCACCTTCAGACACTCCACGGACACTGCATGATCCGGCGAAACACCGATCCTTCGTCACGCTCCAACTCAATCCGAAACCCTCGGAAAATAAGAAACCAACGAAGATGTGGGGGGACTCGCAGTAGGAGGAATCCGCGGGGAGGCGAGAGGACTGGGGGAGGGGAGCGCTACCGGACATAGACTGCGCAGAAGCCATCCCTGGCTACGATGCCGGGTGCTCATCAAGAAACCCCAACGACAAGAAGAGCTCCGGGTTGACACTCCGCGCCGTGGATGGTTGCGGAGACGCAGAATTGTGCTCCAAACGGAGCGCTCATGCGAAGGTGGACTCGAGAAGAGAGTTTCCTGCGACCGGCGGGCCGAACCAGCGTGTCCCAATTCCGACGTCCTGATAACACACAGAGAAATCGTTCCCTTCCGCCAGAATCACCGATAACAGAGCGCCAGCGAGCGCGCGACCAAGAGAGCGAGAGAGAGAGAGAGAGAGAGAGGGAGGGAGGGTGGGTGGCTGTGGGCAGGGTGGACGAGACGAAGAGGAGGAGATAGAAAAGGGTACGGAGGCCACACAAAAGGCAGCTGCGGCAAAACCCAAGGGGATATTTTTCTCCCTTCCACCTCCACACGGAACCTGAAATATGCATGGCCTCGTAAGAAAATATAAAAATAGACTCAGACGACCGGCGACACTCGCCCCTCGTGAGGTCGAGACCAGAGCTAGCCGTCAGACCCACGGAAACATGGCGGCGAGGATGGCGGCCGAGCAGATGCCCCGTCGGATCGTAATCCGGCGGCTGCAGTGACACTGGGTCAGCGGGTACTTCCCTGCCAAGTATCGCATGACACGAGTCTATTCCCAGCTCCCCCCTCCTTTGGAAATGGATCGCGTTTCATGACGTATGGGGCCCTTCAGGAGCGGTAGAGAGGTGAGGGGAGCTCCCTTCTTTTCATGGCTGAAGAGGCGTCTCCTCTCGTCCTGTCGCCATCTGACGACGACTCGACGGGAGTCTCTCTCTCATCTCTAACCCCCTGGGTTCGCACGTAGGAAATCCCGCACATGTCCGATTTTTTAAAAAAATCAACTGAGGATGAACGCCAGCAAAGCATCATACATATGCAACAAAGTAATAATAAAAATTATCCAAGAGAAGAACTATTCAGGAACTGAAAAATTATTTAATTTAGCAAAAAATAAAAAATATCGGATCAGATAATCAGAACCAACAAGCAAAGAAGGAAAGCCAGACCTGGGTTCAGATGCACGGCCAAGAATAATTTTCTTCCACGAAAAAAAATTCATTTTTTTAACAAAAATCAGGTGGGTCCTTGGATCAACAACATCAAGGAGCAATGACTGCTACTTGGGCCGATTCATCAAAGGGAAATCAATATATACATAAATATCTATGATGGTCATCACTATCAGTTGCCATTTATGAAGGCAGGCATATGGCATGAACCCAGTCTTCATTAGGTCGGATCAAATAACCAGCATCTAAGGGAAAGCCCCGATTGCACATGATGATCCATCTGAATTCATCACACCGTTGACCCAATGCAGCTCATCCGTGTATTTGACTTTCAATCAGCCTCATGGGTCAAATAATGGACAAATCGAACGAGCATCTACATCTGGTTACACTGAAGGACCCTCAACCAGTCCCTTGCATCGATATGGAATTAATCGGCTCATCATGCTTCACATCAAAATCGGTTTATTGGGAGGATAGAGTTAGAAAACGATGTTCAGTGTCATTGAAACTTGGGTCAACATCGTTTCAAGAAGCACCATTAAAATAGAAGGCAAGAATGATCACAGCTCCACCGAGCTCAGGGACCTTGTTCGGGCCATCCACTTGGGTTCACTGGTTGCGGCTCCCCAGGCATTTGCTGGGTTGATGGGCTCCTCTGCTCCTGGGTCCATTGGCCAGTCTGCATTGGCTCTCTTCTCTCCACTTGCATGGTTTCACGGCGTCGGTCATACCGAGGTCGAGGTCTGTTTCGTGTCTGCTGCCTCTCATTGAAGCGAAATTGGGGCCTATGGATGACCTTGCCATCGATGAAGAGATCCCCTGTCAAATCCCAAGGTAAACTACATTATATGATAACAAGATTGTGTTGAAAAAGTGCAAAATGCATATTCCCTGATTACAATGAAACCTGTCTGAACTAGTCTGGTGGTTCAACACACTTTTTCGATCTGTGTTGCCTTAGAAAATCGCAGCTGAATTATTGTTTCTCTTTAGCCTTCCTTAGTCAACCTCTCTTTCTCTTTCTGTCTCTGTCTCTATCCCTATCTCTATTTCCCTCAACACGGGTGAACAAAGGTCTAGTGGGATCAATGAGGGCAGGGTCCCAGCTTCATAATATTCTAGCCTGAGTAGGGCTTGGGAATGCCAGGACCAAGCCCATTGACATCCTAATCACTAAGTTTATATAATTCAGTGTCATGATATCATCTAATCGCGAGATATAGCATATAAATGTGAATAAGTTTAGAGGAATTGAGTTTGAAGTAGGATCATAGCGAGAGAAATCATCATCCACAAGAAAACTCTACCCTTCTTTCATTGCAAAAGATTTATTAACGTCCTACATCCAAAAGTCCTCTTGTTTTCCTCCGTTAGCCATGAATAAAATGACTGAATTCATCAAAGCTTGAATAACAAAACTGATCCAAACGCATCAGATGAAACACAGTTGAGGAAAAAGGGTCGATAACGGCGATTAGAACGCAGGAACACATGCACAGATGAAACAATCTGCTCCATGGCCATTACCAACCTCCATAATCCTTGTTGGGTACATCGAGGTAAGAATCAGGCAATACCCAAAGGACTCCAGGAAGCCCTGCAAGATCAGAAAAAAATCCAGTCATACATCGGATGTGGGATCATGTGTAGAGAAGGAATATGCGGATACCTTTGACTTTGTAAGAGAGCTCTTCAGAGATCAAGGCGCCGAAACCCGTGTAGGTAGATGTGCAGACCGAGTATATCTTCTTCTTCGCTTCCTCCTCACTGAGCACAAGATGCTCCATGCTTCAAAAATTCATGCAGTATGCGAAGGAAATAGTAAAAGAGCGCAGAAGACTCACCCTCCGACGACGGTAGCGAGGGTGCTGACGTATGCGGCGATCATCTCCTCCTCCGAGGGTTTAGGGTTCTCGGGGAACTCCATGACGATGAGCCAGTGCTCGTAGTCGCATCCGTCGAGAAGGATGGTCTCCTTCGGGGGGCGATTGCTAAAGTTCGGCGATGAGTCCCTAAGGGGGGAGTAGCCCGGTCCAGGCGTCGTCGTCTTCGGCCGAGCCAAGACGAACCACGGCTCCGCAGGGGACGCAGACGGCGGCAGCCTTCCAAGCGCCAGGACGGCGGAGCGGGAGACGAGGGAAAGAGGATCGATGCGCGAGGAGGGAAGCTTTGGTAGAGAAGAGATGACCCTCGAGAGGCGGGAGACGAGCCCACGACGGGTGAGTGCTGCCATTGTCGACGGGGGCAAGACAGTCGGAGAAACTCAGAAAGGGTGGGGGGCAGAAAACTAAAGAAAGTAGCCATGGGCTGGGCCTAACTTGGGCCACTAACTTGGGCAGTCAATCCACTGCTAGGGTCCAAGTGTCGGAAAAACAATCATGAATGTTACAATTATTTTATAAATATAATAATATTAAATTAAAATACAAATAATTAAGATAATCATATTATTGCATTTCAATAATGTAAATATGATCATATATAGGAATAAAAAACTGAGAAAAGTCACTATAGCTATAAGTTATTGAATTTTAAAAATATGTTTATCTAGTCCCATAGTCCCTTTGACCCTAACATAGACTTAAATATTATCAATAGTTAACGTTGTTAATTAGTTTTGTAGTAATAGGGCACCTAATGATCTCAAATAATATAGATTACCAACCATATCTTATTTATTATATATTTATTGTTAAACACAAGGATATTCAAATTTCATTTTAACACGTGAAAATTACATCAATGCTGAAAGTATTTTATATTTTATGAAATGTGATATTATATATTTAGAATTTTGAGAAATACTAAAGTTGTGAAATTAGTGCACATAGTTTCTTTGTAGAATGGTTAAAAGAGGTCCATTGTTACAAGAGGTCCATACTCACCTCATCTCAACCAATCAAATGTTGGAGAGAGAGAAGAGATAGAGAGCAAAAGATGGGGGCATGCATTAGGATAAGCCTGTACAAGGAGATAGACTCTACTTGCATAATGACCTGGTGGCTACATGGGAGCACACAAGGATGGCCTTTCCCTCCATAGAGGCTAGATTGATGTCCTCAAGGAGCATATCACTACATGGTGTACTATTGGAAGTCCCTAAGACATTCTTGAAGGTCACACAAGAGGGCTGCACCCAAAGGAAGACAAATAGCATATGACTTTGGCTAATCAAGAGAATTAGGCCTATTTTAAGTCAAAATCATATGAGCATTGAGTTGTATGACTCCAAAATCATTGAGACAATCAGGCCATCCAACTCCAAATCATGAGAGAATAAGACCATATAGCTCAAGGTTATAAGATAATTTGGCCTTCAACCCAAATTCATAATGAAATAAGCCATCCACTTCAAATTCATAAGGTAACTGTGGAATCATGCTAAAAATTATAAATAAAATTGGGTATCTAAAAAATCTGAGGGGAAAAAAGGGTATATAAGTTCATGTTGGAGGCCTTGCTAGTAGGTGAGCTTGGCCATATCTTGATCATGAGCCATGACCATCTCCTTTCCATCTACATACATTCCAAGGCTCCCTAGATTGAAATTACGACAAAGTTAGATATTTTCATATAAATAATTGAGTCCTTGAATTTTAAAAACTATATGTATAATTGTGTCATATATAGGTTATTTGGTAGTGTTTATTTTGTTCAATTTTTGTTTATTTTTCTATTTCTTTAATCTATTTCTAGTGTTTCAATTTTTTATAAATATTTTCAAAGTATGTTTGCTTTAAGAGTGTCCCACTTCTTTTGATGCCTTTTTAAATCTTCCCACTTCATAACCTTAGACAATCTTAGTAATTATAATTTTTTTATTCTCTTAGAGATGATTATGAGTGTTTGTGGATTCAATGACATTATTTTAATCCTTGTGGATTCAAAGATCGTCAGAACTATTCTTGTAGATTCATAGTTCAACTTTGTTTTTCTTCCACTCAAAATTTTACATCTTTTGGATTTAAGGCTCAAATATTCTTTCTATGCAACTCTTCCTTTGTAAAGTGATATTGGAGGAACCCTCATGGATTCAAGGGCATCATAATTTAAGGATTTTGTGTCGTGAAATGGACATTTGGAAAGATATTTTATGTTTATACATGGAGGATGTTAACCAATTTAGATTCACCATAGAGTGAAAAGGCAGTTGAAGATCTATTGATTGTTTCATGTCATATTTTTTATTCTTCTACAACTTATGTTGTATCACGTTGTCTTTGAGTGTTGTGATATTATCTTCATTAGAAATGTGGTGATTAACTATTTTACCACATTCAAAGATAGTCACATCCAATTAGGTGAAGTAATAAAACTCTTTCGTAGGGTATGGCTTTACCATTAAGTATAAGCTATAGCTAATCAACTTAGAGACTGATGACTTTCAATTATAGGGAGCATAGGCTTTGGTTATGATCTTATTAGTGACAAATAACATAACTTTAGAGGAGGATCATGTTGATGCCTTTGGTTCTTAATACCATAATGTGAAAATTTATATATTGAATAGTTATTAACTAAAATTTATGAATGATCATTAATGATTTTGTGACTCTATGACTAATAAATGAATCCAAAGAGTTAATTCTAGAAATCTTTATATGTCGAAACCAATACAGAATCCTATATTTCATATATAAGCACATGTAGCTTAATGCCAATGCACATGAGAAAATAATTAAAAATTTCATGAAATGTCAAAATCTTGTGTGAGTCTCAAACTTAGAATCTAGATGATGATATGTTGGAAGCTTATGTGAGGAAATAGTTGAAAACTCATGAAAAGTTATGTTGAGTGTAAGTCTTGAATCTAGAATCTAGAATCTAGGTGATGACACATTAGAAGCTTATGCAAGGAAATAGTTGGAAACTCACGAAATATCAAGCCAAGCATAAGTCTTGAGCCTGGAACATGTTTATTTGGACTTGACCTCAACAGAAAAAATGTTTACTGACAAGACATGAATTTCTAGTGCAAATTTTAAATAAAACAAATGAGAGAATAAAGAGTATTGAAGTAAAAAAAAGATAAAGGTCATTGCTGCATAATTTGGGTAATGAAAATATTTTTGAAATTGATTGACCTTTCTTTAGATTCAAAAAATGAGTTAAGAACATAGAATATACAAAAGAGAAAGATTGAAAGAAAGATGAGTGAATTCTTCAATGGCCTTTATTCAATGAAGTACAAAACATTGCATCAAATATTTGTTTGACTTGGTGATCTTAGGTAGATTTATCTGAAAGTTTGACACTCTCCATCAAGCCATAAGGTATTTGGGTGGTGAGATGAGAGGTATTTGGGCAATAACATAAGGTGTTGGTAGCCTAGTTGAGCCTTTGATGGACTAGGTTTTTGAGCAGATAAAATTGGTGTGATTTGATTGTAATCACATAAAAATTAGTATATTTTTTAGATAAATATTAAAATTTGGTAGGAAAGATGCTATAGGATTAAAAGTAACTAAGTGAGGGTGCGGAGTAGTATAAAAAGTTTGTGTTCTTAGTGGTGAAGAAAGAATTGTGAGAGAACCTATACAAAGAGAGAAAAAAACTTTAAGAGAATTTGTATTGAGAAAGAGAGAGCATTGAGAGAATCTACGTCAACATATCATTGTTAGGCAAAAATTGAGAATTAATAAAAATCTATAGAAACTGAATTCACCCCCTCTTGGTGTTTCACTTAGCCCCTTTTTGAACCTATAAATTATGCCACATTGATATTAATTGTATGTGCCATGTGTAAGTAGATTGTACGAATATTTGATACACAAGTCATGATGGGTTATACACAAGGCATCCTAAGAGGTAACAAACATTGATGTTGCTATGTGATAAGTTATATTGACTTGAAATAGATAAAGTCATAAAAGTTTATATCTAATCCTTCTTAATGTGTCATCAGACAAATAAAGTAGTACACCAAAGTAGCTAACACGTTGGAGCCATTGATGATTCTAAGTTGACAATTGAAGTCTATTTCAATGGACTTTATTGTGGTCTTGATGAATGGTGAAAGGTGAATATGTAAGTTTTGTTGTTATCAATCAACTCTCAAAGTAAAATTTGTTCATCTCAACTTACATAGACAACGATAGGGAAAAGATGACATGTCTCTTAATGAGCCATGTGGTTATGGGGGGCTATTGTGGAATATTGTCAATGATCAACACATGTGCTTGATGTGATGATTCTAGATGACTCTCTTTTGAAGATGTGCACACACCTCAAATTCTCTACTAACTTCTATATATAGAAAACACTAAATGACGCATGTTAATAAAATGTTAGAGGTGTGCCTCTATTACTATGTGATAGTGAATTAGGAGGTTTTTTTGATTTATTAGACACTAATTTTTATCACAGAGCTTGCAATAGATTTAAGTGACATGTTATTTGCCATGAATCTCGTGATGAAGCAATCTTGTGATGAATCACAATTGACAAAATAATGGATCAGTGCACAATTTTCACTAGATGCAACAAGCACATATTGAAGAGGCATATAAGACATTAGTACTAATGGTGTCATAAATGAAAAATAACATAGGAAGAATAATGACATGAAGATAATCAACAATGGAGACTAGGTTCCTTCAAACTTGAACGAGGAGCTACACAAGATTGTCAAGTAGAGCAAATGACACAAGAGGCTGATGTTGTGCTTTGATAGACAATTTGAAGTTACGAGATGAGTATGTAAGCTAGTCTACCAATTCAACATCTTGAGAAGACTATCTATTCAATCTTCCACATCTTGCTCCTAGAGGCATATAAGGGAGACTCAAAGGATGTCATGAAGAATTGTCCCCAGAGGGCACCACTAACATGTGTCCATCTTTTCACTAGGCTAGTGCCAATTTTGGGAAGAAGGAGGTGAATTGTGATGGGCATTACCACACTAATTACAACATTTATTTTCTCATCAAATGACAAGGGATATCATAGAAAGACAATATGGGAGTGCATGATCAACCTTTGACAATTAAGGGACCACATCAACATATACTTTAAAGGTTATCCTCTAATGAAGATGTTCATTTTTATGTGTAAGAGAGGATGTTATGACTTCGGTATAAAAGAGTATAGTTTGGATACATAACTACACCTTTGAGATCAACACAATATGGTGGCTCCATGTGCAAGTGTGAGGGATATGTTGACACAACAAGATGTGACACATGTGCATGCGTATGTATTGTGAAGGCACTTAACAACACAAGAAGACATGCA